GCTTTGCTTCTTGCAAACGCTAAGCTGTGCGTCCTCTGGCCGGAGGCACAAGGTGGACGTGAGTCCATGAGTAGCGCTTCCTGCTCCGCCTCTCCCCGGGGCTCTGGGCTGCGACCCGTCCCGGGAGGGGCGCCAGCGGCCGGGGTTACCGCTCCTTTGGGGCGGAATCCAGGTGATGGGATCGCTCAGACATGGAATATTTCCCCTCCTCGGGTTTTAGACATGGAAGGGAGGGGGAGAGTCAGAGACACATCGATGGGTTGCCTCCCGCACCTGCCCCAACCGGGAGCCTGCAAATGAGGTCCTGCCCTTGACTGGGAATCAAACCCGAGACCCTCCGTGGGCTGACACTAACCATCCAGCCGCACCAGCCAGGGTGAACCCGCATTTAGCAGGTGCCCGTGGTCGGCTGGGGGCCCGCCCATCAGGGACCGTGCGTGGTCCACACAGCCTTGCTCAGGCCGCCTGGGGCCCTCCCTGGTCCCACTGTGGTGACTACGCCCTGGGAATGGGTTTCCTGGAGCTGGGTGTCCGGCGGCAGGTGAGGACACCTGTGTGGGGCAGGTCGGTGCCCACTGAGGGGCCCCAGAGTGTCCGCATGGCTGTGTCTGAGCACTTCATCGCATTGGCAGGGTTTGCTGGGGGCAGGCTGGGGGCAAGGGGCTGGCCCTCCGTCCACAGGAACGCCTAGGTATCCCCTTGGTATTCCAGTCTGACACGTTCTTTCTCATTGGAACAATTTCATGACAACAACAAAAAGAAAAAATGTAAGAGAAAAAAATAAAATGTATATTTTTAAGTTTAACAAGTTAATAACAAGAAATAACATAAAAGAAACTATAAAGTAACGTCTGCTGCTCAGAGTCCTCCTACAATAGTTCTGCAGTCCTGGGGGTTTGATGTGGAAGACCCACTGCGGCTGGCACAGCCCCATGCCCGTCACAGCAGAGCAGGGACTGTCTCGGGCGCAGGGACCTCCCTGACAGGTGCCTCCAGGCTGCGCTGCGTCCGGCCGGTGACTGCCCTGGCCCCACCCCGTCAGATGGAGCCTCCTTTGGGTTTGGTGAGGACTTGGGCTGGTGCAGGGGCCGGAGCCGAGTTCAATGCAGGACGTCTTGTCCTAAAAACGCGTGGTCCTCTTCCCGCTGTGGGTCCCGCGGGCTGACAAACACTAAAACTGCTGGCCACGGCTGACCAGGACATACTGCTCACCTCGTCCCTCTCCGTGCGAACCACTGGGTTCCTGCTTTCAGGGCTGCCACCTCTTAGACACAGCTGCAAAGGATGGTACCTCCACTGGGCTTCTCCTCCCCTCCCCAGGCTTCTAGTCCCCCAGGCTTCTCCTTCCCCCCTTAGCTTACTCCCCCTCCCCCAGGCTTCCCGTTCCCCCAGCTCCTCCTTCCCTCCCCCCCAAGGTTCTAACTCTGGATTCTCCCCTGGGCTTCTTCCCTGGCTCCCAGGACGCCCCAGGGAGATCTCGGCTGTATGGTATGTGGCTCTCTACTCAGCACAAAGCCAAGTTCAAGCCGCACCCCGTCCTGTTAGAGAACCCAGGAACGGCTTTGCATCTGCCTCCTCCCTCCCAGCACCACTGGGAAGCCACTTGTTTTCTCCAAAACCCTCAGCCTAAGCTCCCAGGACCTCCCACCTCCGAGCGTGTGCGAGTGTGTGTGTGTGTCCTTTTAGAAAACAAACCTCACATTCTTTGAGGTTTTGTCCACCCCTGGAGTCAGGTGCTGAAAGCGGACCTTGATGTTAAGGAAGAGTTTCCTTCGGGCGCAGTTGCCACGTTGCTCACAGTTTCTGTATTTTCTGAAATTGCAGAAGATGGCATCCAGCCCCGGAAGTTAAGTAACTTTAAAAAAAATGGTTCCGTGTGGGAACCCCTTCCACGTTCCGCTTGGTTCCGGGTTCCGGGTTCCGGGTCAGGGCTCGGGCTGGAGAAGGCCGCACACGAAGGAAAAGAGACGAGAAAAGTATTAATTTGGGAATATTGGGCGCCAGGCGGGAGCCCACCTCTGTGGGAGGACTACAGGCTGCTCTGGCCCTGCCATCCCTTTTACTGAGACTCAGGTACACCCATCGCCCTTGGGCAGGAAACGCCCGTAACAGAAAATTACATAAGAGGTGGAGCTGCTTCAGCTGACAGGGTTTCAACTAAGCAGTGCACTACAACCTAGCTCTGACCAGGAAAGAGCAATGGGGGTTGACAATGATCAGTTTCGGGCAGTTTAGGTCTTAGAGGTAGATTTTTGCTGGTTTTGTATTGTCACAAGTCATCAACTGCTTGAACTGCTAGAAAGGTCCCAGGGTGTGGGGGACCTGGAGCAGGAGCCTGACCTGATAGGCAGGCTGGAGAAAAGTTGGAAGGAGTTTTCGGGTGAGATGCTATAGTTGTGTGTGTGTGTGTTTTTTTTTTTGAAAGTAAAGCTCCATCAGAGAGAAGCTCCCGCTGCGGGAGGACCCACGTGGGCAGCTGTTGTGCATTTTTAAAAAGAAGCAGAGCAGCCTCATCTGAGGGAAAAACAGGAAGTCTAGGCAATGACAGATTGGGGTTGGATGTGTGGGGGAAAGGTTAAAGGAATGATGACTTGTCAGTGGTTTTATACTAAAAACGGTTAAAAAGGAAGTCGCTGACATGGAATCTGGTGCTGAAAGGGGTGACAGGCTCGTTCACCAAAACCTTTCACCGGGAGTCCTGGTAAGCCAACACGTGGTGCTTCAGGGCCCGGCAAGGCCGTCTGGGCAGCCCCGGGGAGAGCCTGTTAGTCAGCGGGCGGTAACACACCGAGGCCGCCTCAGCAATGCCCACGGCTCAGTCCCGCGTGGAGCAGAGTTAAATCCCGGTGGTGGGCGGGCTCCTCCTGAGCCTCCGGGCTGTCCTCATGGTCTTCCCTCTGGGTCTGTCTGTGTCCTAATTTCTCATTTTCTTTCTGACACTCAGTTTTACTCAACTGTTTAGGGAAAATGCAGTCTTTTTAAACCCTCACCCAAGAATATTTTTTACATTTTTTTTAATAGGGAGAGTGGAGGGAGAGGGAGAGACAGGGAGAGAAGCATCGATGTGAGAGACACATCGATTAGTTGCCTCCTGTTCACACCCCGACTGGAAACGGGGATTGAGCCCACAACCAAGGTGCCTGCCCTTGACTGGGAATTGAACATGCAACCCTGCAGTCCGTGGGCCAGTGCCTAACGACGGAGCCAACAGAGTTCCTTCCATGTGAAAGCAGGTTGTTCCAGCGGCAGGTGGGGGCTCGGGTGCTTTTAAAGGGCCAGGCAGGCATCGGTTCCTCCTCTTTCGGGGCGAAGTCCGCCTGCACGAGGCCACCTGCTCCGGGACCTCATCCTCACGAAGCACTGTGAGCCCTGTGTCCAGGTCAGGTGGTGCTGTGAGGTCGGGTCAGGCTTCAGCGTGGAGTTTGGGGGCACAAACAGCCATGGCGGAGTGCTGGCTCTGCCTGCTGGGCTCTGTCCTGTGAGCCCAGGGAGACGCGTGCTCGCCCCACTGCTTGGGACGTGTAAATGGGAGAGTGCGCCCCAGCGGCATGGACCTCAGGGGCCACCCCCCCTCCCCCCACCCCCACCCCCACCCCCACCCCCACCCCCACCCCCTCCCCCTCCCCCGGAGGAAGATGCTGCTGAGCCCAGAGGGTCCAGTGAAGGGAGGCTCTCCTCATCGTGGTCCTCCCTGCGCCCCGCCCCTTCGGTGCTCAGCACGGCGTGAACCAGGATCCGCCGCACCCGGCCCTCCTGGGGCGGGGGGGAGGGCTGAGCTGCAGGTTCGGGCTCCCCGGTCGGACACCTGTTAGTGTGAACCCAAGTTCCTTGCCGTACTTTACAAATGGCAGTCCCTTCACTGCCCCCTAAACCTAACACTCTGGGAAAGGGTCCTCTTCAGAGAGACTGGGACCCGGTGCCGCCCCCAGGGCACAAAGGGACTTCACGCCCAGTGCACAGCCCTTTGTCTCCAAGGACAGGGCCTCGGACTAATTACAGGCTTCCCGCTTCCTGGATATTCTAGCCTGTGAGGCCTCCCCACCAGCTCCTCCCTCCTTCCTTCTTTTAGTTTTGTTTTTTGCACCAAATGTTTTATTCTTTGTGGTTTTCAGTTGCAACCAAAACCACCAGCTCCCTGAGCAACTTGGAGGATTTAGAATGGGCTTGCCCGGCCGGTTTGCTCAGTGGACAGAGCATCGGCCTGCAGACAAAAGGGTCCTGGGTTCGGTTCCCGTCAAGGACACGTTTCTTGCTATTTCCCAGGTCCTGGTCGGGGTGTGTGCAGGAGGCAGCCAATCGATGTGTCTCTCACATCGGTGTTTCTGTCTTTTCTCTCTTCCACTCTCCCTAAAACTCAATGGAAAAAATCCTTGTGTGAAGATTAACAAACAACAACAGCAAATGGGTGTGAAGCTTTGTCCGTATGAAGCTTTGTCCTAGCGGAAGGAAAGTGACTTGGTCTCAGGCCTGAGCTTTAGCTGGGGCGCGTGTCCTCGGTGTGCAGTGTGCAGAGCGGCTCGCACTGTTGCTGGGGTGAGGGTGCTGAGGGCTGGGGCGCTGCAGGGCGTGCGAGGGAGGGCGGCCTCTTTGACCTCGGCCTCCACGACCTTTCCGGTCTCCGGTGACCTCTGGGGCCCGCTCTCCAGTCCTTCTTCCCAGAGACCACGGAAGGGGTGGCGGTGGCGGCTTCCGTGTGCCATTTACAAAGAATGTTTGCATTGGTCTCAGAGAGGGAGAGAGAAACATCCATGATGAGAGAGGATCACGGATCGGCTGCCTCCTGCACGCCCCACACTGCGGATGGAGCCCACAACCCAGGCCTGTGCCTGACTGGGAATCGAACCCTGCCCTCCTGGTCCATCGGTTGATGCTCATCCACTGAGACCCCGGGACGGGCCAGCGTGCCGTTTTTTAAGAGCTGGAGATACCGGCACGCTTTGCAGTTTATTCCAGCGGGAAGTATTTTATTTTAAAAACAACTTGCGCAGGTCCTTTGGCTCGCGGAGTTCCTCTGGCCGTGCGTGCTGTTCGTCATCCTGACAGCCCTTCGTTTCCAAGAGCCGCCCCGGCACAGAGACACCTGTAAGTGCCACGTGATTGCAGATCGCCTTCCTGCCGCTCCTGGGAAGGCTCTGAGTGGATGCATGGAGGCCCCCTCCCCCCACCCATCGCAGTGGCTGCAGCATCTCCCTCTTTCCCTCTTGGGAATGATAGCCACTGTTTGCTCGCTTGGCAGATTTATTCTTCTAACTAAGCTGACCCACCTGGGCTCGTGGGCAGCTGCCCACCAGGTTCTGTGGATGAGTGGCTTCCAGATTCCCTATGTGTATGTGTGTGTGTGTGTGTGTAAAGGGCAGGGGCATGGGGGGGGGGCGTGAGCAGAACTTGACTAAGGGAGGTGGCTTATTGGGGCCACATTAGTCCTGATCTTTAACAGCTGCACTTAACATTTAAGAATACAAGGGGTGTTAGATTTCAAAATTTTGCCCAAATTAAAGACCCCTCCCCTCCCCCCTCCTCCAACCTCTCCTCCCCCCTGCCCCCTCCCCTCCCCAAAGTGTGCAGTCCCCGTGGCGGGAACAGTAGCAGTGATAGGCGATGGCAGGACGTGACGGCTACTCTTCTGATCCTGGCTCGGCTGCGTTGCTGCTGCCAGTGGCCTGTCGTCTCCTTGCCCCCGCAGGTTACCTGCAGCCCCGGGACCTGCCCAGCCGGGGTGTCCTCCCTTTCCTGCGGGGCCTCCTCTGCAACACCGGGGCGCGGTGCCGGAACACGAGCCGCCCGGGGCCCACCCAGCGCCGTCCCCGTCCCCGGTAAGACCGCAGCCCTTCGGGGCCTGGGAGGCGGGTCTTCCGTGGTTCCTGGCATTGGCTGACCTGACATTTAAGGTGAAGCATCTTAGTTACAAGAAGAAAATGAGACGTTTCCAGGTAACTTTGGACAACTTTAAGTTGTAAGATCAGTATCATCTATAAAAGCACTATGCAAAGAACATCATTTGGAAATAGCCTGCAAGCATAACCCCAAGACAGCTGAGGGTCTTCGTGTGTGTGGAGGAGGGAGTGTTAATGTAAAAACATTCAAACGTGTGAAGAATGTCTGTGAGTTAATCAGAGCCAAACTGTTGACAACTGCTGGGAAGTAGTATCGCAAGGGACTGGGATGGTGCTCCGGAATGGCGGGTTTTCATCCAGTTTTACACATCGCACTCTAAGGAGAGGACTTAGTGAGTTCCAAGAAATCCACTGGTGACAGGTTAGGAAGGTGGGAGAAACCTCTGGGACTGGATAAGAAGTAAAATGCTGGACAGGCACTCAGGTGGGTGCAGGGACAATTAACATAACAATGAAGGGATTTGTGGTATCTGTCTGGAGCCCAGGCACATCAGGTTGTGCCCCAAGGGGTCCGGAAAGGGAAGCTACAAGTTACCCAGATGTGTGAAGGGTGTGTTATCCCAGATGCAAAAAGACAGACAGGCTCAGCTAAGGTAAGGGTGACCTTGTCAGTGGAGATACCGGCCTAGGATGTAACTGCCCACCATCACTGCTTTTAGTGAAAGTTTAATTCCAGACCATCCTTGTGGTGACTGTAGGTCTGAGTCTGCAAGACCGCCACCCAGGCCTCCCCTGAGCTGTCAGGTCAGCGTGGGGCCCCTTCGTCACCACAACGCAGAATCCTCTGGGGGCCGAGGTTCTCCGGCATCTCTCTCAGGTCTGCTGGGGTCCCTCCTCACTCCGCACAGGAAGCCTAAATGCTGTTTGAGGGGGACCGGGGCTTCCCACCCAGACAAGACTGGCCCTGTCACCCTGTCACCTTCAGTTCTCTGAATCCCTGCACCCGTTTCACTTGTCTCTCAGGTACCCACTTCCAGCGTCATGAGTGTTAAAGGCAAAATAATTAGAAAATAGTTTTATTGATGTCAGAGAGGAAGGGAGGGAGTGAGAGAAACATCCATGATGAGAGAGAATCGTTGATCAGCTGCCTCCTGCACGCCCCACACAGGGGATGGAGCCCACAACCTGGGCAGGTGCCCTCACCGGGGATCAAACCGTTGATAGGTCAACACTCAGCCACTGAGCCACACCGGCCGGGCAAAGGCCAAACACTTAATTAACACAGCAAGCCTGGCGCAGGGGGAGTTACTGGTAGCCAGTCTGAGTCCCTCTGGCTGATAGTAACCTTTCTCCACGCCAGGGAGTCACTGTCCTTTTCCTCCGAGTCCCCGCACTGCAGGCCTCAGGTCAGCGTGCTGGTCGAGGGAGGACGGCGGGAGCTCGGCACAGTGCTCCCGGCCTGCAGAGAGGCCTGGGCTTCACCGCAGCGGCATCCCAGGCTTTGACTGGCAGCCAGGGGGAAGTGCCTCGTCTCCCGGTGCCCGAGGCCCCGGTGTGAGCAGTGAGGGGGCAGCAGAGAAAGACGTGAGCAAAGAGGCAGCAGGAAGATGCCCATACTCGGTCAAGCTCACCTCTGGCTTCACACCCTGCCCTGATGGACCTTTCTCATAGGTTCATCTATGAAGTCAGTTGATCTTTGTGGCCATCAACATCCACTTTGTCTGTTTGCAGATGATCTTCAGGCCAGTTCCATTCAGGGAGACTGAAACGCCATCTGGGCTGATGGAGCCTGTGAATTTCCAGGCCTTTAACCCCCAGGAAAGTTCCTTGGGCATAAGTCCCAGAGTTCCTCCCACCAGGAGGGGCGGGTTCTGCAAATCCACTTCCCCTTCCTGGTTTTGCTGGCCCAGGAGGGGTTCGGGCTCACAGGCCAGGGTCATCCGGGGTTTGGAGGAGAGTGGCGGGAGGCAGGGCGGGAGGGTGCAGATGGCTAGGGAGCAGAATTGCTTCCTCAGACCTCAGCCGACTTGATTTTAGTGATTTATTTTAGCTTGATTATGGTGACCATTTTGTTTCTCACTTTATCCCTCAGCCTCTGTTTCATAATTTCCCTATGCCAGGGCCCAGCTTCTTTACAGGTAGCAGGATCCTCTTTCTTCACTCAGAGAGGCTAAGAATTTATCCTTTAAAAAAAAAAATTGATTTCAGAGAAGAAGAGTTCCGAGCCACAGCTGTCCCTAACAAGATCCATGACCTGGTCTTCTTACAAGAGATGCAGGACCTGGCGGATGGCCTGCGTGAAGTGATGGACGAGGCAACAAACTTAAAACAGCTCTGGGCAGAACGAGGCAAGTCCATCTCACCGTCAGATCTCACCTGGCGGTGGGCTTGAGCGGGCCGCCAAGTCCCGGTCACATGACAGCCCTGCTGCCCGGCGGGCCTGCTCGTCTTGGAGTAGACACCCCTCCATGGTGAGGCCCTGCACCCCCAGACGCTTGTAGAGGGGGAGCGGCAGTCCCCCCACCTTCCCAGGATGGCTCGGGGGCACAGCCTTCAGAGCGCTGCAGCTCATCTTGCTCGTCTCTGCACATTCCCACTCCACTCTGTCCTCTCTTTCTTCTGAAACAGGAACATTAATGTGGGAGAGACACATCAATTGGTTGTCTCCCGCATGTACCCAGGCCAGGGCCGAGGATTGAGCCTGAGCCAAGATACATGCCTTTGACTGGAATCTAACCTTCAGTCCACAGGCCAACACTTTACCCACAGAGCCAGCTAGGTCCCATTTTTCTTTTAAGTGATTCCCCCCCCCCCCCCCCGCCTTTATAGAGTAATACCAGGAAGTGAGATAAAAAGTTTGGCAGAAAAATGAAGCGGGTGGTATTATATATTATTTCTAAGAGAGAACAGCACCTTTCCCAGGGGGGAGCAAGGGGGGGCAGACTTCACTGTGGACCAAATGCTTACCAACGACCAGGATAGCTTCAGACACACAAGATGGAGTCCTTAATGTTCCTTCTTACCCTGTTTCCCCGAAAATAAGACAGTGTCTTATATCAATTTTTTTCTCCCAAAGTTGCGCTTAGTCTTATTTTCGGAGGATGTCTTGTTTTCGGGGAAACATGGGTAGTAGGGTCATTCTACTTTAATAAAATGTGTTTTTCCAATGAGCTTTTCTACATTCTATTAAAGAGAGAACTAATGTTTTTGAGAGGCGGTCTCTGGTTGATTTTTCAGTTTGCACTATTTGAGCCATTTCTCATGATAAAGGAAAATCTCTACTCACAACACAACACATATCCTGGCTTTCTACACCAAGTGATTCTTCAGTTTTTTGTGGACACTCACTGGGTCTGAAAAATCACAATTTCTCGCCTTTCCTCTTCAACTTTTTCTTTGCTTTCTTTTCCTTCATGTTCTCTGCCCTGTCTTGACAGGCTATAATGCCTGTGGAATGAGAGATTATAAAATTGTACTTTTTATGCAAATTAGTGAAATCTGGCTTACCAATTTTCCCCAGGATCTTTCATATCCATGTGTTTTAGAAATTGAAAATGGCTGTTCATCCTTCATTCAGGCATGTAATCATATTGGGGCCCACATTCTGTGGTGAGCCACTTGATTTTAGAACTAAAATGGCCACTCAGCAAGTGCATTCTGATTGCTGCTGGTGGGACTAACATGTCTGAAATCCCCTCTATTGTAGGTTCTTACGGCTCCAGCTTATTAACAGTAAGTATTGTGCCAGAAGTTTGGAACATGGTCTTCAGAGACATAATGGTTAGGCTGAAAGCATGGCTTCAGTCTCCTGGTTTTATCTTCAGCAACAGCATGGGACTCTGGTTTGGGGCAGGCACACTCCCTGAGGAGATGGGCTGGAAGAGGAACTTGGTCTGGGTCCAGGACAGTAGGTGTAGTGAGGCCTGGGGGTGGGGCAGCAGGTGCAGTGAGGCGTGGGGGTGGGGCTGCAGGTGCAGTGAGGCCTGGAGGTGGGGCAGCAGGTGCAGTGAGGACCAGGACAGCAGGTGCAGTGAGGCCTGGGGACAGAGCTCTGATCTGTGACACAGGTTAGCTAGCGCTGAATCCCGCTCCTAGATCCCTCTAACTCTCCCTGGGCACCACTTGGGTCTTTGCGACCGGGATGGACCAGAACCAGGAGGGCAGGCGGAACCAGAGGGCCCAGAGGAGGGTCGAGCACATTTACAGGACGGAGGTAGGGCTGTCGGATCCGCTAGTTCTAATGAGGGTCTGACTGGGTAACCTTGGCTTGGAGTCACTGGAGAGGAAACCGGCAGGAAGCAGGCCCTGGTTCCTTCCGTCCAGGCTGCAGCTCCAGGCACTGGGCACTTTGAACCGGGTCCGGGGGGCCGGGTCTCCGCACGTTGGTTCCGCCCTGAGGGCTCCGCGCAGCTCTGGGCGGGGACTGCGCCTGCGCCCGGGCTGAGGGGCGTCCTCCCGGGAGGAACAGGAGACACGGAACCTGAGGCGACACGGAACCTGAGGAGACACGGAACCTGAGGCGACACGGAACCTGAGGCGACACGGAACCTGAGGAGCCGGGAAAGGGCGGGAAGTGGCCGGCTTCCGGAGGACTGACGCTGTGGATCACGTGGCGGTGTCCGTCCCCGCAGGCGCCGGGCGAGGCACGCCCTGGGCCTGTGAGGCCTCGGACACCGGCCCCGCGTGTCACCCTCGGGGCGGGACCCTGGAGGGAGCCCCTTCCCGGGCATGGCCATGGCGGCGGGGCCGGCTGCGTGCTGGCGCCTCAGCCCGAGGCCCAGGCGCCCTGACGGGGAGGGGGGACGCGGAAGGCGGGGCCGCGGCCGCCCCGTCCCGCCGCCGAGGGCCTGCGTCCGGGCCGCGGGCACAGGGAGGCCCTCCGCGCACACGGAGGACAGCCGCAGGGAACGGCCCGCGGTGCAGGCCGGCGGGCGGTGTGACCACCCCGGGCCGCGGCCCGACCCTGAGCGCCCGCCGCCCGGCCCCGCCGCCGCCCGCAGGGAGCGCCCGGGCCGTCAGCAGGAGCCTCCGCTTCCCTCATCGCCATTTCTGTTGGCAAGGCATCCTGTCAGCCATAATGGTTCATCTTCACTGGGGAGGGGGAGAGGCAGACTTCTGGAGCCATGGCCGTCCACCGAGACTCGAACCCTGACCCTCTGGTCTAACCACCGAGCACTCGGCTGGGCTAGACATGCTCTTTTATTTGCCTTCCTCCACCCTGAACCTCAGTGGCCGCGCCACCAAACCCGCCTTTGGTGTGGAGGGGAGTGGGGTGTTGTGTGAGGAAGAACTCCGTTTTGACCACTGGGTTGGCTGCTGTGACAGCGGGTGACAGCGGGGTCCGTTCTCCCACATACCTGAACACATGTACTTCTAAGATCCACCTCACAGTCAGAGAAATGGCTACCAGAGCAGACCTCTCCCTCTCCTGTCCGCTCGGCACCACATTGAAAAGCCAGCTTCACAATCACTTTACATCTTCCCTGCCCAAAGCACCAGGGCGCATCAGCCTGGTCTCCACCACCAGAGACTCTAGTTTCTTACGCTTTGCCCTGTCATTTAATTGATGATGTTAACGAAAAAACAAAACAAAACAAAACAAAAAACCCATTGAAACCTGTAAAGAATTTTAGTGAGTTTATTTGAGCCAAACTGTGGGCATATGCCGGGAAACAGAACCTCAATGGATTGAGATAATGCCCCGAAGAATGGCGGGTTACATTTCTCTATTTATACACTGAAATCAAAGGAGGGACATAGGTGGGTTACATGAAATTCATTGGTGATAGATTAAGGAGGCGGGAGAAAGCAAAGCGGTGGGAAACGCCTAGGATTGGGTAAAAAGTAATATGATGGGGCTCGGGGAAAAGGGAAGTTAAAATTTAACCAGACATCTCACAGATACGTTATCTTAGAGCAGTGTTTCCCAAACTTCTCTCATGATGAGAATCACCTGGTGGAGTTGCTAAAATACAGATTCCTGAATCCCAACTAAGAAGTGCTAAACTAGAATTTTTGGGAACATATAGGTAAAATTGTATACTTAACTAGTGCTCTAGAGCTGTCTTAGAGGAAAAAAGGCAAATTGCTCAGTATAGAAGATCTAAGTAGATCTTTGTCAGGGAAAATATCGGCCTAGGACATGACTACCCACTATAACCTGTTTGTAGTTTAAATATTTAATTTTCAAACCATCTTTTGTGGTGACTGTAGGTCTCCGAGTTTGCAAGACGGCCTCACAGGCCTCCCCTGCGCTTGTCAGGTTAGCATGTGGCTCCTTTTGTTCACCATGAACAAAAATAAAGAGGAAAATGCGTGGTATCTTTCTCTCAGGTGGATCTCAATAAGACCGAGGAGGTGATCTTGGCACTGGAAAGCCTTCAGCAGCAGCCCCAAGTCTGGGACTTCCTGCTTTTACTGCCCAGACTGTTCGCAGGCCACGTCCCCGCTGACGATGGCCTCCGCGGTGCGGCATGCCCCCTGCAGGCTGTCTTGAAGTAAGATACAAAGAAAGCAAAACGAATTACAGGTGTGCGGGTGTCTCCTCCTCACTTTTAAAGGGAAGTACACGTATCCCTGAGTATTTTTAAATCCTCTCCCAAGGACATTTTTCCCATTGATTTTTAGAATAGAATGAAGGGATTGAGGGAGGATGGGAGAGAGAAACATTGATGTGAGGCACATTGATTTATTGCCTCCTGATGAACCCTGACCAGGGCTGGGAATCGAACCTGGACGTGTAAAGTCCATGCACTTGTGCCAGCCACCGGCTCACGGTGCTTTGCTTTTGTTTGGTTCCAGTTCCTTAACGGCTCTGGAAGAGCTAGATTGGCTGCCACTCAACCCTGCCACCTCCAGGGTTTCCAAAATGGTGCTGAAGGCGACCATTTCTGCGCTGGCGTTCCCGCAGGTTCACGGAGCAGCAGCTGCTGGTGCGGGTGGGTATCTAAGCGGTTATGGTATTTCAAGTGGTTCACTCGTTAAATTTATTGACAACCAACGAAGCTCAAGTGCCGTTCAAATCACTTAAAATATAAAGGCAACAAGGAACAGCTGTTTCTGTTCCGAAGCGGGAGCAGGCTGAGGATTGGCACCTCTGACCGGAGGCGCTCATGCAGAGATGTCTGTGCTCCTTCAGATTTCCCACCCGTGGCGCAGCCTCGCAGGGCACCCTCCAGCACCCCGGCCCCCAGCTCATGTTGCCTGTGGCTCAGTGGAAGGAGGACCCTAGACAGGAAGGGTGTCTGTTGGCCCTGCCCGAGGGAAGCCAGGTGGCCAGTGTTTACTTGCTCCTCCTGAGGGCTATTCGCAGCAGGAGCCACAGGTTCTCAGCACAGAGCCCAGCGGAGTGGGGGACACAGACCTCAGTTAACAAACGCATTATCATTAGGAAGCTTAGCTCTGCATCATCCAAATTACGATCCTCTTACCTTACAATTGGAAACATAATTAGTTACGAATGCAATTAAAATTAGTGATGTTCTATTAACTTTCAGTGAGTGAGAGCTAAGAACTATCACAGAACAGCTCCTGGAGGCAACTACAAATTGTTTTCATTTATTGTCTCCAAAGGCGAGCAGAGGCCAGCATGTGAGGCCGGCCGTGCTCTGTTTGGGAATTGTGCATCTGTGTGCACTGAGCTGTCTTTTAGCCTGACTACCAGAATCCAAATTGTCTTTCCGGTTTCAGACTGCTCTGACATTTTATACCCACTCACGGGCTGTTGTGACTATTTCCCCCCTTTCCCAAATTCTGGGACCAGTTCCAAGTACTCTGAGCCTAGAGGTCAGTGGTTACAGCACAGGCTGGAGTCAGACCTCTGGGTTTGAGTGGACCTCAGCTGGAGGCAGGACCTCCCGTGGCTGTGGGCCTGTGTCCTCCCGGGAACGGCCTGTCCTGTTGTCACAGGGAAATGCCTGGCCCAGCGCCTCCTGCCACAGGGTGGCGCTGTTTAAACCTCAGACCAGCCTCTCCCACTGAGGAGCAGCAGGGAAGCAGGGAGCCTGGGGCCTGGCCCACCCCAGTGCCCTCAGGAACTCCGATATCAATGGCACAGGAATCACTCAGCTGGAGACCATGTGGGCGGGTGGAGGGGGCTTTGGGTGCCCAGAGCAGACACTGGGCAGGTGGCTGAAGAGTCAGGATCTGCAACCACCTTGTCGCTGGTTTTCAGATGAAAATTGACAGAATTTAAAAAAAAATTTATTTATTTTTAAGGGGAGCAAAGTTTATCGGAGAAGCCAGTCCTGGAAAAGGTGCAGCTGGGGTTCCAGGAGCAGCCAGAGTCCAGACTTCCTTTCTGTGCCACATTCGGGAGTAGTTTACCATTCACACTAATTAAAGCCTCACAGGCCACGTGCGGAGGCCCCGTGGCCATAGCCACGTGGGCGCAGGGACGTGTCCCCGGCCACAGGGGGGACGTCCAGCCCAATGGTGCCGGGGAGAGGAGACCGTGATGTTGGAATTTACATGCTGTTTTGTTTGCAGTTGACGGAGATTTTGTGAAACCTTGGGGAGTGTTTTGGATTTAAATTTTGGGTGTGTCATTCTGGGTGGCAATGGGGCAGCTTATGAGTTTTATACCTTAATTAACTCGGATAGAGGAGGAACTTTTTTCCTGTGAGTGTCAGTAATTTCTGGCAGGACAGTGTGAAGACTCCTTAGCATTTTATGCTGTGAACATGCTGTAATTTATTTCCCCCCATGCTAGATGCTCAGCTGGTTTCCACATTTATTTATTTATTTATTTTTATTTTTTAAAATATATTTTATTGATTTTTTACAGAGAGGAAGGGAGAGGGATAGAATGTTAGAAACATCGATGAGAAAGAATCATCGATCAGCTGCCTCCTGCACACCCCCCACTGGGGATGTGCCCGCAACCCAGGTACATGCCCTTGACCGGAATCGAACCTGGGACCCTTGAGTCCGCAGGCCGATGCTCTATCCATTGAGCCAAACCAGTCTTGGCTGGTTTCCACATTTAATAGTAAAACCAACGCAGAGACTGCTGTACATTCTTGTACTTCACGGACATGGCAGGCTTCTGGAGGTAGATGCTTAGAAGGGAAATTATCGGGTCCTATGGTTTGGATTTCACCATGTTCTTGAGCTATGCTGTCAGATCGCCCTTAGAGGTCTGCAGTCATTCCGCAGGGAGCGGGCGCCCCTCCCCGCGCTTCAGCGCCCAGGGCCAGCTTCCGTTTGCTCTCCTGCTGGATGGTCTCAAGGGCATTCAGTCCTTTGAAAGTGAAGGTGCTGTTCTCTGAGCTGCTGCAGACACGCCACCTGGCAGGGCTGAGGAATTGACCTGTCACCCCGGCTGTCTCGCAGAGTCGGGGCGCAGCCTGTCCCTGCGCAGCCTGCTGCGGGCCCCGCAGGAGGTTCGGGCGGACCTGCAGTCCCGATTTGGATTTGATGACCTTCATGCGGAACAAATCCTGAATCACTCAGCCGAGCTGAAAGAGGTACTCACGCTTCCTGCTTCCCTCGCACTTGGGAATCTCTTGGGCAGGCTGGGCGGCGCAAGGACATTTTAAGCGACACTTTATCAACCCATTACTTCTTCGTCAAGCCGATGCCAGCCTTTCCTTCAGTGAGATTGTGGTGATATTTTTAGAAGAGGAACATCCTAGAAAAAGAAAGCGTGACTGCTACGTATTCATATCGTTGCCAGATTCCCACAGACAGCTCACTGGAGCGGATGGTGTGCTCAGCCTTGTCCCAGGCCTTCGCGGACGAAGCTGACGGAGAGGGTCACCCTGGAGACTGTCACACCCGCTGGGCAGCAGCCAAAACCTACCTGGTCCATGCGGTCAGCTGGCTGCAGGTCTACAAACAGGTGCTGTGCCCATCGAAGCGCCCCCGTGTGCCGGCACAGGTTCAAGCACGTCACCTCCCTCCCGCTACTCCCATATCTTCCCCTGGTTGATGTTTGACTTTATTGTGGTGGGAACACTTCACAGAGCGCTCCCCCTGCACAAAGGGTCAAGTGCCCAGAGCAGCACTGACTGCAGGCGCAGCTGGGCAGCAGGCCTAGCTATTCACCCTGGCATTCCCATCCCCACCTCTCAGCACCTCGTGTCCTTCCAGGAAACACGGGGCCCTACGTCCTGGCCATGTGTGCCCTCCTCCCTGTGCCCACGGCCTGGGCTCGCTGCCCCTCAGCACAGATGCTCCCGGGAAGTCTGTCTTGGACTTCATGCAGCTTCAAGAACCATGGTCTGTTTTTGTCATCACAGCCTCCACTACACGCTTTCCTCCAAGGACACACGTCTTTAACTTTTCTTCCTCACACATGCCATGAATAAAGATCAAACATTTTAAAGCTGCAGATGGGATTGTCCACTTGGTGGCACTAAGTTTGTCTGGCAGTACAATGATCAGGGGACAGAGCTGCCTGCCCAGCATCAGCGTGGGCAGGTCGACGCTTTGCTCAGTGCATTATCTGGGCACCGATGGTAGTCAGGGTTACCTCGCACACAGACCCTTGTCACGTGCCCCCTGCCTTCCATCACTGCGCGAACGATCTGTTTTGATGCAGCGTGGAGCCACAGCACTGACTGCCTTTGGCTTTATCGTCCCCAGGCCTGTGATGTCCAGTGCCTTTGTGACTGGGTGTAATTATGACCCAATTTAAAGACAGGGCTGTGTTTATTCTGTCTCCAACATGTCAGCATAGTGTGGGGCACATTTCACTGGTTTAGAATGTACCTACTGCTTTCTCTGCTGCAGATGGGAGCGGGGGAGAAAAGAAAGAAATGGGGCCTGATGAACAGTTACGCCCACTCATTGTTGGAATTTGTAGTCTTTAATTCCTGAGAAATTCGGCCACATTGCAGTTGTCACCCAGCCTTGCAGTCTCCCAACCCTGTAAAATGGGCTGTGTGTCATCCTGACCAGATGCTGTATCTCTGTTCCTGTTGTAACGGCCCCGTTTCTGACTGTGCAGGTGCTCCATCGGTGGCCGGCGGGCGGCCCTCTGCGGCAGGTGCTCATAGGGGCGGGCCTCGGCCAGGAGGCACCCAGGAGCCTGGCGGGGGGAGAAGGCACCCTGCAAGAGGTGGCGGAAGCTTTGCAGATGGGGCTGCTTCTGCTGACAGGCAGCAAGACAACAGAGGAACCCGGCAGCCACGCACCTCCAGAGGCGTAAGGCACACTCCCAGTTCAGGGCTTCTTAACCCAGAGCACACTGAGGGTGAAAGAGTGAAACTGTTAGAAACGAATTCCTAAAACTGCTGGATTCTGAATTCCCATCTCTAGTGAGCATGTGCAAGGAGGCCACCTGATAGGTAGGGTGTTTGAGAAGGGCCAGCATTTTGGATTTTAGATTTTACATCCTTGACATCTGTTTAGAGACAAACAATAACATTTGTTTCCTATTCAATGAATTTCTCCTCCTAGCTTTATTATTCCCTTCTACTAAATGCAGTTTTTATCATTTTCCAGCTTCTTGATGTTCAGGTTTTCTTTCTTTGTGACAGATGCTCTAAGGCCAGCCCCTCTCCTCCCAGAGCTCTGGTACATTCCACACAGTTGGATGAGCAGGGCTCTCCATCACTTTCTAATATTTCCCATTTAAAATCTCATATTTATTGTGATTTCCTCTCTGACTCATAGTTATTTAGAAGCAGATCGCTTAATTTCTATGGACATATGGGGCTTTTCAAATTACTTTTAAAGATTGATTTCTAGTTTCATTTTAGTGGGAAGACATACTCTGAATGTTTTAGTCTTTGGAATTGATGAGATGGACTTTATGCTCACATGATCGATTTTGGTAAATATATATGCTCTTCCAAAGAATGTGACTTCTGTCGTCAGGTGCAGGGGTTTATGCATATTAATTAGGTCAAGTATGTTCCTTGTGTGGTCCAAGTTGCCCCAGCTTATCTGTTTCCATCTGTCTGTCTTTCATGGCTCGATGGCCAGTGGCCCTTCATCTCGGCCAGAGGGGAAGTCGAATCAGAGGATTCCGAGTCCTCTTTTGTTAGGTTCCACCAGAACCAAGAAACCACTAGACCTGACATTCCACCCTCCTGAAGTCACCTTGCGAAGTGGGGTGTGAGGGACCCGGTGGGTCAGCTCTGCATTAGGCAGGGCTCACAGACTGGGAGTGGAGCAGACCTTCTGTGAAGTTTGCTGACAGCAGGAAGGCCTGGACCTGCCGCAGAAACGCTGACTCCCTGTGTGCGGGCCCAGGTTCTGTAGATGAATGAGTTCTGCAGGTGGTTCGGGCACAGCCACACTGAGGAGCACCTGCAGCACCTCCAGGCCTGGACTCGTCAATCCCGGGGGGAGGAGGAGGAGGAGGAGGAGGAGGAGGAGGAGGAGGAGGAGGAGGAGGAGGAGGAGAATCAGTGCCTTGCCTTACTCTCCTGAAAGTTTAAATGCTCAGTAGCTCTGGAGAGACAGCAAAAGCGGCGTCTACGCTCCCTGGGCACGTTCAGGGTTGTGCTTGTGTTTGGTCAGCCACACGGTCCCTTTGTGAGGGAGGCCAGATGGTGGATGGGTAAATGAGTTGGTAAGGACAGGATGCACACGCGTGTAAGATAGCGGAGCTGGAATGAGAACACGGGGCCACGTGCCGTCCGTTCCTGCCCGGTAATCACAGGGTGAGCCTGCCAGTTAGAAAACCTTTCTGAAATGTTTCTTTCCCACGGGATGGAAATGACGATGTACCTCAGAAGGCCGTGGAGGAATGACTAGGGTTGGGGCTGTGGATGTGCTGACACATTGTGAAGGGACACAGAAACCGTGGGGCCACATTCCTATCATGGCTCTGGCTCTGTACCACGTGTTCCTCACACACAGCTGCCTCTTCCTCCTCCCCACCCCGTGACCACACAGATCTGTGTTTCCCCCAAAGTAAGACATCCTCCGAAAATAAGACCTAGCACATGGAAAGACAAGACATCTCCTGAAAATAAGACCTAGCGCAACTTTGGGAGAAAAAATTAATATAAGACACTGTCTTATTTTCGGGGAAACAGGGTAGCACTGTCTGCATGGGTGACATGCCCCGTGTGTGTGCAGGCATTGCTCTGAGGGCCGGCAGATCAAGGTGTGGGTCCCTAACTGTGGAGCTTTTTCATTCCAATGGGAATGTTCTCTGTGTTCCATGGGCCAGAGTAGCCACTCTGTCCTGCAAACACTAGGCTGGATTGAGCTTGTGTTTTCTCTGCTCCGGGACCCCAGGTGTTAGAGAGCAACACAGTTCCTGTGTTTGATTGTTCTGTGTCTCCTGTGCCCGAGTCACACAGCAGAATAGATTTACAGAAGTTGAGAAAGGCTTGGCCTTAATAGCCAAATCTCTTACCTACAATTCTGAAATCTTAGAAAGTCTGAAAAGTATCAATATTTCATAGACACTTGTGTGTTAAAGTGTCTGTTGACCCTCCACACATATTCTGAGTCCATGCCTTGGTTTCTCAGTGGACAGACTGGACAGACACCTCAATGGGTTGAGAAGGGGCTGTGCAGACCCTGTAGATGAAGGGAGTGTGGTCACATATCTGTGCAACAAGCAGGCTTTTAGCTAAATATGGGCAACTGCATTGAGGAGTTCTAAACATGTTCAGATGCTCACATTCATTTAATTCCTACTGGGAAAACACATTGTCTAGTAAATATTTCATTGATCTTTAACAAAAAATCTGATTATTATCTTGGAAATTTGGTAGGTTGGATTATCTATTTTTTCTGATACCAATAAATTTTTATTACTATTGTAGGGTCTTAAATTTCAGCAGGGAACATCTCATGAAGAAAAAGAAGTTGGATGCCCTTACGGGTGAACAACTGAACTTTCTTTTGTCCTTGGTGGAATTTTTGGAGAAATTGTTGTTGCCTAACCTTTTGGACTCATCCAGCAGTCCCACGAAGACTATTCTAAATGCAACTCATTCCTGGATAAATCACTCAAAGGATTTAGGAAGAGAACCATCTGGTATTGATACTCATAAACTTTTGGAATTTGGCCAAGAGGTGATTGAAAAAGTGCACACTCTTGAAAAGATGGAATCAAGCTATGTTTTGAGATTTATGGAAGCAGTACTTTCTGAAATTAACCCCAAGTTCCTGGAATTGTGGACATACAGCATTTCCAAAGGAAAGAGAACTAAATTCGAAAACTTGTCTACACTTTCAAATTTTTCTATTCTAGGAAATGAGAGGATTCTTAGTAAAAGCTTTAATTTTTCCAAGTTGTTTCGCTTGGATTGGCCTGAATTACCAGCTGTGAAAATGGATTTTGTTCATCTAAGTGAATCTATAATCCACCGTCTCTACGAACTTGGATTCCTGAGGCAGGAGCAAGTCTCAGATGTTTATGACTTCACAGTCCTTCAGGGCATAGGTATTTCTCATGTCACCAAGGAAGACTTTATGTTTGTGATGAAAACTCTCCTGGACACCATTGAATTAGTATCAGATAAGCCAGGGGTTCTTGCCAAGGTTGTAACTTGCCTTCCTGTGGTTTGGTGCCGGAATCACACAATATCTGGATTTCAGCAGAATCCAGAGTTAGAAGCCTGTAATGGCCACTTCTACAGCAAAATGGCTAGTATACTTGACCACCTCCAACTGTCTCCCCCAGGTGAAGTGTCACAATGTTCAAATGAAAGCTCCCGGATGGAAATTACTAAGAAAATGGTCTGTGTAATTCATGAGCTAGTGGACTGGAGCTCCATTCTTCTAGAGCTGTCGGAAATCTTCCACATTAACGCCTCGCTTATGAAAACTGTGCAAGAATTTAGGCAGAAGGTGTTTTCATTTGTCCTATCTGGAAATCAGAGCAAAGATAGCACCTCTTCACTCTGTCCCCCTGTTCTCATAAAACACGTTGCTTTACAAATCATAGAAAAATTTAGAAACGTCAGCTTTACAAAAGCTTCATCAGATGAAAACATTCTTGATAAATTAGCTCTTTTAAACAGGATCCTTAACAATGAAGGTGCAGAGGCATCACCTGGGAATCTTTCCTTAAGTTGGGGAAGGATGATAAAATCACTTTCTGGGGATGAGAGCCTAGAAAATAGAACTCGCTCTGTAGTCTCTCTACTCATGATGTTTTTGGATGCAAACCTCCTAAGAGGGAATTTTGAAGCACTATCAAGTTTTATTAAAGGGAGTAAAACAGCTTACAACTTTGTAGATCTGTGGCTTGAGTCTGAGCAAGCCATGAAAGATCCAAACCTGAATAGACGAGCCCTGTTCTCTAAAATTAATGAAGAGATTCCAATGATTAACTCAATGGCTCTTCAAAAAATGACCATGCAACTTGTCCATATTTTGGAAAGCCTGAATTCATCATTGTTGCAGTTGTCAGAAATGACCAGAGATTTTCCATCTGTCACAAAAATCTGGCTTCGTAAATATGCAAGTGAAGAATACTCCAGAAGAATACAAATATTCTTTTTCCTTATGGCCAATGAGAATTCAACATTGACTAAAGATATTAATACCTTTTTGGATTATCTCAAAAACATTTCCAGAGGAGGTGATTCTCACATTGACCTTATTGCTCAACTGGTAAACCAAGAACAGTCAACTAATTTCTCGGTTGCTAGTAGGTTGCTTTTGAAAAGCTTCCTAGTTAATGCAATCAATAACTTAGCTGCAGGCTCTCAACAAGCAGCCTGGAACTTAAGTGACACTGACCTTCAGGTCCTGAATCTCATTAACCTCACCTTGAACCAGACACCGTTAGAGAAGGGTGAGAGAATACTTCTCCCTCCAGGAGGCATGGTGGAGTTCATGGGACAGCTTTTGAAAACATTCTTTACCTTTGTAGAAAAGGAAAATTCTGAGAACAAAACATCTCTTTTGTTGAAAGACCTCCACAACATGTTTGCAGAGATAAGGTGAGTCTATTTCTGTACAGGACATGTCGTTACTCATTCAACCCGCTTTCCTTCCCGGAGTGCAGCATTATATCTGGCCCTGTGGAAGCTCTTTGAAGTGAATCGTGGCTTAGCGAACATCTCATTGAAATGTTGAAGTAAAATAACTGATGACTGTTGTTTACTAAACATACACTGAGTGGCCAGATTATGATGATCTCTGAATGCATAATAATTTGGCCTCTTGTGTGTATCCTATACAATAAAAAGCTGATATGAAAATTGTCCCCTTGACCAGGTGTTCAACCAGCAGGCCAGCCAGTCAACCGCCCATCACTCATATCCCCTCCCCCTGGTCAGGCTGGCTGGATTCCATCCATACATGAATTCATGCACCGGGCCTCTAATTTGTGTGTGTGTGTGTGTATACTGAGTGGCCAGATTATTGTGTTCAGAGATCATAATAATCTGGCCACTCAGTGTATATAGAAACTGCTTAGTCCCTGGCAATTAGTCACTTACAATACTTTGTCTTTTTTGCTTATGAATATCATTATGAAATTCTATATTACATGAAATTAAAATTAGTTTTAAATATTTATGCATATACATATCATGGTCATAATTCAAATTATTGTAATAACTGTAATCGCAACTGAGGAGTTTAAATATTTTCAGTTTACCTACTGCAATGTTTATATTTGTGAATTGACAAAATTCAAAAATTTTAAAATGAACAGTCACATTATGTTTTTTCCATATATCCTTTCCCATTCCTTTGAAGCTTGCCAGCCAGCTTAATATTTTGTTTAGAATAAATATTAATTTTCATTGGTGATGTATTTTAGCATCAGCAGCCAGTCAGTATTATCCCCCCATAATGCTTGTATAAAACAAAAAAATTAACTATATGTTTTAATTTTTCCATTGCTATACATGAAATTAAAAAGTGTATATACAGCTTTGTCCCAAAGGATAAAGTTTTAGAAATTCTGAAAATAGACCAATTTCTTACCTCCATGAAAGAAAAGAAATTGATGAGCATTTTTTCAAGGTTAAAGGAGACCATAAATCACCTAATCAAAGGATGGTTTATGCCAGATCACACAGACTTTTATTTTGATAATTACCGAGGATGGAAGTTCCTGCGAGATTTATTTAATGCTCTTCTAAGTAAAACTTCTGTGAAAAATAAGACTGAAAAGAACTTGGAGATTCTTACCCAGGTAAGTCAGTTGTTTTTCCACCTGAATAGTTCTGCAAACCTGTCCCAGTTCTGCAAACCAGCTCAGCCACCAGCTCCAGGCAGCTCTCCGCCTCCTGCGAGAAGCCTCAGCAGAAATGGCGGCCGTTATGGATTCTCTTTTCAACTCTCCCAGGGAGGACTTCCGTGCCTCGTGTCCTTCACTCCGAGAGGCCATGTTTGCTAACCTAACCAACCTGCTTTCCTTCATGAGCCATTCATTCCCTCTAAGAAACATAGCGGCATTAGACATCACTAAGAGACTGCTTGGTGTTATCTCAAGAGCTGGCGGAGGAAGTCCCGTCTGGGAACCTCTCTTGGAAATGTCTGGGACTCTAGGCATGCTGGTGAGCGCAACTGTGGAAATGCAGGATCTGGCCGCGTCTGTGAACTCCACGGTGGAGCTGCTCCAGCTTGCCAAGAAAGTTTCGAGGAAGATGGCCACTGTTTTTGAAACTCACCATGTCTCGGGCACCAGTGGCACTATAAAATTCTTTGATACTCTGTATTCCATTTTGCAACAGAATGTTGGAAATGTTGTGAATGAAATAACTGCTTTGAAAAAAGGGGATCAGTTAGTATTTGAAAATATCAATGACTTGTTGATGCCACTTCTGGACTTGGCCTTTGGGATGAATGGCATCAAACCTAACATTTCCCAAGACTCTGGTATTTTCAGAATGTCATCTAGCATACTATCCTATGTGAACCAGTCCAGAGAGTTTTCTGATATTTCAGAAGAAATTGCTGAATTTTTAACTTCTGGAGAAATCAATTTGGGAGACATGGAACATCTTCTGGTAGCGATTAATAATGGAACTCAAATATTTTCCCTGGATTCTGTCAACGTATGGGAAGAAATCCTAGATTGCTTAATTTCTATAAATAACATCACCAAGCAGATAGACTTCCTATGTCCGAATCCAGTTTCCACTCATGGTTTCCCTCAGGATGCTCGAGAAATGGCGCTGGTTTTGGATGAATTGCTGTCACGAGACCGCACAGAGGTAGGGCCCTACTGGAGAATGGTGACTGACCTGGCCGTCGCTCTTTGGAGTCCCTTAGAGAAGGATGACTTGAATGTTTCTAATCTGTGGCTGACGCTGGCTCCGCACGCAGACACCCTTTTGGAAGCCGCGGGAACAGTTGAGGAGTTCGCCCATGGAGGCCACGGGCGTGGAGCCCCTGCTTTCAGCTCCCCTCTGATGCGGGCGGCGACTCAGCTCCTGGAGGAAGCCGCCCGGAGCGCGCTCAGTGGGGCAGCTCTCCTGAGGAAAGGGCTTCTCTTGAACAACCCTCAGGGGGTAAGTTCCACCAGAACGGTGCTCCAGCCCGTCTTGGAGATGTTCCTTCATGCAGCCGCTGGAAAGAACATCCCACCAGGAAGAGGAGAGAAGGCCGAGAGAGAGAGGATGATCGTTGCTGACAGCCTCACCCCATCACCCTGGTTTGAGAACTGTGTGAAGGGGTTAATTGCATTAACTGAGTCCTGGCAGGAAGTCCTGGCAGATGAGAGGTATTTACAGCTAACTCGCTGTTTTCCTCTCAGCAGCTGTACAGGGGAGCAGGCCGGAGCACACTGAGCAGGGCACGAGACCTCAATTTCAGCTTTATTACTTCCGAAGCTGGCTTCCCTGGAGCGAGTCCAGTCTTGTTCTCCTGTCTGACTCATTTATTTGCAAATACAATTTGAATTTATCCAAAAATTTCCCCAAGTAAATTATTTTATTTTCAACAGTAAAAACCTCTTAACTTTATTCACTTGTCCCAAGATTAGGTCTATACACAGCTTTTCTGTCACGTGCCTGAGCACCCACAGGTCCATGGTGTGTCAGACAGGTGAGACAGGCCACATGCTTCCCACCGGAAATGGTGCTTCTAGCTGTAACTGCCAGGCAGCGGTTGGCTTCCTCCCTCATTAGAGTCAGAGTCAACTTAACACTACATGGCTGACCCACTCCACGCACTGCCCCCGCCCCGAACCCTGCTCTGAGGAGCTTCAGCCCTGCATGTGTCCGACTCGGAGTCGTCCGCTGCCTGCGGTTGCAGGACTTGCTCCCAGGTCTCAGAGATGCCGTGGCCCTCCCAGCCCACCCTTTCTTCTTTTTTAAAATCCTCACATGAGGATAAATTTTTATTTTTTAGAGGGAGGGGGAGAGAGAGACAGAGAGAGAGAGACGTGGATCAGTTGCTCTGGTCAGGGCCCCAACCAGAGATCAAACCCGCAATCTAGGTGTGCGTCCTGACTGGGAAGGAACCTGCAGCCTTTTGTGCAAGGAGACCCGAGCACTTGTCTCCACAGCGTCGGCTCGCAGGCCCAGCAGCCTCCCCGGGAGCCGGTTGGGACCTGCCCATAGAAGCCATTTGTGATGAGCAAGGTCGCGGTGCTCCGCAGCCATGCTGTCGTCTGGCATCCTGGCCTCGAGCTCACTCAGAGGCTGGGACCCTGAGACAGGGACAGGGCGTTGTCATGCTCAGAACAACACACCTGCTGAGCAAGAATGGAAGCCACCCTCCTGCTGGGCAGAGACCGTGAATGGGGACTCCTGCTCCCGGGCCCACAATCCTGTGGCACAATTGAAATATAATAATTAAACATGATTGACCAAAATATGTATAACCTGATGGTGATTGGTAAATGGCTCTACATCCCATCACGTGTTTTTTTTTTTTCCTGGCCAGAAAGATAAATTACATGTTTGACCTTCTATGTCTAAAACATAGTTCAGTAACAACTAGGCTCTGCCCCCTTTCTCTTCCGGTTCATCTACGTTTTGGTAGCTGAGAAGTAGACCTTTATCTGTTTGTATCGGAGCAATGCTCGGCTCTCCCGCCCGGCTTCGCCAAGGCTGGCCTTCAGAGGGGTCAGGTGACTTCAGACTGTCACCGGCAGGGCTCTCATCGAACTCGGCAGAAACCGGTGCCAGCAGCTCAGGGACCGCAGCGGCCCGTCCCAGGGCACTTGCATCACTAGCTCCCTCTGTCCTGACGAGGCAGCGCCGGGCTGAGAGCGGTGCCTGGCGGGTCAGGGTCCCCACGCAGGTGCTGCACTTGTTCCCGGGCGGGGAGGATGCGTGCCCACACTGGCACCTTCAATGGCATTTCTTTCTTTCCGGAGTGTTGCCAGGATGTGCCAGGACTCCCAGCAGCCCTCGGAGCCCCCGGCAGCCGCCGAGACCCCGCGGAGAGCGAGGATGCTGCTGCGTGTGCTGCCTACGCTCACAGGTGGGCCGCCCGAGGACGCTGCTCAGCCCCGGTCTGGGGGCCGCTGTCAGCGAGCCCGGGTGCCTCTGCGCTTCTTCGGGAGAAACACGCAGCTTTCGAGCCTGGCTGCCGGGCCCTGGGGGCTGGGCTGGGGCAGCTCTTCCTGAAGGCAGCAGCCACGTCTGCACCTTGTGCACCTCCTCTGCCTGGCACCAGGGATGTGCTTCCCTCCCCTCCCCCATGTGTGCCGAACGATCCACGCGGCCCCTGAATGCAGGGCACTTAGTGCTGTGTTTCAGGCTTTCCTGCTTCCATCTGACTTCCCTAAGGGCGGGCTCTGCCGCTTAGTGTCTCCTCCTCCATCCTCCCAGCACCTGTCTGCAGCGAATGACTGAATATTTGGTTGTAAATGAAGTAATTCGTGGATGAGGTCCTGCTCCAGTCCTTTCCTGCTGATTTCGGTGACTCTCCCCTTTGTGCCGCTGCTGAAGGAAGTGCAGGGCTGTCTCCCAGGAAAAGCGCTTGTCACGGGGGCTTGTCTTCAGAAAGGGAGCCTGTGTCCAGCGGAGGTGTTAGCGCGGCAGTGCCGTCAGTGCCGAGCACGGTGCCGGATGCACCGGAGCACGGTGTGCTCCCTGGAGGAAGCGCGGGAACGGCTGCGGCTCCTCCGTCTGCTCGTCTGGTGCTCAGAGCCCAGCACGCTGGAGGCGGGATTACTCTGACATCTCAGTCAGCTGGCGGGATGGCATTTAAAGGAACTTAACACTCATTATACCTAAATTTATATGTATTTTGTCATTCTGCACTGCAGCTGCTAAATTAATATAGCATACTTGAAATTACATTAGTAACAGCAAATTAATTTTGAATTTTTACATTTCACAACAAGAAAACTCAAGTATGTCATTTGCAAGCCTGCCTGAAAAACACCCAGTCACTCTGCTTTCCGTACCCAACTGCCGCTTCATCCTGTCGAGCAGGAGGGCAGTGATAGCCCGGAGACGGTACCCATAGGATTGGGCTGGAATGGGCCCAGGGGGCATGGTGCTCCTCCAGCACCCAGGGAACGAAGGCAGCCAGTTCCTCTCCTACTGGGAATAAAATAGCTAAGTGCACGCCGCTGAGTTAAGTTTGAACCAGGAGGGGAGCTATCTTTTCCTCCTCTGATCCAATACTTGAATCATGTGGGAAATGACTGCGTGCTCACCTGACAAGAGGTGAGCGCAGTCCTGCAGTCTGGCCCCGCGTGTGTGTGCAGGGGGTCCGTGCAGCGTGTGTGTGCAGGGGGTCCGTGCAGCGTGTGTGTGCAGGGGGTCCGTGCAGCTCGGATGCGCCCCGGCAGGTCCGCACAGTCCGGGCAGGAGTGCCAGGCTCTGCGCCCGCGCACAGGTGTTCTGAGGCCGAGCCATGAAGGCGGGTCGGAGAGGAGGCTGCACGGAGGGTGCAGGAGGTGCAGAGACTGAGGGGAGACGGCGCATGGGGAGTGAGCTGGGGGGAGGTGGCTCGGGCGGCCCTAGATGTGACCTGAGCCTTCGGAGGACCCAGAGCAGCACCTCCCTTTAGGAAGAGCCCCAGGCTCAGGGAGGAAGGCGGTGCAGGGTGCGCCGGGGAGGGGACCAGCGGGTGCTGTCAGGAGGAGAGATGGCTGTGAGGATGAGGTGGGGGCGGTTTTTGGATGTGACCTGTGAGCATGCAGGCTGGTTGCCCTAACCTTGGTCAGTGTGTCACCATCCTTCCCTTTGAGACTGAAAGGGCACTGCCATCTCTGCTCAGGGAAGCAAGTGAGAACTTTATCCCTAACCCTAAACCCTAGCCCCTAGCACTAGTCCTAAATCCTAAACCCAAGCCCTAACCCTAAGCCCTAACACTGACCCTAAACCCTAACCCTGATCCTAAAATCCTGACTCTAAACCCTAACACAAAATCCTAAACTCTAAACCCTAACCCTAACTATAATCCTAATCCCCTAACCCTAACCCCAACCCATGGTATTGATTTCTGCCCACTCATGGTTTTGACTTTTTGCTGAGTCATAGTTTTGAATTTTTGCTGAGTGAATTGAATGGGAGAGAAGCTAGATGTCAGAGAAAATGGAAAGAATGAGGCAAGAAGAGAAAGATCAGGTGTTAGCATCACATCTGGTTTTTAGTAACAGCCCAGCATTCGTTATTGTGTTGCTTCTCCCACTGCTGTCTCTCAGATGTGAGGGTAAAAGACCTGGTGAAGAACATCACCGCCTTCACCGAGGAGCTCCGATCTGCCCACCTCTCACCTGAAGCCATCAGCAGTATTTTGGAAGCAAATATTTCCTGCTCACAGGTACGGTGTGGCCACTTCCGCCCTCAGGCACCTGGGCTGCTGGCCTGCCCTCTCCCCCTCCCCCACTGGGCTGCTCTGATCCATGTCACTTGGAGGGGCACCTGGGCTGCTGGCCTGCACTCCTCCCACTCCCCCCCCCCCCCCCAATGTGCTGGGCTGCTCTGATCCACGTCACTCGGAGGCAGAGGGGACTGAGGTGCCCTTGTCTGATGCCATGACCTCAGGGCCCTAGTCTCAGTGTTGCCTGCCTGGGTTGGGAAGGATGAAACTGGTACGAAGTTCACTCCGGGGATTCTCAGCCCCGATGCACAGCCCCCGCATATCTCAAACGGTCTAAAGGAACTACGGCCTCCTCTAGGGACAGAGTCGCTGTGCCATCTGACCGCTGAGTGTGGTGGCTGTGGTGACGGGCTGGGCACCGCTGGGTGGCTGAGATGCATGGCTGAACTGGGGAGTGGGGATGCACAGAGGACAGGGACAGGCGAACGAATGTCCTGCTGCAGTGGGAAGCTCCTGGGTCTCAGCAGGTGTCCTAGCTGCCCTTCCAGCACTTCGGCCCGTGGAGGCTTTACTTTCCCTACAGAGAACCTTCCAGAACAGTCATCATGAAGATGGCCTTCTGCGGGGGCCAGACATGGCGGGGATCTCCCTTTTCCCTGTCCCGCACGGAAAGAGAGATGAACGAACCGGTTCTAAGTGAAGGCCGCCAGGGATTGAAAATAGAAATAAAGAGAGAAGACACAGAGATAGACTTTAAGCTGGGAGCTGGGTGGGCCGCCATCCTGTCTGCTGGAGAGGCAGGAGGAAGATGATGACCCCTCCCAGCACATTTATTTTATAGCCCAATTCCAGGAAGTAGCACCAACTTATTTGCATTCTTAAGTCGGCCCTAGCATGCCTGGATTTACATATCTAGTTCTGCCCCTGCGGACACCTGGGCTGATAGGAAGGCCAAGCTGACATGTTCCCAAGGTGTGGCTCTGCCAACGCCTTGAATTCAGCTGATGATAATTAAGGAAAATTGCCCATGTGCCTTCCCAGGCAGCCCTCTACATCTCACCCTTTTTTGTTTTTTAAGCTACTATAATAAAAGTAAAATTTAAACATTAAGAACAAAACTCTAAATTAAAACAATTTCAAACAGTGCCAATGCAAAAACTAAACTACATACATGTTATCATTATCAAAACTTGAATGTCAAGAGCAAAACTCTGGCTATTAAATAATAATAAAACAATGCCAATGCAAAACAACAATATGAGAAATCAGAACTATGGACATATTAACATTTTTAGCTACCAAATGAAAGAAAGTCTCTTTTGCTGCTGGTGTATATTTACTCAGAGTCCTTGGACTTGGCTGCACAAGACTTTGCAGAAGACTGGCAGCTAACAGATGCTAGCATGAGCAGGAACATGGTTGAAGAAGTAGCTTCAACTTCTTGCTTTCCCACAACTTCAGTCGTTTTCTTCAGATGACTCCGTGTTGACACCTCAGTCCCTTGTGTATCTTTCAGTTTTCTTCTTCTTCCCCTTTGCTGTCATTGGGCAACTTTCAGTCCTTTTGAGTGAAGGGACACAGGAGCTTCTGTGGGTACTTGTGACGGCTGTAATGCTCTGGCACCCGAATTGGCTGCTTTGCTCCTTCTGGAAAGATATAAAACACCACCTCTTCCCCACATTATTACTGAGTCTGATAAAACTCTTTTCTGGCTTATGCTTCCTTCCACCTAGCTGACTTGGTGGAGGCCTGATACCTTTCACCTGCTGTACAATCCTCTGCATCACAATTCAAATATTTTAAAGTATAAAGAGCATAACGGAGCCTCTCTTGAGGTGACACATAACTTCTGTCTCCCCCTTTTTGTTTTAGTAAATGATTTTACGAGTACGATTGGCTCTTTCCACTATTGAGTAACATCCATTTTGTCAGATTTGATTACGTTTAAGTCCTCGGGGGCTTACACACACAGAGGGGATAACACACTGAGGACTTTGCTTTCAATAAAACATGGAAATTGTCCTCTAACATTTTAAAGGCTGAAAATTATATGAAAAGTTCCTCTGAATTAGTGTGTCCTATTTCAATAGCTGTTTCAATAATTTTTGCCATACTTACCACATAAGCACTATTTCTATAGGTTGATGGGCTCCATAGCAAAATCTGTTAAGGCATAAATGAAAGCTTGTATTTCTACTGAAATATAAGAAGTTTGAAGGATCTTTGCTCCCCTGCTGCAGTAGATCCAGCCTTTCCAGAACTGGATCCATCTGTAAAAATGGCTAATGACCGAGGTATGACATTTCTTTTAATGTGGCAGTTAATACCATTCCCTGTGTTAGAAATAAGACAAGCCTCCAAGTCAGGGGTCCTGGTAAAAACAGAACAGAAGGGTCACACACATGGTCTGGAAGCACGTGCACACTGACCTTCCTTGCCCTTGGACCTGGGCAACCTGCAGCAATGCACAGGTGCTGACTGCTAGCATGGCAAGGCATCTTCACTATCTTTATCTCTGGACTATTTCTCCTCTGTTCTTGTGGGCCACTGCTTATTCTGTGGCTGTAGTAGTCCTATCAGGTCCTCTCTGGTATCTGTTGTTGCAGGAATCCATATGGTCTTGGAGTTTTCTGGAAATATAAACATATTCTTGACCAAAGGTTAATAAATAAATCTTTTCTATAAATTAGACTTGGGATCCTTCTGATTTTTGTTAAAATAATTTTCCTTTGGCTTATTTTGACACCACAAGATTTTTCATGGGTGTCTTGTTAAAATTAATTTTAGAATAAAATTTTTTAAGCAATTAAGGCTTGATATAGTTTACTTACAGGATATTTTTTACAGGATATTATTCTACTATCCTTTATATTTAATTATTAGGAGGCTTTTGTAAAAAAATTAATGCAGTCTTAATAACCTTTTATTTTTACATAGAAATATGACTGCTTTGGACTCATTGTATGTTAAGCAATTTTAGCATGAAATGAACTACAAATAGAAATTTTAGTTAATACTTAAGGAACAGCTTTTGTACAATTAAATTTTCTTAAATATTCACTTATTTCATTTAGCCAATTTAAATTAATCTGAAAACTTGTCTATCTTAATTTACCCTGTAAATATTAATGGAAAGTATTATTTGCATCCTTGAGAAAGTTCTAAGCATTCCTAGTGTTAGGCTAGATTTAGATATATCAGCCACGTCTCTGTTGCCTGGGTCCCGATCTGCGCTGGGCCTAGTCTCTTTCTATTATCTGAGTCCCCATCTGAGCTGGGCATGGGAAGCATGAAACAGCCATGGAGGGCAGGAGACCTCCCTCGGAAGGGGTGAAGGTTCAAGCCCCTGCAATGTTGGGGGGGGGGTGAGGATCTGTGCCCCACCTCTGTTGATCCACAAGTTCTTTCCTGATGGCCCCTCTGTGACTGTGCCTGTTTTAGTTTGTTCCTTCCCTGAGGCATCTTTCCTGTCTTTGGCTAACCAGCCATCCTCCGGGGCCAAGCAGGGTGATGTGAGGTTCAGTTCTGTCTCCTTGGTAGCCTATGCCCCTGTGGCCTTCATGCCCAGTACCTGCCTTGGGGTCCCCTCACCTGCTGGCGGGGCCCCAGCATTGATCACATATCTTGGGGAACCCAGGTTTCTTCTCTGGGGAGGGCATTGTGAGAAGAGGGTCCCTCTTGGCAAAAAGGGCCAATATAGAATGCTTAAGTGCCTTCCCAAGGGGCCTTCCACACAGTGGAAGGGATTAAATTCTCTCATGTCCTTTTAAATTGCTGCCAAACATTCAAAGAATTAGTTTTTTAAGTTTGTTTACAATATGCTGTTGTAAAATATCATAATTATAATGACATTGTAGAATAATATCATGTTAGGATATTCTTTGCTCTAAGCCACATGTGTCAAACACAAGGCCCGCGGGCCAAATCCGTCCCGCCAGGCCTTGCAATGTGGCCCGCACCGCGCTGTCATCACTGCACTCCGCTGCGTTTCCATCACAATGACAGTTTATGACTGTTCAGTAAACCATTCGGCCCGAGATTTAGGCTGGATTTTAGATTTTGGCCCCTTCTCTGATTGAGTTCGACACCCCTACTCTAAGCCAATTATTCAATTTCAAATTGGCTATCAATTATTTAGTTACTTCATTTTGCCCTTCTTAAGAGGCCAAAATCTTCATAAAATTTAAAATAAAAGTATAAGTAAAATGTAGTAATTAGTTTTTATTTGATAAAGCTTTCCATGTGATTCCAAGTATCAATCAGTTTAATTAAAACTGTATTTCTTTTAAGAGAGAACAGACTTTTGAAAAACATTTTGGGGCACCATGAAAAGTCCAAAAGTTACTCTCAAAACCTTGAAATACACTTGGAAAGATCAAATACATACATATATATATATATATATATATATATATATATATATATATATGATTTAAAGATTACATACTTAAATTATCTTAAACTATCAATTACATTTAAACTGGATCATAGAATTAATCCTCTTCTTAAATCAGACCAATAAGTAACATTTTTTGAATTTCTAATTATTTAAGAGAAAATATATTTTATTTTCTCAAAAACAAGTTTCTATACTCTAGGCATTTAGTTACTACAATTATATAATTTCTCCCAATTCAATCTGAACCTTAAACTTTCAGAGCTTGCAAGTCAAATATTCAGCAGTTCTTTATTAATGACACCTTTATATTCTTAAGAATAAATTTTAAAATCCAATAATTAACTTTAAACCATGTTTTTTTCTGCTGGAGGAAACTGAGAAACAAACTTGTAGGTATTCACATGTAAACTTGTCCTTAAAAAAATGGCTACTGGCAGGAAGCTGATTTCATTTAAAAAAATATATATATTTTATTGATTTTTTTACAGAGAGGAAGAGAGAGTTAGAAACACTGATGAGAGAGAAACATTGATCAGCTGCCAAGGTACCACGGTACATGCCCTTGACCGGAATAGAACCCGGGACCTTTCAGTCCGCAGGCCGACGCTCTATCCACTGAGCCAAACCGGTTTCTTCAGTGGGAAGCTGATTTCAAAGGAGCCACCTTCTGGGGCTTAACCTTTTCTGGGAAGGGCAGCTACCAGAAAAGGTGTAGCCATTTAAATGCAAATTAACACATTCTTTAAAGATGGCAACTGGCGGGAACCAGCCTACCTGCATACTAGGGGAGGGGCGTGTCTACCCCTTCCTCCATTAAAAAATGGGTGAAGCTTTAAAACCTCTCATGGCAAGAAAGGAGACCTTAAACTTTCAGAGCTTTAAATTTTAGGTAGCAAAATTAAATACTTAGCATTTTTCAAATCAATAATACTTTTATATTTTTAAGGATACATTTTAAATAAAATATAAGGCATATTTAATTAATAGAGTAACATATCATCTAGACCTCATATAAGGCATACTCAGTATTATAACAATTCAATGCATTTATATCAGTAAACTTAAAAGTTTTAAGTTTCCAGCCAATAGGCCTGGCACAGCTGTTAACTTTTAAAAGAATTTTCCTGCTGGGGAAGTCAAGAAACAAACCCATAGCTATTCACATGTAAACTTGCTATCTACTTCCTGGTGGTTAATTGCCGCTGGATGGGAAAATTCAAAAGAGCCTGGCAAAGCCCTCCTGTATCCGCCATCTTTAAAAACGGTGGGAGATGAGGCCTTTTAAATGGCTTTCTCGGGGAGTAGCGTCCATATTGGATCACCACCTGTCTCCCTTCCCCCACCTCCTTGTTTCTTAGGGGGAAGATTCAGTAATGGTCTGGCTTCTACTATTTTTATTTTATCTTTTCAATTTTTATTTATTTTTATTTTTTAAGGAAGAAAAATATTTTTTTAGGATAAAGAATTATTGGCAGTTGCTGAGAAATTCCTTTAATCTTTTTACTTGGTTTCAAGTCTGTGGTCACAGGAAGGACACGTGGAGGCATAGGAGGTGAGATGGTATTCTTAAAGATTCACACCCTTCCATTTCAGGCTGTAAGGCCGTGGCTGCACCCCATTAGATGTTTTTTTTTAAAATATATTTTATTGATTTTTTATAGATAGGAAGGGAGAGAGATAGAGAGCTAGAAACATCGATGAGAGAGAAACATCGACCAGCTGCCTCTTGCACACCCCCTACCAGGGATGTGCCCGCAACCAATGTACATGCCCTTGACCGGAATCGAACCTGGGACCTTTCAGTCTGCAGACCGACGCTCTACCACTGAGCCAAACCGGTTTCAGCCCCACTTAGACATTCTTAAACTCACCTGTGCTGAATCAAGATCATCACCAATTAAAATAGGAATTTTCTCTGGACTTGCTGCTGAGTATTGGTCATGCAACTGCTTTCTAAACTTTTCCCAGGTTTCATCAACAAAACTTAAGAAATCAAGAATCTGACTATGCTTAACAGAATATCTTTGAGCTATGAGTGTAGTTTAAAGCATTTAGAAGGATTACCCATGTTTTACACCCAGCTAATTTAATTTGCAATACACTCCCCTTACCTTACAATTCCTTAAATCTGTGGTGCGTGCAATTCTTGGGAGCGATCCCTTGCCTCTTGTTGCCTCTTTTGGCCCACGTCGGGTGCCAGAATGTGGGGGCCAGACATGGTGGGGATCTCCATTTTCCTCATCCAGTACAGAAAGAGAGATGAACGAACCAGTTCTAAGTGAAGGCCGCCAGGGATTGAAAATAGAAATAAAGAGAGAAGACACAGAGATAGACTTTAAGCTGGGAGCTGGGTGGGCCGCCATCCTGTCTGCTGGAGAGGCAGGAGGAAGATGATGACCCCTCCCAGCACATTTATTTTATAGCCCAATTCCAGGAAGTAGCACCAACTTATTTGCATTCTTAAGTCGGCCCTAGCATGCCTGGATTTACATATCTAGTTCTGCCCCTGCGGACACCTGGGCTGATATGAAGGCCAAGCTGACAACACGTCCACCATGTTGGGGAAACATGTGCCCAAGGTGTGGCTCTGCCTACACCTTGAGTTCAGCTGATAATAATTAAGGAAATTGCCCATGTGCCTTCCTAGGCAGCCCTCTACAGCCTTCAAGTGGACGTTTTTATTCATCGTCTGCTGGACCCCAATTTCATGTGGATTCTGGCTAATTGGGGCTGAATGCAAACCATGGCAGGTAGATAAGTTAATGAAGAATGACTCTGTACTAAGAGAGAGAATGAAGCTAGGACCCCAACATTCAAACAGCATCAGCAAGCTCTTCGTGGTGTCACGGAGCATCTGTCTTGAAGGAAAATCCCAAAAGGCGGCTCATTGAGTGCCATATACCTAGGTGGGGGGAGGTGGGAGGAGGGAGGTGGGAGGAGGGCCCTGTGTCTGGGTGGGGGGAGGTGGGAGGAGGGCCCTGTGCCTGGGTGGGGGGAGGTGGGAGGTGGGAGGAGGGCCCTGTGTCTGGGTGGGGGGAGGTGGGAGAAGGGCCCTGTGCCTGGGTGGGGGGAAGTGGGAGGAGGGCCCTGTGCCTGGGTGGGGGGAGGTGGGAGGAGGGCCCTGTGTCTGGGTGGGGGGAGGTGGGAGGAGGGCCCTGTGCCTGGGTGGGGGGAAGTGGGAGGAGGGCCTGTGCCTGGGTGGGGGGAGGTGGGAGGAGGGCCCTGTGCCTGGGTGGGGGGAGGTGGGAGGAGGGCCCTGTGCCTGGGTGGGGGGAGGTGGGAGGTGGGAGGAGGGCCCTGTGCCTGGGTGGGAGGAGGTGGGAGGAGGGCCCTGTGTCTGGGTGGGGGGAGGTGGGAGGAGGGAGGAGGGCCCTGTGTCTGGGTGGGAGGAGGTGGGAGGAGAGCAGCTGTGATCAAATTCCATGTGGGACCTCCAGGCAGTGGCAGCGACTGGCCAAGGAAGAGGCTGACTGCGGGCTGGAGCCGGGACAGGTCAGCGCCCTCCAGGCCCTTCCCTCAGGCTCTGCCTTGGCTGGTGCTGCTGCCTGATCAAGCTGCTGCCACCAGGTGTCGCCAGCACCCCATCTCAGGAGGGCGGTGCTCGGAGAAGGCTCTGCAGAGGGGACCTGGCTGTGCAGGTGGCAGCCGCTGATTGCTGCGTCCCTGCTCCCCCTCTGCCTCCCTGACCATGGCTGTCACTGTGGCCACCTAAGTGCTGGGCGGTCAGGCCACGGGAGGCTATTAGAAAGCTCGCATTCCTGCTGTTCAGGGAAACGGTCCCTTCCTCACCTGATCATGACGTGTGTCCACAGACCCGGCATGCGCCCATGGTCAGGTTGGAGGCGACACTAGGGCTCTGGCTTTCTCCGTTGTCCGGTGGGCAGAAGGTAGCATCCTGCGTGTCGCTGTGGCCACTGCCTACCCGGCTCCCTGGACTTCCGGCACGGCCAGTCAGTTGTGCATTCGTCGCACTGGGTCCTCTGTCCGCTGTTGGCTGCCCACAGGGAACACTCTCCCCGGAGAAAAGAACAGGCCTCCCTCTCACGTCCACGCAGACCGCCTTTCTGGCGGGGCCTCCAGAAGCTGGGCCGTCCTGCTCTGAGCAGCAGGGTTCTCTGGGCAGCAGCTGAGTCAGGACATGGGATGCTGAGAGGCACATGCGGTGATTCTCGGTGATGCACCTCAAAACCAGAGAGGAGGGAGCCCTATTCCAAGCAGGGCCACACAATTCCACCTTCTGCCATGGGTTATGCTGCTGCTGGGGCGCTGTCGGCCCCGAATCTGGTTTAATGCGCACTTGCGTTTGCATCCCACACCCTGTAGACACAACTTTGCAGAGTCCCCTCTGGCTCCGGGACCCCTCGGGGGATGGAGAGCAGGCCAGGCCGAGGGACCCCATCTCCGGAGGGACCCCACTCACTCTGCAGACGCTGGGGAGGGACTGTGGGAGGTTGGCACCAGGTGTGTCTGGCCCGTCTCGCCCAGTCTCACCGGCCACCTTCTAATGACTTTCCTCAGTCACTTATAAACTAGATCAAACACAGTCCTCCTCAGCTGCTCCTTCTGGCTTTGTTTGCTTTGTCTTTTCAAAAATTATAATGAGCTCAGAGGTCTGGTTTCAGTTTGCAAAAGGAGGAGGAGACAGTTTCTCACTGATAACTGCGGAGTGAGAGGGATAAATGGAGGCAGAGGCTGGGGCTGAGCGTGAAGAACCAGCGCAGCAATCTCTCTGAGAGCAGCCAGGGCTGGGGCGGGGCCGGGCGGCAGCGGCGAGTGCAGGACAGTGGCCATGTGTTGCCCTTGAGCCATCAGAGGGCAGGTTGCTTAAATCAGCGCACATTTCAGAAACGCTTTCATCCAGGATGTGTGAGGGGAACAGAGGTGGCTCGTGTGTCTCCAGGGGAACCCCCGCATTCAGGGAGCTGGGCGCTCAGGCTCCTCCCTGAGCAGGGTGCCTGGCTGGGGTGCATCTGCTCAGACCCTCCTCCACCAGGTCCTGTCCGGCGCCCTGACGCTGGCTCTGTCCGGGAGATGTGACCAGGATGTGCTGCGTCTCCTGCTGGCCTCGCCTGAGGACGGGAAGGCGCGGTTGGCCGCTAAGGAGCTGTGCGGCCTGCCCGGGGCCAGCGTGTACTCTCTGCTTGCGTCTGTGAGTCGCCACCTGGACCTGCGCAGCTTCGTTTACAAGGTGAGGCGCCCCCTGGCGTGGCCTGTGATGTCCGTGGGCTGCCTCTGGGGGCGGGGGAGAGGCCAAGAGAGAATAGAGCAGCAGGTGCGCGCCGCTCAGATGCCCCTGAGAGGAGAGCGTGGTGGTGGTTACTCCGTGTGTGTTTTCCTTCCAGACGCTCATGCCAGCTGAGGCCCAGGGTGTGCTCAGCTCCCTGCTGGCCGTCGTCTCCAGGCTCAGCCACCTGCTCCCCAGGGCCAGCCACGTCCTGGAACACCTGCCCCAGTTTCTCCACACGCCCAACATCATGGCCTTGCTGGACCTGCCCGCCGCTCGGCAGGTGTGTGTGTGACCGGGCCTCAGGGTGGCCTTCGGACGTGCTGGCCTCCGGTCCTGCTGCCTGCACTTCTTTTGCCGCATCTAGTTCTGCCCAGACCAGGATGCAGGACAGGAAGCCCTCTGAAGGGCACTGGAGGCAGCAGCAGGACACAAAGCCAGGCTGGCATCTCTGAGGAGGAGGCTGGGCCGCTTGTGCTGGTCCGAGTCAGCATAAAGGAGGGTCCTGGGCCCGTGGGCCTAAGTCACAAACCTTAAAGCAGTTCCTTCATGTAAACAATCAGCATACAAATTACAGATCATTTCTGCAACATAGGCAAACTCGAATGAGTTAGTGGTGTGATATTTGTCTTGGCTTCAACTCTCTCTGCCTGGGATGGAGCTGACTGGGAGGGAGTGTGGGGGGTATGGGCATGGGTGCAGGATGTGGCAGGTGGTGGGATGAGTCCTCAGAGCTGCCCATCAGCCAGGGGACAGTTTGGGGATAGAGACCACACTGAGAGTGTTAGTCTGCATTAGCGATATTTGTGGATTAAAGCTCATCGCTGGGCAGGGATTGGCTGTGTGTGTGGCTCACTGAGGTGTGTCTCCACATGCTCTTAGGCTTCCCCCGGGGCCCCGGCCTCAAGCTCAGCCCTTGGCTCCTTCCAGGCTGTGGTGACGATGGTGTGCCAGGAGCAAGAGTCCTTTCTTAGCAACTCTAACATGTTCCTTAACCTGCCCAGAGTTAACGAGCTCCTGGAAAGTGACAAAGAAAAATTCAACATTCCTGAAGACTCAAGTAAGAAAACTGTAACCCATGATTGCTTAGATTAATTTGCATATTGACCATTTGCTTTGCTTTATACAAAATACTTTGTGTAGAAGGTTGGCAAGGAATTTCTTTTCCACCCTCTAACTTTTGTCCTTCCTTTTTATTGGAATTTTAAATTTTCAGTTACAGTTGACATTCAGTATTATATCAGTTTCAGGTGTATAACATAGTGATGAGTCATTTATATAATTTATGAAGTGATTCTTCTTCCCTCGCGCCCCACCCCCATTAGTCTAGTGTCCACCTGGCACCATAGATGCAAAAATTCTCAGCAAAACATTAACAGATCAAACTCAGCAATACATTAAAAGGAAAATACCCACAATCAAGTGAGGTCCATTCCTGGAATGCAAGATTGGTTCAATATCTGCAAATCCATTGACATTATACCTACATAAACAAAATGAAAATCATATGATCGTACCAACTGATGCAGGAAAAGCATTTGACACGATTCAGAACCCATTCATGACAAACTCTCTCAGCAAAGTGTCCTTCCTTCTCAGGCAGGCTGCCCAGCGCTGGCGTGGCAGCTGCACATACACACGAATATGTCTCTTCTGAAGTCAGAGTCGCTCCTGTCTGCATCAAGCTTATAATTTAAAGTGAAAGATGTTAAACTGTCAGAGCAAGCTCTATAATTCTTGCTTTAAGTTCACTATGGGCACATGCTCTTACTTTACTTTTATGGGATTATTTCTATCGAGTTCATAGTACTTTTTGAATAAAAGCACTTGTTTTCCTTTTCACCTGGTGGACGTGGGAGGAAATAGCTACAACTCTGCTCTTCATACTTGGGTGTCAGGAGTCGGGGATCGACGCCAAGAGAACATTTCCATTGCCCATGCTCTCTCGGGGCCAGAGGGACAGGAGCACTCGCCAGCTTCAGGCCTGACCACACTTGATCCTAATTGCTATGGCGAGGCAGGCTCTGCCTTCATTCCTGCCTGTGGTTGAGCCCAGCAAACGCACCGCACCACCATGAGGAGTGGAGGATCTGAGAAAACAAGGCATTTTCACATATCAAAGGAGTACATGCCACAGCTCTGTATAGTGCAGCAAAGAAAACCCAGTAGCAATTTATAAAGCAAACTTTATTTAAAAAGTCTGTGCTGGTCCCCAAACTATACCGGGCTCTCTGGACTAGGGGCTGGGCTTCCCTTTTCTCCGTTTCCGTCGTTGGTGTCCCTGCCGGCCCTGGTGCTCTCATCGATAGCTCGGTGTGACAAGTAAAGGTCACACTTCGTTTCTTTCAAACATGGATGAGAAAGTGGTACCTGAGCTTCTCATGAGACAAGAGCCACTAAACACAGCCAGGAACCACGTTCCGGAGTCTCTGCCCAAATGCAGACTTGGATCACTCACTCACTGCAAATGAGCCCCCCTCACCGGGGCATCCCATCTGGGTAACACTTTCTGTTTTAATCGCCACAGCACCGTTTTGCTTGAAGCTTTACCAGGAAATACTGCGGTCTCCAAACGGCGCTCTGGTGTGGGCCTTCCTGAGGCCGGTGTTACACGGGAAGATCCTGTACGCACCCAGCACCCCGGAGGTGGATGAGGTCATCCGGAAGGTAAGCTGCGGGGCGAGGGGCTGGAGAGCCACACGGCAGTGCTCTGGAAGCCGCCTTTAAAGAGAATGAACGTCATGGTCACGCGGGTGGGACTCCATAGGGCCTCTCAGGTTGATTACAGCTTATTCTGGCTAGTTTCCCCTGCTCTGTGGCCATTACGGTGGGGTGTGCAGTCAGGCTCTGAGGGACCCTGGAGGCAGGAGGGCTCGGATGCAGTACTAGCCAGGTGAGGATGGACAGACAGGAGGCCGGGCGAGAGCAGGGCACAGGGGCACGGGTGTCGGTTCGCTGGTTGTGCATCTGGTGACAGGCGTGGCCTCTGGGCATGCTGTGAAGGTAGGCCGGGCTGTTCCCTGCCAGCTGAGCTGCACCCCAGGGCGAGGGCGGGGGCGAGGACAGGGCTGGGGGGGCGGGGCTGGGGTGGGGGCGAACCCAGCAGTAGCGCCTGTGAAATGCTTGATTTCCCTCCTTGCTGCTGACTCCTCGGCGCTGACTACGGCAAGACTCTTATTCCCACACGTGCACTTTCCCTTGAGACAGTGGTCGGCAAAATGTGGCTCTCGGGCTACATGCAGCTCTTTGGCCCCTTGCGTTTTTAGCAAAGGCCAGCTTAGGAGTGCCCTAATTAAGTCAGTAACAATGTACCTACCTATATAGTTTAAGTTTAAAAAATGTGGCTCTCAGAAGAAATGTCAGTCGTTGACTGTGGATGTTTGGCTCTGCTGCCTAATGAGTTTGCCGACCGCTGCCTTAGATGCTGCGCTGCTTTCGTGGGGTCTTGTTGTGGCCCAGGGGCGTCTGAGCCTGCGGTGCCGTTAGGTCACCACGGAGGATGCGGTGGCTTCTGTGTAGGTCCGAGGTGGGGGGAGCGAAAAAGCGAAGGCTGGCGTTAATTTAGTCAGCCAAGGTGTATCGGAGGCATCTACTGTTCTAGACAGTGAGGTCAACATGGGGACCCCGTGGGAACAGGTGGGGAAGCAGGGGAGCAGGTGGGGCCCCGAGGAGGTGGACGGTAAGTGGGTGGAGGAGTCTGGTGAGGTCTCGGGGACACACTTCAGACCCAGGGCCTGAGGGGGGCACGTGGCAGACCTGCCCTGGGACCCAGTCCTTCCGCTCTTCTCTGCGGGCGCACGGCTGACTCTCCAGCAGACACGGAGGCGTAGCCAGATGTGCTCTGTCTGCAGGCCAATCACACGTTCGTGTATGTGGACAAGCTGAGGGCTTTGTCAGAGACGCTGCTGAGTGTAGCCAGCAGCTCCCAGAGCGGTGGGCGCGGCCGGACGCTGGGGCAGCTGCAGGTGAGCGTGCTCCTCGCCCGGGTGTGTGTGTGTGTGTGTGTGTGTGTGTGTGTGCGCGGGGGGGGGGGGGGGGGGGGCGTCTGGGAGAAGGTCTGCCGTGGCGGCGGCCGGCTTTCCCAGTGCCGGGGACCCTGTCGCACGGGCTTTCCGTACCGGCGCAGTGACAGCCTCCCGGGGGTCACGGCTCCCTGTCGCCTTCTGTGGCTCACGGGCGTGCAGCCTCTTTCAGGATGGCTCACGTTGTGCCCTTCCTTGAACAACAATGAACTGAGTGAACCACCAGCTCAGTAAGAAAAACGATGCCATTGTTTTTGTTAAACCGCCTTTTCCTTTAGGAAGTCCTGAGAAGCAAGTTTATAAGAAACTTTGTGGAAAGCCAGTTACACATCAACGTAGACAAACTGACTGAGAAGCTGCAGACGTATGGTAAGTGTGTGTGAGTGTGTGTGTGAGTGTGTGTTAGAGTGTGTGTGAGCATGGATGTGTGTGTGAGCGTGGATGTGTGTGAGTGTGTGTGTGTATGTGTGAGCATGGATGTATGTGTGAGTGTGTGTATGTAAGCCTGTGGGTGTAGGTGTATGAGACTGCGTGTCCCTGCGTCTGTAGTGTCCACGGTGGGGACGGCAGGCGCTGTGCTGGGGACGCTGCCTTGTCCCGTGCTCACTCCTCAGCAGGGGGCCTGGGCCAGATGCTGAGCCGCTTGGGCACCGCAGACCTCCTGTCCCTGGGCCCCGCGCTGGTCAACCTGTCCTCCTGTGTGCTGCTGGACCGCTTCCAGGGGCTGCCGTCCGCCGCCGCCCTGGAGGCCGCCGCCCCCGGGCTCATGCGGCAGAACCGCCTCCTGGCCAGTAAGTGTCCACGGCAGACCGCGCTCACGGGCCCAGCCAACAGTCCCTCCCTGGGACAGCACGGCCCGCCCCCAATCCGTCCTCCGGGCTCCCTGCGGGCTGCTCCGGGCGACGCTGTTGTCCGTCTGTCCCTCAGGCGTCATCTTCAACACCTCCGGGCGCCGGCGCTCCGGCCCGCACGCGCCCCCGCTGCCGCCCCGCGTGGCCTACACCATCCGGACCAGCCTGCTGTACAGCGTGCAGACGGACCAGGCCGAGAACCCCTTCTGGAAGTTCCACCCCCAGAGCCTGCCGGCCGACGGCTTCAAGTACAACTACGTCTTCGCCCCGCTGCAGGACATGCTGGAGCGGGCCCTGCTCCGGGTGCAGACCAGGCGGGAGAACGTGGGGCCCTCCGCGCAGGCGCAGCCCATCCCGTACCCCTGCCACAGCAGCGACCTGTGAGTGCCGGGTCCCCCCCCCCCCCCGCGTCCCCTCCCCACCGGGCCCCCCCGCCCCCCGGCCCCTATCCCCCCGCATCCCCTTCCCCCCGCGCCCCTCCCCCCCGCATCCCCTCCCCACCCCGTCCCCGAGCCCCCGAGCCCCCTCCCCACCGAGCCCCCTCCCCACCGCGTCCCCTCCCCACCGCCTCCCCTCCCCACCGCGTCCCCTCCCCACCGCCTCCCCTCCCACCGCGTCCCCTCCCTACCACGCCCCCTCCCCACCGGGCCCCCCCCCTTCCCACCGCGCCCCCTCCCCACCGCGCCCCTTCCCCCCTTCCCCCCCCTCTCCCCGCGTTCCCTCCCCACACGTCCCCTCAGAGTGAGGCTGGAGTGGCCCCTCCTGGGCTCTGTGTTGTCATCTCCTCATCGGGGACTGGCCGTCTGCTCAGGGACTTAGGGGGCGCTTCTCAGGCACCAGGCCCCGCTGGGAGGACAGTTGTGGGACAATGCCATGCGGCAGCTTGAAAGACCCTCAGGTCAGGGTGCAGTGCCCCCCTCCAGGCTCTGCAGGGCTGACTCCCAGGCCCCCCTGTGGGAACGAGGGAAGCAGGAAGGGCTCTCTCCGGCAGATTTTTAAAGACGGGTGTGCTGCCCATGCAGGCCAGAGTGTGACAGAGCCTGCGTAGCTGCAGGGCCAGTGTGCACTCAGGCAGGATAGTGTAGGGGGCACGCGGGCCACTGAGGACCTCCCTGAGGCAGCCTCCATGGAGGGGGTGCAGCCAGTTAGCCAGAACTCCGGGAGAGGGGAGGGCGGGAGGGAGACGCATGCAGACGCCCAGGAGTCCCTCTGGGGACACGAGGGAGGTGGGCAGTGGCTGGTGGGGGGCTCTCTCTCTCCCTCCCCCCTCGTCCCTTCTCTCTTTCTTTCCCCCTCTCTCCCTCTCCCATTTGTCATGTTAGCAGCCATGGCTCCTGCTCTGAGGACACACGTGGGGAACGCTACTTTGAGTGCAGGTGGGACGGGAGCGATTCTCTATAAAAGTCAATGTTCCCGTCAGCGTGACTCACGGGTGGTCCTGGCAGGACGCCTTTGTGGTGCGCTCCATGCACGCAGAGAATTTCCATGTCAATGTGCTGCTTCAGAGCGCGGGCAGCTGAGGGAGGCTCAGGAAACGAACAGCAGCTGCAGAGCTGTTCCACCTGCACACCGGCTCCTCGGCTCCTCAGAAGGCACTGCTCCCTGCCCCTGCCCAGGCCCTGCTGTCCACAGGAGCCGCTGGTCCGGGGAGGAGGAGCGCTGCTCTCCTGAGGATTGGGGGGCTCCCTCCTGAGGATTGGGGGGCTCCCTCCTTAGGACCTGGGGGGGCTCCCTCCTGAGGATATTGGGGGGCTCCCTCCTGAGGATTGAGGGGCTCCCTCCTGAGGATCTGGGGGGGCTCCCTCCTGAGGATATTGGGGGGCTCCCTCCTGAGGATATTGGGGGGCTCCCTCCTGAGGACCTGGGGGGGCTCCCTCCTGAGGATCTGGGGGGCTTCCTCCTGAGGATATTGGGGGGCTTCCTCCTGAGGATATTGGGGGGCTCCCTCCTGAGGACCTGGGGGGGCTCCCTCCTGAGGATATTGGGGGGCTCCCTCCTGAGGATCTGGGGGGCTTCCTCCTGAGGACCTGGGGGGGCTCCCTCCTGAGGATCTGACCGGGAGGGAGGGTGCTGGGGGAGTGCCTGACCGCACTGGTCCCCTCTGGCCCTGGCTGTGGAGTCAGTGGTTACCAGCAGAGAGCTGGGAAGTCGGAGGAGGACGGTAGCTCAGCACCTCTGACCGGCGGGTGCTGTTTGCCCCTCTTCGTGGGGCGATGTGTGTCGTACACACGGAACCACACCCTGCCAGGGGCGCAGGCGCTGCTCTCTCCATGGGAACCGTGGGCTGATGTGTGCGTGGCGGTGAACAGTGGGTCACAGGCCTCGGATGCTGGTGACTGGGCTTCTCAGGACCAGAGAGCCTCAGGCCGTGATCTTCTGGGGCCTCTGGGGAGCGAGTCACCACAGGGGCAGGCGGTGAGGCCACAGCCCTGTCAATACTCACAGCCCTTGTGAGTTTGCACAACTACTGAGTCAGGACCCCAAAGAGCTGTCCTGCCTGTCACAGGCCTGCTGCCATGGCCGGGGAGACTGTTCCGACAGGGCTCAGTGGGAGGGGGCAGCGAGGGGACAGCGTGGGGACAGTGTGTGTGGGAGGGGGCAGCGTGGGGACAGTGTCTGTGGGAGGAGACAGCGTGGGGACAGTGTCTGTGGGAGGGGACAGCGTGGGGACAGTGTGTGTGGGAGGGGATAGCGTGGGGACAGTGTGTGTGGGAGGGGATAGCGTGGGAACAGTGTGTGTGGGAGGGGATAGCGTGGGGACAGTGTCTGTAGGAGGGGACAGCGTGGGGACAGTGTCTGTGGGAGGGGACAGTGTGGGGACAGTGTGTGTAGGACAGGACAGCGTGGGGACAGTGTCTGTGGGAGGAGACAGCGTGGGGACAGTGTCTGTGGGAGGGGGCAGCGTGGGGACAGTGTGTGTGGGAGGGGGCAGCGTGGGGACAGTGTGTGTGGGAGGGGGCAGCGTGGGGACAGTGTGTGTGGGAGGGGGCAGCGTGGGGACAGTGTGTGTGGGAGGGGGCAGCGTGGGGACAGTGTGTGTGGGAGGGGACAGCGTGGGGACAGTGTCTGTGGGAGGGGGCATCGTGGGGACAGTGTGTGTGGGAGGGGATAGCGTGGGGACAGTGTGTGTGGGAGGGGATAGCGTGGGGACAGTGTCTGTGGGAGGGGACAGCGTGGGGACAGTGTGTGTGGGAGGGGGCAGCGTGGGGACAGTGTCTGTAGGAGGGGGCAGCGTGGGGACAGTGTGTGTGGGAGGGGACAGCGTGGGGACAGTGTCTGTGGGAGGAGACAGTGCGGGGAGAGCGTGTGTGGGAGGGGGCAGCGTGGGGACAGTGTCTGTGGGAGGGGGCAGCGTGGGGAGGCATGCTCAGCGCAGTGCTGCCCACCGGCGCTCACAGGCCACCGGGCGCCTCCTCACAGGTTCCTGAACCACGTGGGCTTCTTCCTGCCCCTGATCATGATGCTGACGTGGGTGGTGTCTGTGGCCAGCATGGTGCGAAGGCGGGTGTACGAGCGGGAGATCCAGATGGAAGAGGTGAGTGGGGGCTGGCCTGGGGACGCTCTGCCCCTCCCCTCTGCGGGCTCCGCGTGGAGAATCTGTCCCGGGAAAGCATCGCCAGCCGAAGCCTGGGTTCAGGTGTCCCTGTGAGCTCGGGAGGGAGGTGGGAGGAAGTGAAGGCACATGATGTTGGAAGAGGAAACCTGTGTGCTCATTTAGCAGTTCTATATTTTTATCTTCCCAGGGACATGTTTATTGGAGAGAGGAAGGGCGAGAGGGACAGGGGAGAGAGACACCCATCGGCTGCCTCCTGCACTCACCCCACTGGGGATGAAACACGCAGTCTAGACGTGTGCCCTGGCGCGAAGCAAGCCTGCAGCCTTGTGGTGCACGGTTGGTGCTCCAGCCAGTGGAGCCGCCGCCCAGCCCAGCCATTCTCATTCCCCTCAGGACACAGGGCAGCCAGCGTCCCTCCTAACCTGGAGCTGGACTCTTCAGGCCCAGCCGTGCTCTTTCTGCCAAAACCCAAACTATCAAAACTGCTTTTAACAAGGCAGGTGTCCAGGAGCCCTCCCGCCTCCAGCCACAGGAGGGCGCGGCGGGAGACACAGGCAGTGCTTACTTACTGTTTGTTAGGCACAGACAGACGTGCAGGTGCCCGAGCGCCGCTCCGCTCCATGTGGCGCTGCCCGCTGCTCTGCACGCCTCCCCCCTGGGCAGAGGGCCTGGGGTACGGTCAGCCTCATGGGCTCCCAGCTCCTTGGCCAGAAATCCTTCCTCATGTTCAGTATCGCGATGTCATAGACGAGCAAGTGAATTAATTTTATTAAGCTACTTCAAACTGAATGACTTAGCAAAACTCACTCTAAAACCTATGCATGATCCCTGGAACTTAAGGAAAGTATTTCTCCCTTCCTTTTTTTTTTTTTTTATATGTTTTATTGATTCTTTACAGAGAGGAATAGAGAGGGATAGAGAGTTAGAAACATCGATGAGAGAGAATCATCGATCAGCAGCCTCCTGCTCCCCTCCCTCCCCCCTTCCCCCCCTGCACTGGGGATGTGCCCACAACCATGGTACATGCCCTTGACTGGAATTGAACCCGGGACCCTTCAGTCCGCAGGCCGACACCCTATCCACTGATCCAAACCAGTGTCCTTATTAAACAAAACCAGCACAGGCAAGATGGAAAGCAGCATGAAATGGAGTGAAAGCGAACCACGGGGGTGGGAGGCACGTGGCCTGCAGCGGGCGGCCGGGCGGGACCTGCCCTGAGCCGCCCCGCGTGGTTTTCTGCGAGGAGCTGTTCCCACGCCCTGGCTGCCCTCACGCGGGCCCCCCTCCTCTGTGGGCTCCTAAGGACGACGCGCAGGCGCAGGGACGTGCCTGGCACAGAGCCCTCGGGAGGATGTCCTCTGGGGCGCCCACCTGCCAGCTGCCTTCCCCAGGGCGGACCCTTCTCGGCACCCCCTGTGGTAATGCTTCCTCTCCCGGCAGTACCTGCGCATGATGGGGGCGCCCCCGGCCGCCAGCCTGCTGGCCTGGTTCCTGGAGAACATGGCTGTGGTGGCTGTGGGCAGCGCTGCGCTGGCCGTGGTGCTGAAAGCCAGCGGCATCTTCGCACACAGCGACGCCCTCATCCTGTTCCTCTTCCTGCTGGCCTTCGGGGTGTCGGCGGTCACGCTGAGCTACCTGCTGAGCGCGTGCTTCAGCCGCGCGGCCCCGGCCGCACTCTGCGGCAGCCTGCTGTACCTGGCCAGCTTCCTGCCCTACATCGTGCTGCTGGTGCTGCGGGGCCGGCTCAGCGCGCCCGCCCAGATGCTCCTGGTGAGTGAGGGCGGCTCTGCCCACTGCCCAGCGGGACAGCTCCCCTCGGACAGCACCCCTCACCGCCGCGTTCCCTGCCCTTTCCCCAGGCCTCCTTTCCTCGGGCCACCCCGGAAGGAACTGCTGTGGCTCAGGGGCCCTGGGGGTGCTGGTGGCAGGCAGCTCGGATGGGCGTCTCCCCTCACAGCCCTCCCGGGGAGACGGGGCGACCCCCAGTACCCACGGAGCATGCATGGGCAGGCACGGGATCCCATAGCTGTGGAGCAGTCAGCCCCAGCCTCCTCCTGGAGCTCTGCACCTGCCAGCCCACCTAGTGGGAGGCTGTCCGCCAGCAGCGCCGGCTGCCACACTCGGTGCACCCACGCAGTGCGCCACTCAGTCCGGGGACTCACGGAGAGAACGGCTCACCTTTCATGACCCTCCCGGCGCGGTGCCGCTCGCCGGTGGGCACGTGGTGGCGGGGAAGGGATGGAAGGATCATTAATGGGGTCAGGCTCCGTGCACACATGGGCTGCCTCACGGTTCACGCCCTGCAGGTGCGCCACGCTGCCCGTGGGTCCGTGGTGGGAGGTCTCCTTGTGCTGAGCCGAGGGAGAATGTTCTGTGTGAGCCACACCCCCTCCTCCAGCATCAGTGGACCCTCTGTGCCCGGTCCCCGCTGGCCACGCACACAGCACAGCCCGCGTGCAGGCGGACAGGCGCTCCTGTTGGGCGGGCATCGTGCCCATCGCCTGGTGCCCGTAGTGTGACCGCTTGCCTCTCCTTGTAAAACCCGTGACCTCAGTTTGGGCTGCTGTCAGTCAGGTTTTCAGGGGAATGAAAGCCGCCCGGCCATGTGGGGCCTGTATGCTCTACACGTGGAAAGGCATGGATTTCAGGCACTGTGCTCGTTTCACTCCCACCTCAGGGGAAGGGCGCCGTGCACACACAGTGTGGTTTCCTTTTTGCAAGTTCAGGTCCGTTATGTTTTTAATAACACAGGCGCCTTTTCAGCCGCCTTTCCTGGCATGGGCGCTCCCCTGTGAAGCGGTTCCCTCGGCGCTCGATTGTCCTGGCCAGGACACGTGTGCCATCCTCAGCCTGCACTGGGCGGGGGCCCGGCTCAACACAGAACATAGGAAATGCCCTCCCCACAGCCATGTGCCCGCATGTGCCCCCAGCGGGGGATCTCTCTGCAGGCGCTGCAGGAAAGAGAAATAATGCCTTTTACGTTAAAAACAAGCTTGTCCCACGCGTTTCCGGGGGCTGACAGTGGGCTGAGTGTCCAGGCGTGGACGCTGGCTTCCCAGGGCCCGAGAGGAACCGCGTGGCGCTGTGGCATCCTGTCCCGCACTCACCAGCGGCCGTTTCTCCCCCTCGCTCCGCAGTGCCTCCTCTCCACGACCGCCTTTGGACAAGGAGTGTACTTCGTCACGTTCCTGGAAGGGCAGGAGGCAGGTGAGCCGGTGCGGCTCCGGGCGGCTCCGTGGTTGGGGGTTAGGGTTTGCATGTCCGTTGTGGGCGGACAGCAGGAAGTCCCCACCACAGAGCCGGGCCTGGGAACGAGAAGCTGGTGCTCACGTGGCTGTGCAGCACCCGCGCGCCCAGCTGCCTGGCACCAGGAGCCTCAGGAATAGCTGCAGCGCCTGGTCCAGCCGCTGCCCGGCTCTCCTCATGGCACCCGATACTCCGTTCTCTTAGCGACCTTCCGAATTCTTCAAGGAATGGGGTGTGCACACGCCATCTCAGGGTCCTGTGGAGCTGGTACTGCCTCCCTGGGTCCCTGCCCACTTCCCCAGTTTCTCTTCCCACTTCTCTCGTCACATGTCAGCCTCCACCGGGGTCTGCCCGCTCTCATCTCTGCGTCCAGAAAGGGACTTAGCCACGGCGGAGAGGGTACAGTTATCCACTTCACTCCCAGGACGGTATCCCTTTAATTCGGCCTAAAATGACATTTAAAAAATGGATTGGCAGCCTTTCCCACTTACCTTGAAATGTTGACAACTGACATCCTAAGCCGGGACAGACATATATTTCTTACATATTTATGTGGTTTTTATGAACATTTACACTTAAAATATATGCAATAAATGGACTCACCTCCTGCTACTGTATATTAGCCCTTTCACTGGGCGTTGGTCTTGGAGTTCTCAGACATTTCAGCAAAACACTCAATTTATGGAGGCCGTGCCGAGAGAGCAGAGCAAGCCCAGGCCTCCTGAGTGCCTGCAGAGGCGAGGAGACAGTCACTGTTAGTCCTTGGAGTGTTTAGGACTGAACTCAAGCAAGTGCTAGAGTGTATTTTTAAAAAAATATATATTTTATTGATTTTTTTACAGAGAGGAAGGGAGAGGGATAGAGAGCTAGAAACATCGATGAGAAAGAAACATCGACCAGCTGCCTGCTGCACAACCCCTACCGGGGATGTGCCCGCAACCAAGGCACATGCCCTTCACCGGAATCAAACCTGGGACCCTTCAGTCCGCAGACTGATGCTCCATCCACTGAGCCAAACCAGTTTTGGCGTCAGCGTGTGTTTTATATGAGAGTTCCAGGCTGGTCCCTGAGGGAACTGAGGAAGAGGCTGTCTTACTTAGCGGATGCTTTAACCCAGCAGCAAATTGCAAATACATTGTAAGAAAGAAAGAGTGGTCCTAGCCCGCCCCAGGCCTTCTGCGTCCTGTTCACACGTTTCCTAGGAGCACAGACCACGATATAAGGTGGGCTGGATGGGCAGGAGCCTTCTGTACCTTTCTGTATGGCACGCCTGTTTTCTCCATAAGGGAGGTAGGCGCCTTCCCAACACTTTAAATGCTGGACATTAAATATTAATGTTGCTGTGCCAGTATCATCGAACCCAGCGCCTCCTTCGGCTTCAGCTGCTGCCAGCTGTGCCAGAGCCTCCAGGACTAGCACCCGGTCTCCCCGGGTTGACTCTGCCCTCCCTCCCTCCTTCCCTCAGGGGTCCAGTGGGGCAACCTGTACCAGCCTTCGGAGCAGGCAGGCCTGGCGCTCGGCTGGGTCTGCGTGATGATTCTGGTCGACTCGGGCCTTTACTTTCTATGTGGCTGGTACCTGAGCAACTTGGTTCCTGGTAAGACTCCTACCCTTTGTAATGAAGCGCGGGCCGTCTTGTTCCAGGAGCCTCTGTGTTGTAGAAGCTGCTGTCTAAAGTTTCCCACTGAAGCAGACGGCTCCTTGTTCTGTTAGCTGACTGCTATTTGGCTTCTGTGAACAAGCTTGCTCGAATCTCTGCTAAGGGAAGGGTCTGGTTCCTCCCACACCAGGCACCTTCTGGTTATATCTGAGTTGTGCTGTGCTCAAGGCCATAAGCTCCCTGCAAGGTAGTTAGTTACTAGGCACACTGCCCCCCCTCTCCCCCCCATCCCAGCTCACAGAACTTCTTTCATTTTTTAAAAAAGCTTACAAAAGGTCCGGAAGTCTCATTCCATATTTGGAAGACAAAGAGACCTAGAAAATAAAAGTGTAAAAGCTTCCTCATGTTTCGGAGCCAGAATTTCTTTGGTGAAGGAAGACTTTGGCATGTTTCACGTTTTGGAGCCATTTGGCGCTCCCATTCGTTTACATTAATAGACCAGTGAGGGGTATCTTAAAGTCCACATCGGTTAGAGCGGGGATGGTCTAATTAGCAAGTCACCATTAATATCCAACTTATTTCTGATGTCTCTCTCCTGGCTCCGAAGGCTCTCCCAGCTGCCCTCTTCCCACCTGCGTTGCCCCTGCTCCGGAGGCCGCAGGGGCAGGGACGGAGGCCCAGGCGTGGCCTGTGCGGGGGAGGAAGTCAGGCCCGATGACTAGTCCACGGCGCGTGTGGAACGTGTCGGCAGGGACTAGTGCTTTGTGTTCACGAGGTAGGACATCCCGTTACAGCTGCATGTCTGACGGTGGCTCGTTTCAGGCGCCGTGGGCTTTCGGAAGCCGTGGTACTTCCCCTTCACGGCCTCCTACTGGAGGGGCGCGCGAGGCCTGGCCACCCGGAGGCCGTGCGCCCGCGGCTCCGGGCCGCTCTCCCTCCGTGAGGACGCCGGGCACACAGGTCTGTACGGAGCATGTGCGACAAGCAGGCATAGGGTTCCCGGGCTCCCCTCATCCTCCCCTGGGCTCCCTGGAGGCCAGTCCCGTTCCTGCCCCCGGGAGCTGCCAAGGACAGCAGGAGGGTGCTCCCCGCCCCAAGTTCTGCCTCCCTGGCCCGTCGGAGGACGGCAGGGGTCCGAGTGCACAGCTCTCAGACGGTTCACTCCCAGCCTGTCTGTAAAGCAATGGCTTCCCTGGTTACCCATGGAAACAGAGCTTCTCAGACCTGGCCCTCTCCCTCCTCCCCAGAGTAATGCTTGAGGACTTTTTTTAAAAATATATATTTTATTGATTTTTTACAGAGAGGAAGAGAGAGGGATAGAGACTTAGAAATATCGACGAGAGAGAATCATTGATCAGCTGCCTCTTGCACACCCCCTATTGGGGATGTGCCCGCAACCAAAATACATGCCTTTGACTGGAATCAAACCTGGGACCTTTTAGTCCGCAGGCCGACGCTCTATCCACTGAGCCAAACCGGTTTCGGCTTGAGGACGTTTTGGTGTGTAATCTGCTTGCTGTTGTCCTTTGCATATGCACATACACATGTGTGTCTGTGTGCATACACATGAGCGTGCATGCTTGTATTAGTGTGTGTGTATGCATGTATGTACATGTGGGTTTATTTTTAATTTTTTAAAATTAAAGGGGATTAAAATTATTGATTTTTTTTTTACAGAGAGAAAGGGAGAGGGATAGAGAGCTAGAAACATCAATGAGAGAGAAACAACGATCAGTTGCCTCCTGTACCACTCCCCCTCACTGGGGATGTGCCCACAACCAAGGTACATGCCTTTGACTGCAGTTGAACCCGGGACCATTCATTCCTTAGCTGGCTCTCTATCCACTGAGCCACGGGTTTTGGACATGTGTGTTTATTTTTGTTTCATTACAGAATGGATACCATGAGGGTACAAACCTTTGTAATCAGAAGTTTTGCTTAATTTTTGCCATTATGTAGCTTGCCTCTCGATTTTGGGGAAGGAAGACTTCTGCATGTTCCACATGTTTTGGTACCAGAATCCATGCCTGAGGCCACCGCTGGGCCACTGCACTATGGGGTGCCATCCTCTCGGTGTGCTTGCATCTCCACAGGGTCATTGCCTCAGCGTGGGAACGGGGAGCGGGAAGGAGGCCCCCCTGGTGTCACCCTGGTGTCCGTGACCAAGGAGTACCAGCCCCACCGGGCGGCTGTGCGGGACCTGACCCTCACCTTCCACAGAGGCCAGATCACCGCCCTGCTGGGGGCCAACGGCGCCGGGAAGACCACCATCATGTGCGTCCGCTTCCACCTCGCAAAACTTGGGGCTCCCCCTCCTGAATGCCAGTCCACCCAGCAGCGAGGCTCGGTTCCTTTCTCACGGAGGAAGCACTGCCCTCTGCCCATTGCCTTCTGCCTCTGCCCCCTGCCCCTGCCCTCTGCCCTCTGCTCTTTGCCCCCTGCCCTCTGCCCCCTGCCTTCTGCCTCTGCCCCCTCTCCTCTGCCCCTGCCCTCTGCCCTCTGCCCTCTGCCCCCTGCCCTCTGCCTTTGCCCCCTGCCCCCTGCCCTCTGCCTCTGCCCCTGCCCTCTGCTCTCTGCCCCCTGTCCTCTGTCCTCTGCTCTCTGCCTCTGCCCCTGCCCTCTGCCCTCTGCCCCCGCCCTCTGTCTCTGCCCCTGCCCCTGCCCCTGCCCCTGCCCTCTGCCTAGCTGCTGTGCCTCCCCAGTCCCCAGCCGCCCTGAGGCCTGGGGCAGGCACTAGGAGAGGCTAAAGGGTTCTAAAATCTTTAATTCTTCCTGTTTTCCCTACAATGAACTCACCTGCTTTTACTTGGATCTTGGAAAGTTCTAGGGCCCTTTTCATTGTTCTCCTCAGTTAATTGTGTTTGCTTTTCTGTGGGAAGGGGACATTCGGAGCCAGTTTGTAGTTCTCTGAACACCTGAATAGTTTTTCATGTCCTGGTTTTGTGTGGTTGGCTTTTTTGTTTTTTTTAGATTAGATGTTTAGTTTAGAATCCAAAGGCTATGCATTTGTCCCAGAGAAATAAGAAGCTCAGATGTTCGAGCCACAAAACAGCTGAGCGGCTTGTGGGACGGAGGCCCTGTAGGCTGAGCCTCTGGTGATGGCGGACGGCCTGGGGGCAGCCTGTCTCTGCCCTTCAGCTGCTCACGGTGCTCCTGATGCAGCTGACGGGCAAGGAATGCACACGAGGCTTCAGAAACCTCAGGGGAGCATGCTAGAAGGGAAACATGGGTTTCCTCTCTCCGTGGGCCCGGCTGGAGCCCGGCCTCTGGGTGTCCCTCCCAGCAGCTCTCAGAGGACAGGCTCCAGGGCCCGCCCTTAGCAGACTGATCGTCACTGTTTGTTTGTTTTAAAAATATATTTCATTGATTTTTCTCAGAGAGGAAGAGAGAGGGATGGAGAGTTAGAAACATTGATGAGAGAGAGATATCGATTAGCTGCCTCTTGCACACCCCCTCCTGGGGATGTGTCCGCAACCAAGCTACATGCCCTTGACTGGAATCAAACCCAGGACCCTTCAGTCTGCAGGCCAACGCTCCACCCACTGAGCCAAACCGGTTTCGGCTGATTGTCACTGTTTAAAGCAAAACCTCCGAGGCACGCAGCAATGGGAACACCCACCCAATGGTTCTCCCCGGAAGTCTGAAAGAGCCAGCGAACAGCTGGTCACGAGGGCTTTGGAGTGCCCCCGCCCTGCCCCCTGGTCCCATGCCCCTCCCCCAGGACCCCCTGTGCCGCTGCCCCCGGCCCCCTGTGCTCACAGACCCACCCGCACCCGTGGCCGGGACCAACCTGCGGGCATGTCTTGTCTGCAGGTCGCTGGTGACAGGGCTGCAGGCGCCCACCTCTGGGACCGTCCTCGTCGACGGCAGGAACGTGCACACGGACTTGGCCGCGGTCAGGAAGGAGCTGGGGGTGTGTCCTCAGCGCGACGCCCTGTGGGACCGGCTCACCGCCCGGGAGCACCTGCTGCTCTTCGCAGCCATCAGGTCGCCGCAGTGGAGCCGGGCGGAGCGGCGGCAGCAGGTGGACCAGTGAGTGGGGCCCGTGGGGGGGGGGGGGAACCTCTGTGGGTCAGTGACGCTTCAGACACATCAGTGCCTTCATCACGAGAGGAGAAGAGCCAGCAGCTCCGACCTGGTGTTGGCACGGCCGCCAGCGCTGGGCCCAGTGGGGCATCTCGTGAGGACGTCACTTGACTGGCCCTCGAGGGGGACGGAGGACACAGGCGCCGAGGGCGGGCTGTCAGTGTGAGTTGGGGACGCGGACCTGGGTGCAGGCAGGGCCTGGAGATGAGAGGCAGGACCAGGGCCCCAGGGTGAGGACAGGAGCTGGAGCTTCGTCAGCACGGTGACCCTGGCAGCGCAGGGTCCCTGAGGTCAGGACATCACCCTGTGGGCAGAGCGGAGAGCGGAGCCTAGAGCCAGGCTCCCTGGAGGAGAGGAGAGAAGTTGGGGACCTCGGCCAGGCCTGGGTCAGGGATGTTGTTGGCAGCGAACTCAGCGCCTGGAGCTGTGGACGCGCTGGGCCCCGCAGAGGCTGCTTGTTGGATGGGGTGGGTGTCGGGCGTGTGTGCGCAGTGGACAGCGGGAGGTAAGGACCGGGCCCTGTCCCTCCGCTTGGAGAGGCGGGAGAGGTGAGTGGACACCAGCGGGGAGGAGGAGACACACCCATTGAGAAGGAGGGCAGGTGCATGGAGCTGAGGCCCATTCAGTGAAGACGTGGAATGACTCTGGACGGAGAGTGCCGGGCCATCGGTGACCGCCGTGGCGGGTGGAGGAAGGTCACAGGGTCAGTAACGGAGTGGAGGAAGGGGTTTTGCTGCAAAGGAGCAGAGAAACAGGACAGAGAGCGATGGGACAGAGGGAAAGGAGGCATCGCCAGGACAGGGGGAGGCAGAGGAGGGCGACGTGGAGCCCCGTGTGGCAGGGGGACGGTGAGGCGGCCGGACATGGCCGGACGTGTGTCCTGAACCCCACAGGAGAGGCTGGAGCGGGGAACGGTGTGGGGGGCTGAGTGACTGCGCGGCAGTGAGCGGGGAGAAGGGGTGTTGGGAGGCACAGGAGCCTCTGCCTGGGGGCCAGGCTGTGAGCCTGAGGCTGGGTGAGGGGAAGGGGCAGAAATGGAGGTTTGCTACAGAGCACCTCTGACTTCCTGTGACTAATTCTCTTTTTTCAGCTGCGGGGCCTCTGGTTAAGTGATCAAGGGGACCTTGTAGCTTCACTCGCTGCTGTGTGGGGTCACCTGTGTGGGTCACCCTGTGTGGGGTCACCTGTGTGAGGTCACCCTGTGTGGATCACTCTGTGTGAGGTCACCCTGTGTGGGGTCACCCTGTGTGGGTCACCCTGTGTGGGGTCACCCTGTGTGGGTCACCCTGTGTGGGGTCACCTGTGTGGGGATCACCCTGTGTGGGGTCAGCCTGTGTGGGTCACCCTGTGTGAGGTCACCTGTGTGGGGGTCACCCTGTGTGGGGTCAGCCTGTGTGGGTCACCCTGTGTGGGGTCACCTGTGTGAGGTCACCTGTGTGGGGTCACCTGTGTGGGGTCACCCTGTGTGAGGTCACCTGTGTGGGGTCACCCTGTGTGGGTCACCCTGTGTGGGTCACCCTGTGTGAGGTCACCTGTGTGGGTGTCACCCTGTGTGGGGTCAGCCTGTGTGGGTCACCCTGTGTGGGGTCACCTGTGTGAGGTCACCTGTGTGGGGTCACCCTGTGTGGGTCACCCTGTGTGGGTCACCCTGTGTGAGGTCACCTGTGTGGGGATCACCCTGTGTGGGGTCAGCCTGTGTGGGTCACCCTGTGTGGGGTCACCTGTGTGAGGTCACCTGTGTGGGTCACCCTGTGTGGGGTCACCCTGTGTGGGTCACCCTGTGTGGGTCACCCTGTGTGAGGTCACCTGTGTGAGGTCACCTGTGTGGGGTCACCCTATGGGGGTCACCCTGTGTGGGTCACCCTGTGGGGGTCACCCTGTGTGGGTCTCCCTGTGTGAGGTCACCTGTGTGAGGTCACCTGTGTGGGGTCACCCTGTGTGGGTCACCCTGTGTGGGTCACCCTGTGTGAGGTCACCTGTGTGGGTGTCACCCTGTGTGGGGTCAGCCTGTGTGGGTCACCCTGTGTGGGGTCACCTGTGTGAGGTCACCTGTGTGGGGTCACCCTGTGTGGGTCACCCTGTGTGGGTCACCCTGTGTGAGGTCACCTGTGTGGGGATCACCCTGTGTGGGGTCAGCCTGTGTGGGTCACCCTGTGTGAGGTCACCTGTGTGGGGTCACCTGTGTGGGGTCACCCTGTGTGAGGTCACCTGTTTGAGGTCACCTGTGTGAGGTCACCCTGTGTGGGTCACCCTGTGTGGGTCACCCTGTGTGGGTCACCCTGTGTGAGGTCACCTGTGTGGGGTCACCTGTGTGGGTCACCCTGTGTGAGGTCACCTGTGTGGGGTCACCTGTGTGGATCACTCTGTGTGGGTCACCCTGTGTGGGGTCAGCCTGTGTAGGTCACCCTGTGTGGGGTCACCCTGTGTGAGGTCACCTGTGTGGGGTCACCCTGTGTGGGTCAGCCTGTGTGGGTCACCTGTGTAAGGTCACCTGTGTGGGGTCACCCTGTGTGGGTCACCCTGTGTGGGTCACCTGTGTGAGGTCACCCTGTGTGGGTCACCCTGTGTGGGTCACCTGTGTGAGGTCACCTGTGTGGGGTCACCTGCGTGGATCACTCTGTGTGGGTCACCCTGTGTGAGGTCACCTGTGTGGGGTCACCTGTGTGAGGTCACCTGTGTGAGGTCACCTGTGTGGGGTCACCCTGTGTGGGTCACCCTGTGTGGGTCAGCCTGTGTGGGTCACCTGTGTGGGGTCACCCTGTGTGGGTCACCCTGTGTGAGGTCACCTGTGTGGGGGTCACCCTGTGTGGGGTCACCTGTGTGGGGTCACCCTGTGTGGGGTCACCCTGTGGGGATCACCCTGTGTGGATCACTCTGTGTGGGTCACCCTGTGTGGGGTCACCCTGTGTGGGTCACCCTGTGGGGATCACTCTGTGTGGGTCACCCTGTGTGGGGTCACCCTGTGTGGGTCACCCTGTGGGGATCACCCTGTGTGGGGTCACCTGTGTGGGGTCACCCTGTGTGGGTCACCCTGTGGGGATCACCCTGTGGGGATCACCCTGTGTGGGGTCACCTGTGTGGGGTCACCCTGTGTGAGGTCACCTGTGTGGGGTCACCTTGCCGAGCTCCTGGTGGGGTGCGGGTGGTCAGTCCTCGCCCTCAGCCTGCGCAGGGCTCCCTGGCCGGGCCGTGGCGGCTCCTGAGGCGGCCGTCCTCACGCCAGGGCCCTCCGGGACGTGGGGCTGATGCCGCACCAGCACCAGCAGGCCCGCGCCCTGTCCGGAGGCCTGCGGAGGAGGCTGTCCATCGGCGCTGCCTTCCTGGGCTCCCCGCGGACCGTGGTGCTGGACGAGCCCACCAGCGGGGTGGACCCCTGCTCCCGGCGCAGCATCTGGGACATCCTGCTCCGGTACCGAGAAGGTGGGCTCCGCACCCCTGCCCTGCTCTCCCTGGGCCCGGGCCCTGCACCGCGAGGCAGCACCGCCAGAGTCCACCCTGCCCAGTGTCCACCCTGCCCAGCGTCCACCCTGCCCACAGTCCACCCTGCCCAGCGTCCACCCTGCCCAGCGTCCACCCTGCCCACAGTCCACCCTGCCCAGAGTCCACCCTGCCCAGCGTCCACCCTGCCCAGCGTCCACCCTGCCCACAGTCCACCCTGCCCACAGTCCACCCTGCCCAGCGTCCACTCTGCCCACAGTCCACCCTGCCCAGCGTCCACCCTGCCCAGCGTCCACCCTGCCCCAAGTCCACCCTGCCCCAAGTCCGCCCTGCCCCAAGTCCACCCTGCCCCAAGTCCGCCCTGCCCCAAGTCCAGCCTGCCCAGCGTCCACCCTGCCCAGAGGGCCCTCTGCCCCGAGTCCACCCTGCCCACAGTCCACCCTGCCCAGCGTCCACCCTGCCCAGCGTCCACCCTGCCCAGTGTCCACCCTGCCCACAGTCCACCCTGCCCAGCGTCCACCCTGCCCAGTGTCCACCCTGCCTAGCGTCCACCCTGCACAGAGTCCACCCTGCCCCGAGTCCATCCTGCCCAGAATCCTCCCGCCCAGTGTCCACCCTGCCCCGAGTCCATCCTGCCCAGAATCCTCCCGCCCAGGGTCCACCCTGCCCAGAGTCCCCCTGCCCGATGCCAGAGCAGGCACCACCAGAGTCCCCCCTGCCTGAGGCCAGCACAGGGACATGCAGAGGGCGGTTGGCAGTTGGCAATGGGCCCTTCTGCAGGGTTGGTGCTCCCTGGCCTCCTCTCCGGTGCTCACCAGCTGCCCGCCTGCCTCCCAGAGCACCGTCCGCCGCTCCGGGCTTCCTCTCACAGGTGTGGCCCCAGGTCTACAGGCCACGCTCCTGCCTCCACACGGCACCGTCCATTCTCACACAGCAGCGCTCCGGAGGAGCCTTCCAGTCCGCCAGGCTGTGGCCTGAGGATGCGCCAGGAGACAGGGACGCCTGGCTCTCTCCTTTTTACAAAACATCTCCTCTGCTCGCAGCAGAGTGCCAGGCTGAGAGCCGGGAGGGACACAGGCCCTGTGCCAGGGTTTCTCCCGCGGGGCCCGTCTGAGCGCCTGTGGTCTGAGGGGACCTTAGGAGCTGGTCACCACCCTGAGGCCTGCAGAGGAGAGGGTCAGGGCCGCGCGGTCCCTTCTCCAGGCTGCTTCTCTCTGGTTAAACGCGTGGGCATCCTGGCACTGCCCGCTCCCACTGCCTGTGCCAGGCCGGCTCTGATGCTGCCTTTCCTGGGCGCAGGTCGGACAATCATCCTCACCACCCACCACCTGGACGAGGCGGAGGCGCTGAGCGACCGCGTGGCCGTGCTGCAGGGGGGCCGGCTGCGCTGCTGCGGCGCCCCCCTGGGCCTGACCGAGGCCTACGGCCGGGGCCTCCGCCTGACACTCACCCAGCAGGTGACGGGCTGCCCGGGCCGGACGCTGACCAGCGGGTGCGCTGGGGACTCGGGCACTCATCCGCTGCTCCGGCTTTGTTGGCAGCCCTCCCCTCCGGAGCGGGACGGCCCGCCGGACGCGGCTCCCACCACGGCCCTGATACAGACCCACGTCCCAGGAGCGTTCCTCAGGGCCCGCAGCGGGCACACGCTGACCTACGCCCTCCCCGAGGACGCCGACCGAGCTGCCTTCCGGGGGCTCTTCCGGGCGCTGGAGCAGGACCGGCGCCGCCTGCGTCTGGCGGGCTGCGGGCTCGCAGACGCCACCCTGGAGGAGGTACGGCTCCACGTTTGTCCCTGTCCTGTCAGCGACCAGGCGGGCCGCTGAGGGGAGGGCCGGACTTCTGTGTTTGTGTTTATTCCCGCTTCCGACGTGCCAGCTCGGAGCTCCACACACCCGCCCGGCAGGCGGCTTCTGCCCTCTAAGGGACGCGAGCACTCTTGCATCTGAGAGCAGGCGTCTGATCCAGAGCCAGCAATGTCCATGCTGTCAGGGCCGCCCGGCTGCTGGGCTTTCCTCAGGGAGGCGCCCTCCCGTTCACTGCGGACCTTGCTTTGCTCAGGAGCCCTGGGCGCCCTAGGCCCTTGCTGGGCAGAGACACTGAGCAGAAACCGAGGCCAGCAGCTGCACACTGCTGACCCCGCCGGCCCGCGGCCCCCAGCTCCACCGGCCTCTGTGCGGGTCTGAGGTCAGCGCACATGTGGTCACACAGCTGGTGGGGGTCCTCCCTCCCCCCGCGCCCCCCGCCCCCCAGGCAGCTGGTGTGGGGCTGAGGCTGACTCTGTGGAAATGGAAAGTTGAGGCTTTCCATTGCTAGAAGCTACAGAGGCCCTCAGTGTTTAAAGCAGCAGTCGGAGCTGAGATTGGAGCAGAAGCGGGAGGCTTGCCCGCGGTCCCGCCTTGCCCGGGAACAGCGCAGACCGTGGGCGGGTGGCGGCGGCTCTTGCACTCTAAGCAGCGTCGGGAGCTTCCGGAACCACGAGCATTAAAGTCCCGCAGCTCTGAGGGTGCCAGAGCCCTGACCCCCACGCAGTGTTCGCACATTAACAAAGCGGCAGCACCGAGCACAGGCTGCTCAGGGAGGCACAGTGCGGGCTGCTCAGCGTCACCCTGCCTGCCGTCCTCCGGGCAGGGCCTGGGCGTCTGCGGCCGGGCGTTCTGTGTCAGAGCCTGGGCAGGCGCTTCAGTGTGGGAGGTGTTTCGTCTCAGCCAAGCTTCTGAAAAGCCTCTTGCTGCTGTGTTTCTGCTTACTACTCACTTTTGTTCTCCAAAATATTAAAAAAATGTTTAAGCATTTTTATTGATTTCAGAGAGGAAGGGAGAGGGAGAGGGAAATAGAAACATCAGTGATGAGAGTGATCCATTGATCAGCTGCCTCTGTGCCCCGCTGAGGATGGAGCCTACCACTGGGCCGTGCCCTGATGGAAAATCGTACCCACACCGGCTGGGCCCCAAAATATTTTCATTTATACTTTGTGCTCCTTTCGGAAACGCCTCCATCTCCTTCCTCTTTGCTGCTGTTGGTAAAATGCTTGGTCATTTATGAAGTTGCACATGGCAAGGCCCACGCCCCCAGTCCTGACGAATGCTCGGGTTGGGGTCACACACAGTGGGGGGCGCCGTGCTCCGCCGTCCACAGCGCAGTTCCGGCAGCTCCTCCGCACACCTCCCCAGGCCCGCTCCTGCCCTGCCCCTCGGCACCGGGAAGCCGGGCCACAAGCCCAGCACAGCCGCCTGGCTCCCCGAGAGGCTCTGCTTCCCCCCTCTGGCTGCATTCCACCTGCTACACTGGCTGGCGCGTGCTTGGCCCTCAGAGGCGCTAATGAGCACCATTGATCAGATTGTGCCTCCCCTTCCTCTCCCTCACACGGACGCTAAGAAAGAGTCTGTGTGAGGGACGGCCATAAGCAGAGGATCCAAAACTGCACTTAACCAGATACAGCATGATGTACGCTGGGCCCGTTTGGGAAAGATATCTTAAATGGGAGAAGATTAAGCACTCAGAGTGCTCTCCTTTGTGTGTGCAGTCTATAAAACAGCCGCCAGCCAATCCCTCCTTCACACTCGGCAAGTATTGACGTTCCCATCTCTGCCTGCTATCGACCGCACGGCCTGCCGGCCGCTAATTGCAGTTCTGCCCAGGCCGCTGGGGGAGGGGCCTGCCAGTCACACCGACTGTGGCTGAACCGCAGGGCGTGCCTCGTAAACATGGCCCCCAAGGAGACCCCAGCCAGCCAGGTCACGTGTGACTCTGACACTGCTGTCACCAGTGTCATTACAGAGCGGACACTGTGTCTGCCGGGTGTGGCTGGCTGGGTGCCAGGGCTCCGTGGCACAGGGTGGCGCTCGCACAGGGCCCTGAAGCCACGCGGTCTGCTGACACAGTGCAAACAGTCCAGTTCCAGCGGTGGGCTTGTTAGTTTACCATTTTCGGAGCAGTTCTGGGTTCACAGCGATCGTGGGCGGAAGGTCCAGACATTGCCCATGCGCCCCGCCCCACAGCACAGCTTCCCGTGACCGTGTGATTCCCAGGTGTAGGGCCACAGGCTGGCCGCGGTGAGGTGGGCCGCCTGCTCGCCCACCCGCTCTGCTCCGCGGGCCCCTGTGTCAGGAAGGAGCTGGGCGCCAGAGGGGGAGCGTGAGCTCCGACGCCCCAGCACGCAGGGCTGGAGCTTGGGTCTGAGTGACAAAGATCAGACCCAGGGGCCCCAGGGCCTGGCATGGTGGTTTACGCTCTGCGAACAGTCAGTAAGAACAGAGAACTCCGGGGCAGGCCTTGCCTGTTGGGTTCACGCCCCTCTGTCCCCCTGTCCGCACCTTCTTGCTGATGGAGGTGGGACTTGCGCTCCCAGCACAAAGCAGGGACCTCAGGCCTTTCCCTTACAGGGACCGCCTCGGGGAGGTCCACACAGAAGCTGAGGCGGCAGGGCCCATGCCCGTGCGGCTTTGGGCCTCCGTGCTGCAGGCAGGCACCGCGGGCCGGGACTGGGGCATGGGGCGCGGTTCTGTGGCCTGGCTTTGTCTCCTGCGTCTGCTGGTCTGACCAGTCTGCCGGAGTGTGAGGGTCACGGTCAGGCGTCTTCAGCTGCTAGCGGCCTGTGGGCTGCCTCTCAGCCTGCCCAGAGCTCAGTGGCCTTGGGTCGCCCAGTGAGAGACATGAAGACGTGAGTCCAGAAGCTGGTGGATGTCTCCGTAGGACCAGGTGGGAATTAAGGCAGAAGGAAGCGGTGTGTGTGGAAGGAGCACACGCCATGTGAGGCTCTCTTCATTCTCAAAAGGTGTTTCTGACGCTTCTGCACGATCCCAGCGATCCCAGCGAGCAGTTGGATGCGGCCCCAGGGACAGGGCTGGAGGTGCAGCGCCCGAGGCCTCCGGGGCCCACGCCCAGCTACCACTGTGAGTACAGGGTGCTGGGGCCTTCCGGAGGGCAGGGCCTCGTCCCCCACAGAGAGAGACTGAGGCAGGGAAGGAGAGGTTCGAGCAGGAAGCTCAGGGTTTCCCCTCTCCGGGCTGCGAGTTGGGAAGTTCAGGTGTCTCTGCTTGGGCCTCAGGCAGCACTGGTCTCTGGGTCTGGCTTACACAGTGCCTGTGGCCGCCCACGCCGTCACAAGGCCTGTGCACTGGCCATGGAACCAGTAGACCACACTCTGTCCATCGCCCTCGGTGGACACACGGATGTTCCCACAGCCCAGCTGCAGGGAATGTGTGTGCAGGCATCTCTGTGAGACCCTGAGGCAGACTCTCTCGGATAAATGCCCAGAAATGGGCCCCCTGGCTCCCCACAGCCCCAGGGAGGGTCTGTTCCCACACTGGCGAAAGCCAGCAGAGCTGGCGGCGGCGCTTTGCAGAAAGCAGTCTGCGCAGATGAAATGGATCGGCATGGACGTGGGCGGACAAATGCTGGGCAGGTCGGAAGCAGCAGCTCCTATTAGGGCTGTGGGGGGTCGGGGAGTGGAGGCGTGAGCCCTGGTGCAGCGCAGACCAGAGCTGCTAGAGCATGCCAGGTGGTGGCAGGCAGCTCTGGCCCTGGGTTAGGGCCACAGGCATGTGGTCCTCCAACCGAGCCTCCTCCCCTCCCCCACTCCCTCCTTCCTGAGCACAGGCGCCTGGGAACGTCTGGGCAGCCCTGCCCTGCTCACCTCTCCCAGCGCCTCCCGCCGGCCACGTCTGTTCTGCTGACACGTTGTCCTGGTCCGACTCCCTTCCAGGACCGAGAGCCCGAACCTGTTGTCAGAGAGGATGTGATCTGGGCCTGCCAGTGCTCACGGTCAGCGAGCACCGGCTTTGTTCCCACACGGACCCCGTTCTCCGCCCCTCCCGAACTGGGCGCATTTATAAACGAGACATTTAATTACACCCATTTTAAGGTTCATTTCAGCTCTATAACTCTGCAACTCACTGAACACAGAATGATTAAGTTTCTGTTTCATGAAACCGGCTTCGTTTTTGGAATAAGTACACAGCGCTGACTGATTACTGATGCCCATATACTCATTGTGGAAACCCAGAATGTTTTGAAGAAAAAGTTTAAAGCAGCCACGTTCTTATCACATAAAAATATAAACGTTGTAAGTCGGTTGGAGACGCATGAGCTGCTTTAACTTCTGAACACTAGCCATCACGCAGTCACAGAGCCCAGGGGGAGAAGCTGTTTCGTGAGAGGCGGCATATTTCGTGGGGGTGCATGCATCCACATGTGTCTTCTGTGAGCGACGTCTGTCCTGCACTGCTCTTCACACACGTGGTTCATTTGACACTTTGCTACGCACACAGTTCACGTTTCCACCCTCTCATTTCTGGGCCGTGTTTCCCTTACCACCGCTTTACAGTTAGATGTTCCTCCTCCGAACGCGCATTGTTCATTCATGGCCCGCCGCGGGCATGCCCCGTCGGCGAGCCGGGCCTCCTGAGGGCGGGCTCAGCTCACTGCGCTGGTGCTCACCGGTTCAGTCCACCCCGAGGCAGACAGGGAAGCCTTTTCCAGCTCCTCGCTACTGCTTCCTGTGAGATGCCACAGCCCTTGTTTGATATTCTTGACGAATTCCATTGGACCCAGCTGGTCTCCCGCAGCCCCGGGAGCCGCCCGGTCTCCCACGCTCCCCCGTCAGGGTGGCCACCCGTGGTCTCTACCACATTGGTGAGCCGACACTAACCACTGCTCTACCTTATGTAGTCAGGTGTGGCCCTTTGTGGGGTGTCTGTAAGCAGCATGTCCGTGCGTGCTTTCGGCATTAATGTTTGAACATTGAAGCCACCAACGCCCCTCCTCCCTGAAATTCTTTGTTTGTTCCCCTGAGCGACGGACGGTCAGGGCCCATGTGGATGCAGTCACGGCTGTGACCGAGTCCTCGGGCGTAATTGTCCTCGTAGGTCAGACGACCACTCCCAGCATTGGGTTCAGCATTTCAGTTCTGTCTGTCACATTATTCATGTGGATGCTGTTATGAGTTAGCCACGAATATTTGATTGGTGGTTGATTCATGGCCATGGACTATCTTGGCCTTTTACTTTCCCCCATTTACTTTCCAATTAGCATGGTGGGGGAGGGGAAATTCGTTTTTCTTAATGTTAGCGAGCCTTTTCCCCTGACGTACTGAGCCAGTGTGGTGAGCACGTCTGTGACCAAGGCCGAGGCCATCTCTGTTCTGGAGTTCAGTGAGTGACAGTCCTCGTCCCCAGTCTTCGCAGCTGAGGAAGGACATGCCGAGAGGGCGGGCCATTTCCCAGAAGTCACCCAGCACGTGGGTCTCTGGGCCAGGCCGTGGGCACCTGGCCTCCCTCTGCCTCCGCCCCTGCCCTCCACCACCAGGCACGTTTCTGAGCGGAAGCCCCACGCAGGTGGTCTGTCTCCTCTCCTTTCTGACAAGAACTCTCACGCCGTGTGTCTGGAGCCCTTCCCCGCTGCGCCCTCTGAGGGGGGGCAGTGGGCCGTGGTCATTGATGTCTGAGGTGACCTGTCGTGTGGGCATTCCAGAGCGCTCACTCAGGGAGGGGTCGTCTCTGTTCAGAGCTGCCTGGGTTTACAGTGGACGGGAGGCCAGAGTCTGCGCCCCAGGTGAGGAGTCACAGCCAGGGCACTGGTGAGGGGTCACAGCCAGGGCACTGGTGAGGGGTCACAGCCAGGGCACTGGTGAGGGGTCACAGCCAGGGCACTGGTGAGGAGTCACAGCCAGGGCACTGGTGAGGGGTTACAGCCAGGGCACTGGTGAGGGGTCACAGAGCCGGGCTCAGGTGAGAGGTCACAGAGCCGGGCCCAGGGGAGGGGCCACAGAGCCGGGCCCAGGTGAGGGGCCACAGAGCTGGGTCCAGGTGAGGGGCCACAGCCAGGGCACTGGTGAGGGGTCACAGCCAGGGCACTGGTGAGGGGTCACAGCCAGGGCACTGGTGAGGGGTCACAGCCAGGGCACTGGTGAGGGGTCACAGAGCCGGGCTCAGGTGAGGGGCCACAGAGCCGGGCCCAGGGGAGGGGCCACAGAGCCGGGCCCAGGGGAGGGGCCACAGAGCCGGGCTGTGGGGAGGGGCCACAGAGCTGGGCCCAGGGGAGGGGCCACAGAGCCGGGCCCAGGTGAGGGGTCACAGAGCCGGGCCCACGTGAGGGGCCACAGAGCCGGGCTGTGGGGCCATAGGTGACTTGGGCCCGTGCTCTTGTCCCGCAGACGGCGCCCCTGCCAGCGCCCTCACGCAGGTGGCCGCCCTGCTGACCCAGAGGCTGTGCCGCACGCGCCGGGCCTGGCGGGGCGCGCTCTGTGACCTGCTGCTGCCCGTCCTCTTCGTGGCCTTGGCCATGAGCCTGTTCCTGGTGAGGCCTCTGGCCACCGACTACCCTGCCCTCCAGCTCACGCCCGGCCGCTTCGGCAAAGCCGAGACCTCCTTCTTCAGGTGAGAAGCCTGCGCCTTCGGTGTGAGGGTGGTGCGGCAGCCTGGCCCCAGGTTCCTGTCTCCAGGCACCGCAGCTCCCCAGGCGCCAACCCCCGTGAGTGCCGCTGGCTGACCTGCAGGCCCGCCACACCGGCCCACGCCGTGAGCGGGCATGGAGAGCCGGGCCTCTGGACCGAGCTCACACTCCTCCTCTCCTTCCGCCGCGCACTCCCCGCTGGGGCGCAGGAGGGCGTCCGTCTCACGGCCTCTTCCTCCATCAAGGGGGGACTGGAGGCCTGGGCGACACGCCCCTGGGGCCTGGAGCCTCCGAGGTCTTCCCGGTCCCAGCCCGGCTCTGTAGCCGGCCTGCAGGTCACAGCCCTGAGCTGCGGACCCTGGGAAAGAGCCCAGGCCCCAAAGCTGCTCATCAGCACAGGCTCCTCGGAGGGGAGTGGGGTGGGAAGAGCACGCAGGCTACTCTCCTCCCAGCCCCGCTTCCCTCCCTCTGCCCTCCTGCTGTGAGCCCCACCTGCAGCAGGGGCAGGGGGAGGACCAGGCAAGGGCACGGAGGCCCTCAGGGTGGTGTGCCGCCCCGCTCTGGCAGCAGGTCGCGGGGTCAGGATGGACGTGGCCCTCGGAAGTGCTGTCGTGTAGAGGGCAGGGTCCCCTCAGAGCTGCCGCAGGAGCCACAGGAGGCGCTGGTTTCCATCCCAGCCCGTTCCGGGCACCGCAGAGCCGTCCTGGGGGAGCGAGCTCTGGGTTTTGTGGCAGCAGGACAAGCAAAAGCCAGTGGTTTGTTTTTTCAAACAGTGACCCCTAGCCCAAAGCAACAAAACAGTAAAAAGTAAACCTGGCTTTAAATCTTGTGCTCAGTCATTATTCCAAGGAAACTACCTTACAGATCAATACTTTCTCCCCAGAAGAAGCATTTTAAACTTCTGCGTGTTTTCTTGGACTAATGGTCAAAAGAGGGCGACGTGGAGCATTCTCACACGTCGCAGCGACATTTCCTTTTTATGAGCAGCATTTTGGGACATGTGTCTCTCTCACTGTGGACGGGCTTTCTCATTTGCCAGAAACTCGAGGGTGTTTGTGCAGGGGCCACACCGCCCACGTCCGGGACATAACGTGGCTGTAAGCATCAGCATTTCCATCTCCCAGCATTCTGCCTGTGGCCGTGGGGAGTCATATTGGACCAGTCATAAACCATGCTGACTTAACAGTAAAAAACCCAGTTACTTTTATTGGCAAAAAAATTTCTGGTATTGCAGTTTGGGATAAGGAGGCTGTATCGAAACAGGCAAGTTAAGCAAACAAAGGAGAGAGAACGTCACAGAGACAGAGAGACAGAGACAGAGACAGAGACAGAGACAGAGGAGGCAGTTGGGGGGTGGAGGGGGCACTGGCGCTGTGACTCTGAAGGAAAAGGAGGGTTCAGGGGGCTTCTCATTGGCTGAATTGGGGGGCTTCCCATTGGCTGAGCTAGTTGCTGGGCAAGGAGAAGACCTCCCTCCCCTGGCTGGGGTTGGACTACAAAGCAAGTCCCTTCCCTGGGGCTGTGTCCTGAGGGCCAGGGGTGGTGCTGAGGGCCCCCCTGCAGGCCCCCCACTCCACATAAAGGAGGTTTTCCTCACTCGTGTCACAGTTGCCAGAGTGGTCACAGGTGGGGCTGAGCCGAGTCCCAGAAGGAGGTGCTTTGCTGTAACTGCCTCTGGGGTGGGCTGCGGCGGTGCCTGCGTGGTGACGGCTCTGGAGCAAGCTGTGCTCAGCAGAACACAAACGTGGTGAGGAGGGCGTCCTCTTCTCCACTTCATGTTCCCTGGGAAGCCAGAGGCCAGGGAAGGCCAGCTTCGGGAGGGACGCACCAGCAGAGGTGAAGAGCAGCCCGCCATTTCAGGGCAGCGGTGACGTCACACCTGGTTCAGCAGACGCTTTTTGAGAACGTGCTGTGCTCCAGCCACTGCCTCGCTCAGGGACCACGGGCTCCAGTAAGGAGAGTGAGCAGCCAGGCCAGAGAGCCAGTGGAGATGCTGTCAGGGTCCCTGGGCGAGAAGGCTCATGGGAAGGAACTTAGTGCTTCTGGGGGAGGGGGGGCAGTGGTTTCCAACCAAGTAGCAGTACAGGGGGTGGCCCTCGGAGGAAGCTTCAGAAGGTGCTTCCGCTGGGAGGGCTGGGTGTGGCTCCCGGAGAGGGTGTTTGTCCCAAGATGTGCAGGTCTGAGAGTGCAGAGGGATTTACATGCTATTGCCAGGCTCCTCCGTAGGCAGCCAGGAGCCCATGGTAAATTTTGAGCATAAAAATGTCAGATTGGTCTGTTAGAGGCTCAGAGAAGGGACTAGGAAATGTAGGAATCTCACAGAATTCCCCCCGACGTGGGGGCTGCCCGGCACAGACATGGACGTGGCTTCTCATTCTGGGCTCTGACTGCTCTTGGGATGCGGGAGACAGGAGCCCAACGCCCGGGCTTCCCTGTGCTGAGTGCTGGGAACCATCCAGAAAGACGTGTGGGCGTGTCCAGTGGCCACTGGCCATGGACAGGAGACGGAGCAGACGCGGCGGCGGAGGAGGACAGAGGCTCTGTTCCCGGAGGAGGAGCCGCTGTTGAAGTTCCCGGACAGAAAGGACTGTGCAGGGTTCCTGTGTGCTCCTCCCCAGAAGGCCCAGGTGGCCGCCCGCATCGCCATCCTTCCTGCCACGGCGCCCGGTCATTGTTTTGGGACACAGGTTCCCACGGTGTGTACTTTGGAAGCATTTTATGACAGACGTGATGTAAGCCTTAGACAGCCTTAAACCTGCCTTTGTAATCCTGTCACCCAGAACTGTCATTGATTTAAAGGAGCCTACCGCCCGTCAGCCCAGCGTGAGAGGGCTGCAGGGTGGCTCCCCTCCGTTTTTTCACACCGGGATGTTTCCTACATGGATTGGACAGTTTCACATGGGGTTCCGCCTGCCCCCCCAGCCCAGAAGGAGAGCCTGCCTTCCGCTGGGGGTCCTCCCCGAGGGCCCTGGTTCTCCTCAGGGGCCTGAGCTGTGGGCTGACCCCGGAGACCTGTGGGCCTGCAGTGCCCAGGTTCTGTGCGGGGACTCCTGGGAGCAGGTTTGAGAGAGAACGCACGGAGCCGGAGCCGGAGCCGGCGACAGGAACAGAGGGTGTCACTGCGGCCGGAGAGGGCGCAGGCTCTGCCCGCCGCTCTCCAGGAGGCACAGAACGTTGGCAGAGACTTTACGTAGTGACACCACGTAATATTATGCAGCCTTTGACGTTCATTTTAAAAACCATGAGAACGCCACAGACGGCGATGTTACATTAAGCGAGAAGATGAGAAAAGGATGCCCCTGAGGCAGGTGTGCACAGAGGGTACTATGGTGGGAACTTGTGAGCTGCAGAAATTTCTTATCTCCTTCCTGGTTTGGCTTTACCATGAAAACCGAACAAGCCGCTTGCCTGAGCTGCCGGAACCAGCTGTGGCCAGCCTGGCCGGGCACGTGGGGTCAGACCTGCCTGTGGCCACCATCAGACGACCCCCCGCCCCTTTGTCTCCTGACAGCAGTGACAGCGATGGCATGGAGCTGGCCCGCGTGCTTTTGCGAGCCTTTGAAAATGGGGAGCAGCCCTGCGCCAGCCTCGGACCCGGCCTGTGAGTACCAGCTGCCCCAGGCACCCCGCTGCCTCTCAGCACCCAGACGGGACGGCTCCCCCTGACTTGTAGTCACTCAGGGAGCCTTTGCCAGCCGGGGTGTAGCACAGAGCGGGGTGGACTCCTCAGTGACCTGAAACAACTGCCCAATCGCCCCTTTCTGCTCAGTGAACACTGGCTTATATCATTGGAAACACACGCATCAGTTATTCCCAGGACCCTTTCTGTGGAGAAACCAAAGCTAAACAGGAAGCAGCAGCTACAGGCGGGGTATTCCTGCCGTCTTCCTTGAGGGAACAGGTGTGTGTGTGTGTGTGTGTGTGTGTGTGTGTGTGCGTGCGCGCGCACAGTGAGCTGGATTCTCCTTAACGGAGGGGCTTCTGCCAGTGCTTCAGGGCGGGGGCCCAGGGCCTCGAGTATTTCTTCCCGGGACGTGAGGGGACCGACAGGCATGGCCGTCAGCGAGCATTGTCCTCCGGCTTTCTCACTAAGTCACCCCTACAGCCTCGCCTGCCGTTACTTACTGAGGAGCTGCGTCAGGGCGGCGCTGTGGTGGGAACCAGGAGCTGTGGGCACGGCCTGGTCTCAGGCGTTGATACATCATCATGGTTTCCATCTCCCACCCCCTACCCCCACCCCGGGTGGAGCAAACGGGGTGTGGGTGGGGGGTGGGGGGTGAAAACCACAATGATGTCTTAAGGACGGCAGTGCGTGTTTCCAGTGATAGATGTAAAACCCAGACAACAAGGCCCTGCTGGGAATACCTCTTTCTAATTCACGGTGACACTCTCTGCCGTTAGTCATGGGGGCCATTGGCTGCAGACGGAAGAGCTGTTAATGGCATCAGCGAGGGGGAATTAATAGAAAATTAATTAGGTTGTCTCCCTTTAGTTCTCTTTTGAAAAACAAGCAATCGCTTAGCTAAATAAAGCCCCTCGGCGACGCTCTCATTCCCGGACTGCGGCGAGCAGGACTGAGACGGCTGCACGGAGGAACTCCCGCCTGGGCCCGCCGGGCCCGCCGTCCCTCCAGGCTGGCCCAGGGAGGGGCGCGGAGAGACCGTCCTTCGGCTGGTCTCTCGAGGGAAAAGGCGCAGAGTCCATGCCAAGAGCAGCGCAGGCTCTCCAGTTCCGTGCAGGCAGCAGTTTCCCCTTTAGGTTCTGACGGGCAAGGCCTGGGGCCCCCGCTCCCCCCGCCAAGCCTCAGCCGCTCGGCCCGCGTCCTGCTCCTCCCTTCCTCTGTAACCCACACAGCCCGCTCCTCACTCCCTCCTTTTCCGCGGTCAAAGCCGGGCTGCGGGCTGCCCCATGCAGGGTGCTGGGCGCCTCCTTGACGAGAAAGGCACTCCGTGCCGCACAAGCAGCCCCTGGCCGCTCAGTCTGAGCCGCAGCCACGGCGTCTGCTTACACGGGCATCGCCCTCTGGGGTGTGCAGTGTGGCTGAGGCAGCGATGCCCGTGCGCTCCCCCCCGTTGGACCCGCCACCACCCGGTTCAGAGGGCGGGCCGTCGATGCTGGGCACACCTGCTCAGTCCGCTGCCTCTGCTGAGACTGAGCGGTCAGGTGTGCGGAAGCCCACTGTCTGGGACCTGAGCTGCCGAGCGGCTCCCCTAATGGTGTGCGGTCCAGACTGAAGATGTGCGGGCGTTGCTGACTTAGAAACAGGCGGTGGTTTAATATCAGACTCATTTCCCGAGGCTAGCACCCCGCTGACCCCGGACGCTTCCCTCCACGGTTCCCAGGTGAAATGGGCCTTTCCCGTTCCTGCTGGTCTTTTATCTGTGAATCGAAGGTGGAGTTAGCCGGTCAGATAGCCCTTTGAACTCGTAAAGCCACGTGGGGCGGGGCGGAGCTCTCTGTGCAGGATTCCACGGCAGCCACGGGGGCCTCTCGGTGGGACCCCCAGTCCCGGGCGGCCCTGGTGGTCCTGCGTGTGCTGCCCAAGAGGGAGCTTGGGAAGAGAGCAAGGGAGGTTGGAACAGAGAGGACTCCGTTTGGGGAGAAATGCGGTTACAAGCACTCGCTAGCAGCCATGGGAGGTGCCGGGCGGGCAGCCTGCCGAGCGGGAGGATGAATGGAGCCCCTACGGGGGAAGGATCGCCTCGCAGTCCCACGGAAGGCGGTCCCCGCGTGCACACTAAGTCTCCAGTGGAGACCCCAGTGGCTGCCCAGAGCAGAATGGAGGTGTGACGTCATCGTTTATACTTTAGAAAACGCGGTGGAACCGCCCTCTGCCCACCTGGTGATAGGAACACCAGCTTCTTTTCACCGGGCACACGTGTCCCCCCGTGCTCCGTGCCCCGTGCTCCGAGCCCTGTGCTCCGTGCCCCGTGCTCCATGCCCCATGCCCCGAGCCCCGTGCTCCGAGACCCATGCTCCGTGCCCCGTGCTCCGAGCCCCGTGCTCCGAGCCCCATGCTCCGTGCCCCATGCTCCGTGCTCCGTGCCCCGTGCTCCGTGCCCCGTGCTCCGTGCCCCGTGCTCCGTGCTCCGTGCCCTGTGCTCCGTGCCCCGTGCTCCATGCCCCATGCCCCGAGCCCCGTGCTCCGAGCCCCATGCTCCGTGCCCCGTGCTCCGAGCCCCGTGCTCCGAGCCCCGTGCTCCGTGCTCCGTGCCCCGTGCTCCGTGCCCCGTGCTCCGTGCTCTGTGCTCTGTGCCCCGTGCTCCGTGCCCTGTGCTCCGTGCCCCGTGCTCCATGCCCCATGCCCCGAGCCCCGTGCTCCGAGCCCCATGCTCCGTGCCCCGTGCTCCGAGCCCCGTGCTCCGTGCCCCATGCTCCGTGCCCCATGCTCGTGCTCCGTGCCCCGTGCTCCGTGCCCCGTGCTCCGTGCCCCGTGCTCCGTGCTCCGAGCCCTGTGCTCCGTGCCCCGTGCCTCCATGCCCCATGCCCCGAGCCCCGTGCTCCGAGCCCCATGCTCCGTGCCCGTGCTCCGAGCCCCGTGCTCCGAGCCCCATGCTCCGTGCTCCGTGCCCCGTGCTCCGTGCCCCGTGCTCCGTGCTCTGTGCTCTGTGCCCCGTGCTCCGTGCCCTGTGCTCCGTGCCCCGTGCTCCGTGCCCCGTGCTCCGTGCCCTGTGCTCCGTGCCCTGTGCTCCGTGCCCCGTGCTCCGTGCCCCGTGCTCCGTGCCCTGTGCTCCGTGCCCCGTGCTCCGTGCCCCGTGCCCCGTGCTCCGTGCCCCGTGCTCCGTGCCCCGTGCTCCGTGCTCCGTGCCCCGTGCTCCGTGCCCTGTGCTCCGTGCCCCGTGCTCCGTGCTCCGAGCCCCATGCTCCGTGCTCTGTGCCCCGTGCTCCGTGCCCCGTGCTCCGTGCCCCGTGCTCCGTGCCCTGTGCTCCGTGCCCCGTGCTCCGTGCCCCGTGCTCCGTGCCCGTGCTCCGTGCCCTGTGCCCCGTGCTCCGTGCCCCGTGCCCCGTGCTCCGTGCCCCGTGCTCCGTGCCCCGTGCTCCGTGCCCCGTGCCCCGTGCTCCGTGCCCCGTGCTCCGTGCCCCGTGCTCCGTGCCCCGTGCTCCGTGCCCCGTGCTCCGTGCTCCGTGCCCTGTGCTCCGTGCTCCGTGCCCTGTGCTCCGTGCCCTGTGCTCCGTGCTCCGTGCCCCGTGCTCCGTGCTCCGTGCCCTGTGCTCCGTGCTCCGTGCCCCGTGCTCCGTGCCCTGTGCTCCGTGCCCCGTGCTCCGTGCCCCGTGCCCCGTGCCCCGTGCCCCGTGCCCCGTGCTCCGTGCCCTGTGCTCCGTGCCCCGTGCTCCGTGCCCCGTGCCCCGTGCCCCGTGCTCCGTGCCCCGTGCTCCGTGCCCTGTGCTCCGTGCTCCGTGCCCCGTGCTCCGTGCTCCGTGCTCCGTGCTCCGTGCTCCGTGCCCCGTGCTCCGTGCCCGTGTCCGTGCCCCGTGCTCCGCCCTGTGCTCCGTGCCCCGTGCCCCGTGCCCCGTGCTCCGTGCCCCGTGCCCCGTGCTCCGTGCCCTGTGCTCCGTGCCCCGTGCTCCGTGCTCCGTGCCCTGTGCTCCGTGCTCCGTGCCCCGTGCCCCGTGCCCGTGCTCCGTGCCCCGTGCTCCGTGCCCTGTGCTCCGTGCCCCGTGCTCCGTGCCCTGTGCTCCGTGCCCCGTGCTCCGTGTCGTCCCGTGCCTCCTGTGCTCCGTGCCCGTGCTCCGTGCTCCGTGCCCCGTGCCCCGTGCCCTGCTCCGTGCCCCGTGCTCCGTGCCGTGCCTCCGTGCCCCGTGCTCCGCCTGTGCTCCGTGCCCCGTGCTCCGTGCCGCCCCGTGCTCCGTGCCGCCCCGTGCTCCGTGCCCCGTGCCCCGTGCCCGTGCCCGTGCCCCGTGCTCCGTTGCCCTGTGCCCGTTGCCCCCGTGCTCCGTGCCCCGTTGCCCCGTGCTCAGTGCCCTGTGCTACTGCTCGTGTCCGTGCCCCGTGCCCCGTGCCCCGTGCTCCGTGCCCCGTGCCCCGTGCCAGTGCTCCGTGCCCTTGGTGCTCCGTGCCCTGTGCTCCGTTGCTCCGTTGCCCGTGCTCCGTGCCCCGTGCTCCGTGCCCCGTGCCCGTGGCCCCGTGCCCCGTGCTACGAGCCCGTGCTCCCGTGCCCGTGCTCCGTGCCCCGTGCTCCCGTTGCTACCGTGTCCCGTGCCCCGTGCCCCGTGCTCCGTGCCCCGTGCTCCGTGCTCCGAGCCCCGTGCTCCGTGCCCTGCCCGCAGCGGAACGTGGAGGGCCGCCTCACCGCCAGGCCCAGGCTCCTGCTGCGGCTCCCGGAGCCTGGGCCGAGGACCATCCACGCCAGCCGCCTCTCCTCCTGCCCAGTTCCTGAGTAAACGGGAATGTTATCGCTAAAGTAACTTTTGACTTGGAAACGTGCATACTCACAGCATGAGGCTGAGAGGAAACAGCTCTGGGACTTTGGAATGAAAGGCTTTTGCACTACGGCTGCCGGTTGTTCCATAACAACCTGTTGTCAGGCCTCCATGTGGAAGCAGAGCAGTAGATTCCTCTTTAAACGATGACCGAGTGCGTGTGCGTGTCTGCGTGTCTGTGTGTGTGCGCGGGGGTGGGTGGGGGGCAATGACAGGGACTCATGTGCATGTGGCTGCTGTGCTGCTGCTGAGGGCGCTGGGGTTTGAGACCAGGACTCCCCCCCCCCCCCCCCGAGTCCACCCCTGGCCGGGCATCCGTGGCCGAGCATTCAGGGAGCCTGTCCTGACATCTGCATGGGGGACGGAGGGGGCGTGGGGGGCGGTCCCCCTGGGGGGACGTGTCTGGGACGTGCGTGTCGGTGTCTCGCCCAGAGCGCGGTGTACAGCCTGAGCCTCACTTGGCCTGTTGCTTCCGCAGGACGAACGCCTCCTGTTGGCGTCCGGAGCCCCCGTCTCGCCCCGGGGCCCCGGGTTCCTGCGGCTGCAGGGTAGGTTCAGTGCATTCTGGTTTTAAACCTCTGAACCTCAGGTACCAATGTTTACTTCCTTATAAATCCTCCGTGTCTAACTCTGAGCCCTCGGGGTGCTGCCGTGGTGAGCTCCCCAGGAAGGTCCATCCACGAGGGAGCTTCCTGCCCTCAGATGTTACGGGCGTTACGTGGGCTCCCCTGTCAGCCTGTCAGTCAGTCAGCAGCTCCCGGGGACCCGGGGACAGAAAAGGAGACTCGGGCTTCGGAAGCTGACACGAAAGCCCAGCGTCACGTCCTGGAGCCGTGAGGGTCCCAGTGCGGGATCTTCCCTGAAGGTCCCAAGATGGGAAGGAGCACAGGACCGGGTCCCAGTAGCAGGCAGGGCGCCTGTGCAGCCCGCCGCCCTGGTCCTGCCCGGGGCGCCCCCTGCTGGGCGGTCAGGCCCTGATTCTGAGCAGCGAGGCACCTGAGAGGAGCAGGTTGGCTCTCCCGCTCCGGCCCCCACCCAGGCTCCGACTCTCCTCCGGGGCACGGACGCGAGGCAGCACTTTCCCTGTGGAGCGCTTGCAGTCTGTGCAGATTACACACAGCCTTCCCGTTCCCACGTCGCTGCCCCAGGCCCCGGGTTCCGTGTCCGCACAGACGGAGCCCCGGGGAGTGTGGGAATCGGAGCACAGACATCGGTGGGACTGAGCGCTGCAGCGATGTCTCACTTAGCAACGTCAGCAAAGCTGCTCTGCGGGTTAAGAACCAGATTCTCTTCTCTCCATGTAAGCGCTGGCAGAGCTGCCCCAACGCCAGTGCCCGGGCCCCCGCCCTGACCGACCGCCGGGGCCACACGCTGCTGAACCTGTCGGCCGTCCGCCCCGAGGAGTACCTGCTGGCGCCCGCGGAGAGCCCCAGGTGGGTGCGGGCGGGCGCTCCACTGCAGTGTCCTTGGGGCGTGAAGTCTCCCAGATGCTTCGGGGTGACAGGCCCCCAGCCACTGACACGCCCTGGGCAGCCCTGGTCGTGTCACTGCGCAGAGCGGGAGCAGCTCCTGGGGCGATGCCCCTCAGACCCTCTTCTCTCGGCGCCCGGGCGTGTGTGCCCGCTCCTGTGGGGGCAGGGAGAGCTGCCCTGTGCGGGCTCCCTGGGCCTCATGGGGAGCCTGGGCGGGGAGCAGGAGGGGGGCCTCCGGTGGCTTTAGATCCTGCCACAGCCCGCCCCGAGAGGGCACCCGCACCGAGGCGGCGGGGGCGTGGGGCTCCGAAGGGCTGGTCTGCAGAGAAGGAGCCTTGGGTTGGCCACATCCTGCACGTGGCACCCAGGTCCTCAGCAGGCGCTGAGTGCTAGCAGCCACGGCGGAGCCTCCTGCGGGCCCCTGTCTGAGCAGCTCCCCGGCCCGGCCTTGTGAGCTGCCGTTCCTCCGGCCGCTGACCGCCGGTGTGGCCATGCCTCCGGCTGATGCTCAGCGCTGCTCTCCCCGGGCCGTTAGGATCGTCGCGGTCAGGACGGGCGTCCGTGTGGGGCCTGCGTGCCCTTGGCGAGGCGCTGACCGTGCTCCCTCCCCCAGGCTCGGGGGCTGGTCTTTCGGAGGGCGAGGCCCGGATCCTGCTCAAGAGGCACACTCACACCGGCCAAAACCAGAACGCCTGGCCAAGGTAATCGTTCTTGTTTGTTTTACCCGATCGGAGGCAGTTAGGGTATCACACCCCTGAGGTCCTGGCACATTGTGGACTCAGGAGGAACCAGGCCAGTCCCAGTGCGTGTTCCTGTGGAGTCAAAACCGTTCAGCCCTGAGCGAGAACCAGGTCCTTTTCCTGTAGCCACAGAGCACACGGCACTGTCAGTTAGGACCAGACCCGCCAGGACACCGAAGCACACGGACAGCACCTGGTGCAGGACAGCTGGAAGCACCCCAGGGTCCAGGTGGCAGGATTCTCTGAGCCCCCTAGAACGGGCAGAGGGCTCCTTAGGTGTGGGGAGGAGGACAGGGAGGACGGAGGCCTCCCACCTGCGGGAGCTCAGAGGTGCTGAGTCCCAACAGGGCTGTCCCAGGGAGGCACAGGCCCCACTCACCTGTACACGTGATCCCCAATGACACATTAAGTTGCTGTGCAGACTGTCCGGCGACCCCTCCTTCAGCAGGCAGCACGTGGTCCATTCCCTCTAGGAGCAGTTTAGCTTTCATCGCACTCTCCCGAACCCCCTGTGCACGTGGGTGCGTCTTTGCTGGCGTGGGGCCGCCGCCGGCTCCCAGCCTCTGCCGCCGGGTGCATGGCCCCGCGCTCCCCTCGCGGTGCCGCCTCTGGGTGGAGCTTGGTCTCCTGACCGGCCTGTTGGACCAGGGCCTTCCTCATTCTGGAGGTGGTTGATCTAAGACGTCCAAACCTGCAGAGAATTTTCTAAATTTCCTGCAGAGAATTTTTATGAGTTTATTTGAGCCCAACTGACAACCTGCTGGGAAGCAAGATCTCAGACGCCCCAGAGGACACCCCACAGTGTCTTTCCTGCCTCTGGAACGGAGGCGGGGCGGAAGGGGCTGGCAGGCCTGTCTCTGTGAGGGAGCACAGCCCCGAGGCCTGGAGGAGGGCCTCACAGGAGCACTCACCTGGGGGCACAGGTTGATGTCCTTCCTCCTCCTCCTCCTCCTTCTTTTTTAAGAAAATGTTTTTTATTTATTTTCGGAAAGAGAGGAAGGGAGAAGGAGAGTGAGCATCGATGTGTGAGGGGAACATCCATAGGCTGCCCCCTGCCAGGGACCGAGCCTGCAGCCAGGCATGTGCCTGACCCAGAATCGAACTGTGACCTTTTGGTGCCGGGTGCTCAGCCGCTGGGGAGCACCAGCCTGGGTGATGCCCTAACTTTTTCAAGACACTCGCCACCTTCTCTGGAGGCTGTTCTGAAATTCTCTTAAACAGGAGCATTGGGAGACACGGATACTGATGGCTCAGCCGGCACAGCTTATGTTACCTGGTGCTCAGCGCCATAACGTCCCCCGTCTGTCCCCTCCCTTCCCCGGTGTCACTCACGCTCAGTAGATGCTCAGCTCCCTTTGTTTTAAGAAACAATGTTCCACATTCGGTTATTAATTTGAAAGTAATCTTTTTTTAGTCATTTTCCCCACTTTTAATTTGCAGGTCAAATTTCATTAGCTTACCAGCCGAGAAAGAAAAAATGATGGCTTTAGTTTTTTCCTCTCTGTGAGAATACAATTATAGAGCAACATTCACATTTGTTCTGGGGAAATTAATCTATTTTTAGCTGTGAATTACATGCTTGAGATAAATGTGAAATTAGCAGATGGGCGCTCACCGCTTACGGTCAGCTGTGCCCGGACACGGCTCTGAGGCGAGTGTTCGGGTCCCGCGAGGCAGAGGGACACGCGTGGCCTCGGTCTGAGAAGAGCTGAGGAGCGGAGGGCGGGGCGCCTGAGCTGTCCTCCCTCCCAGGTGTGGTACAGCCAGAAGGCCTTCCACGCCCTCCCCGCCTACCTGAACCACCTGAGCAACCTGCTCCTGTGGAGGCTCCTGCCACCGGCCGAGGACTGGACACAGTACGGTGAGGGCTGGACACAGTACGGTGAGGGCTGGACACAGTACGGTGAGGGCTGGACACAGTACGGTGAGGGCTGGACACAGTACGGTGAGCCCCGCGCAGAAGCCAGCACGCAGTGCGCTGGGCGGAGCCTGAGGCGGGGCGAGCGGTCAGCATTCACACGCGGTCGCAGGCCCTGCTCCTGTCGGGTCATCACAGGCTCCTCCTCGGGGCTGGCCTCACAGGGGCTGGGCGCTCCAGGCTCCCCCGAGGGCTGGCTCTGCCATCACCGGGACCTCGGGCAGGGAGGTCGGCACCGGTGCCCGGGCCTGGGCAGAGGCCTGGGCGAGGGGAGGCCCGGCTCACCTTCCCTGTCCCCCAGGAATCACGCTCTACAGCCACCCGTACGGAGGGGCCCTGCTGAACGAGGACAAGATGTGAGCTGAGGGGCGACTGGGTGGGCGGCTGTGGGACGGGACCTCGGGGTGACGTGGGCTGATGCTGCTCTGCATGTGCAGGGGGGTCACGTGGCATTGGTGACCGCTAGCTGCCCCTGCCCCGCTCCTGGGGCTGCTGTCTGCGGGGCCAGCCTCCGTCTTAGCCACAGCCCCGCAGCGGCCACTCAGGGGCGCCTCTCGCTGTAACTGAGCCAGGTTCAGTGTCAGGAGCAGCCCTGAAAGTCCCTCCGCTTCGCCTCCTTGGCTATGCCCCGTGCGTGGGCGCAGTGCCCGCTGCCGGGAAGTGGTGTGTTAATGAGTTTCCACAGTGTGTGCCCCCACCACCGGCCCGGCCAGACAGAGGCCTGCTCTGCACCCCTGACGAGCTGCTGTCGCCCGCAGCCTGGAGAGCGTCCGGCAGTGCGGCGTGGCCCTCTGCATCGTGCTGGGCGTCTCCGTGCTGGCCGCCGCCATCGGCAGCTCCGTGGTCAGGGACCGGGTGAGCGGGGCCAAGCGGCTGCAGCACCTGAGTGGCCTGGGCTACGGGGCCTACTGGCTCTCCCACTTCCTGTACGACATGGTACGCCGGGCACTTCCCAGTCCCCGCCTGCACGCGGCATGTTCGTGCGTGCGTGCGTGTGCGCGCGTGTGTGTTGGGCGCACATACGTGTGTGTATGTAGGTGTGCACACATGTGTATGCATGCACACACATGTGTGGTTGTATTTGGGGGCTGGCCACCTCAGACTGACACAGCAGGATCATTTCACTGGCAGAGCGTTTCGGTGAAGTTCTGTCGTCACCGGGGCTCCTGGCAGCTCCTGCCTCGGCTCTGGCGTGGAGCTCAGCCGACAGGGCCCTTTGAGCATGTCCGTGCCTCAGCGCCGCGGCCTCAACCTTTCCAGCGGGTGTGTGACCGACGCCTGGGCTGGGACAGGGACGCTTCCCAGAATGCTTCGGGGCTGCCTGGCTGCGGGACTGTCCGCACACTCAGCCAGGGGAGGTGTGAGGTTTCAGCCCAGACGAGAAAGGTCTCAGCCCAGACCGAGGGACACTGATCAGGAGAGGACATGGCTGCCTCAATCCACATCCACTCAGCCCAGGCCTGCTCCCTCCTGTCCTCGTGTCGCACGGCTTCCGAGAGAGACGGGCAAAGGATAGGCCCGGGGGCCGCGCCTCCTGGACCCCGAGGCCCTGCCTTGATGGTGTCCCCATGGCTGCCCTGTGCCTCTGTGTCCTCTCCTCTTCCTGGGGGACACCGGCCACAGTGGCCTTGGTCCGGCCTTCGTCTCCTCTTGCCGGGATCACCCTCGGCAAGCCCAGCTCAGGTCCATCTCCAGGACACGGGTGCGGGGCCTGGACACACACACCCAGGGACAGGCCAGCGGCCGCGGAGCCTGCGGCGGCACCACAAAGGCGCTGCGGGACCGTGCAGCCTGGCCTGTGTGCGTGTGTGCGTGCGTGTGTGTGTGTGCGTGTGTGCGTGTGTGCGTGTGTGTGTGTGTGCGTGTGCGCGTGCGTGTGTGTGTGTGTGTGTGTGTGTGTGCGCGCGCGCGCCACGGCCGCCCCTTGTCTCCCCAGCTCTTCTACTTGGTCTCCGTCGGCCTGTGTGTCGCCGTGGTCGCGGCCTTCAGATTGCCGGCCTTCACCTTCCGCGAGAACCTGGCGGCCACCGTCCTCCTGCTGGTGCTGTTCGGGTGCGTGACGTGGCAGCCTCGTGGCCGCTCAGCCTGGGCCCGTTTCCTGCCAGGAGCCAGTGGCTGAGCCGCCGTGGCCGCGTGCTCCTGGCTCCCTTCTAGCGAGGAGGCTGCTTCCAGGGGGAGCTGCGGGGACGAGGGGCCGAGCCGGGGGTGCCAGGCCCCTGGAGCCAGGAGACGCCCCGGGTGTGGAAGGCGGGGCCGCCCGCTCCCTGCACATAGGCAGGAAGTGAGCATGCGGCTCTGACTTCCAGGTACGCGACCCTCCCAGGCATGTACCTGACGTCCCGGCTCTTCCCCAGCGCCGATGGGGCCTTCATCGCCTACGTCTCGCTGCACTTCGTGCTGGGCCTCTGCACGCTGCTCATGACCACCATGCCCCGGCTGCTGGCCGTCGTCACCGGGGCCCAGGTGGGCCCAGATTCACCAGACCCAGTCACCTCCCCGCCCGCCCCAGTGCCACTGCAGGGTCCGGGCACCTCTCCGCCCGCCCCGGTGCCATCACAGGGTCCGGGCACCTCCCCGCCCGCCCGGTCCATCACAGGGTCCGGGCACCTCCCCGCCCGCCCCGGTGCCATCACAGGGTCCGGTCACCCCCGCCCGCCCCGGTGCCATCGCAGGGTCCGGTCACCCCCGCCCGCCCCGGTGCCATCGCAGGGTCCGGGCACCTCCCCGCCCGCCCCGGTGCCATCGCAGGGTCTGGGCACCTCCCCGCCCGCCCCGGTGCCATCTCAGGGTCCGGGCACCTCCCCGCCCGCCCCGGTGCCATCGCAGGGTCCGGTCACCCCCGCCCGCCCCGGTGCCATCGCAGGGTCCGGGCACCTCCCTCCCCGCCCGCCCCGGTGCCATCGCAGGGTCCGGGCACCTCCCCGCCTGCCCCGGTGCCATCGCAGGGTCCGGGCACCTCCCCGCCCGCCCCGGTGCCATCGCAGGGTCTGGGCCTCCCGTGTGGGTATCAGGGTGGACACACTCAGTCCATACGTCCTACCGACTCCCCAGCCCGCGTCCGCCTCACGGGAGGAGTGCATTCATGTCAGCCCAGCAGGCCCCGAAGCCCTCGCTCCTTTCTGTACCAGCTCTGAGTCTGAGTCTCCGGAGCCCACAGGCCAGGCCTGGTGACTCGGGGACGCTCATCCTGAGAATCCCCTCCAGCATGAGCCCGGAGACACCTGAGCTCCCTCCCTGACCAGCGGGGGGCGGGGGCCAGCATGGGAGAGACACTCTCTGACAGGGAGACCCGGCCCAAGGGGTCCCACCCAGCCAGTGGGTCCTCAGACCAGGCTTGGAGTGGACAGTCCGCTGCGCAGGCCGCAGGGTGTGACAGGCGGGGACCCGGCAGGGGGGTACTGGGCAGGGGGGCCGCAGGAGAGCTGGCCTGGCGGGAGCACCGAGCGGGCTTGTTCCTCTCCTCCAGAACCTGCAGGCCATCTACGAGGTCCTCAAGTGGGTCTTCACGCTGTTCCCCCAGTTCTGCCTGGGCCAGGGCCTGATCGAGCTCTGCTACAACCAGATCCAGTTTGACCTGACCCGCGGCCTGGGCGTGGACACCTACGCCAGTCCCTTCCGCATGAGCTTCCTGGGCTGGGTCTTCGTGCAGCTGGCCGCGCAGGGCACGGCGCTGCTGCTGCTGCGGCTGCTCCTGCACGGGGACATGGTGCGGAGGGCCAGGTACCGGCATGCACCTCGGCGCCAGCGCAGAGCCGGGGCGGTTGGGGGGGGGGGGGCGTTCCCTCCCGGAGGCTGCAGACGGGACCACGTCCGGCCCGCACCTGGTGGGCGGGCTCAGGGTCCCTGCGGTTTGGGCCGGCGCGTCACGGACACGAAGAAGGACTGTGTGAGAGACCTCCGCTCCCGGGCGCTCTCCCGTCCCAGGAGTTTCCCTCTGCCCGTGCCCAGCCCTCTGTCTGCTGTGGGGTGACGGGTGACAGAGGCCAGCACGCTGGCGGCTTGTGGCGGGTCCTGTAGCAGGAGGGAGGGAAGGAGGCAGTTCCTCATGGAGAGCGGCTCCTGGGAGGCCGGGCGCAGGGCCCGGGGCAGGGAGAGAGCCGTCTAAAGGCACCTGCAGAACCTGATGGATTTCCACCAACTGGACACGCATGTCCCTTCCCGGGACCGCGTGCCGGCAGCCTCTCGGCCCTCTGACGTGGGCGGTGCACTCTGCAGCCACCATCCCCTCACCCCTCCCCGCCCGGCTGCACACATGGCTCCGTGTGCGGGCCACTCCCCGGGCCCGAAGCTTCTCAGCAGCCTGCTGTCCATGGAGTAGTGCGATTTCTCCATGGGCTTCAGAGACGGACACACAGTGCAAGGAGAGGAGCTCAGCCGCGGGGCTGGCCACGGAGATTTATTTTATTTAAACTCCCGGCACTTCAAGGCAGTGGAAGACACAGGAAATTGCCAAATGGGTACAGAGCCCGCGTCCCCTGCGCCCAGCCCCTCCGCTGACAGTGGGTCCATGTGCTGACACCGCACCTCCGGGGCGGGACCCAGGGTTGGTGAGTTGGGGTTGCCCAGCGCAGCTCATGGGATTAGAGATTCCCAGTCACACACCCATTAACCATCAGGAGGAGGAGCGAAGAGGGAGCAGCTCAGGTGCAGGTGAATTTCATCCACCTGACAACACAGTGAACGCAGGAGCGGCTGTGCGAGTGCTTGGGCTCAGTCCTCCATGCTCCTGGCACGGACGGGCGTGTGACCACGGCCGTGGGCCTGTGCGTGCAGCCAGGGCCCGAAGGCACCCGGGGGACCTTTCGCCCTCAGTGCGAGTCGCGGGTGTCCCTAAAGCCGGGGGGCTCGGGGTGTCTGCCCGCTGTCTCTCGGGCACGTGTGTCACCTTCCCTCCTGGGGACCCCGGCGGCCATGGTGGGACCAGCGCGGCGAGCTGCCGGCCCGTCTCCAGGCCTCCTCGTTGGGACATCTGCCCCCTCCCCTCTCCGGTGCCCGTCCCGTCCCAGGTCCCGGGTCCCGGGTCCCGGGTCCCAGGTCCGGTGTGGGTGACGGGCTCTCTCCTTCAGGAGGCACTCAGCCGTCCAGGGCACCGTCACGGCCTGTGGGGATGCGGACGTGGAGGCGGAGCAGGCGCGGGTGCTGAAGGGGAGAACCGGTGGGGACCTGCTGGTGCTCTGCAACCTCAGTAAGAGCTACGGGTGCCGCCGGCCAGCTGTGCGGGATGTGACCCTGGGCCTGCGGAGCGGAGAGGTGAGGGCCGGTGTCCCTGTGACCCTGTGACCCTGTGGAGGGGGAGGGGGTCTGCGGAGCGGGGAGGTGAGGGCCGGTGTCCCTGGGACCCTGTGACCCTGTGGAGGGGGAGGGGAGGCCTGCGGAGCGGGGAGGTGAGGGCCGGTGTCCCTGGGACCCTGTGGAGGGGGAGGGGAGGCCTGCGGAGCGGAGAGGTGAGGGCCGGTGTCCCTGGGACCCTGTGGAGGGGGAGGGGAGGCCTGCGGAGCGGGGAGGTGAGGGCCGGTGTCCCTGTGACCCTGTGACCCTGTGGAGGGGGAGGGGAGGCCTGCGGAGCGGGGAGGTGAGGGCCGGTGTCCCTGTGACCCTGTGGAGGGGGAGGGGAGGCCTGCGGAGCGGGGAGGTGAGGGCCGGTGTCCCTGTGACCCTGTGGAGGGGGAGGGGAGGCCTGCGGAGCGGGGAGGTGAGGGCCGGTGTCCCTGTGACCCTGTGACCCTGTGGAGGGGGAAGGGGTCTGCGGAGCGGGGAGGTGAGGGCCGGTGTCCCTGTGACCCTGTGACCCTGTGGAGGGGGAGGGGGGTCTGCGGAGCAGGGAGGTGAGGTCACGTGTGGGACTTGGAGCCATGGACACCCAATGGGACGCGGTCGGTCCCCGGATAGCTAGTGGGCGACGGCAGAGCCCACAGTCAGTGTCTGAGACCCAGGAGGCAGGAGCCCTGGAGCCGCAGACAGAAGGTCGCCCTCAGGAACCCACACCTTGGAGGGAGGGGGACCAGACCCAGAGCCGCCATGTTGACCCACTAGCGGGGTGCTCAGGCCGGGCCCAGATGCCGGGGAGGACCCGGTGCAGGAGAAAGAGGATTGTCATGTGCAGGGACCTTGCAGGCAGCAGATGGTGGGGTGTTTGCTGGCTGTCTCCCTGTCACTCATCTGGGCAGGAAATGGGACTGGCCCTTCTGCCTTCGTGGCTGATGTGACATACGACATGGCCGAGCCAAGAGCTGGCTGGGTGCTGGGAGTCAGATAGCAGGCCTGGAGGTGCCAGTGGGGGGGAGGGAGTTATGGGGGGGGGCAGTCATGAAGGGGAGGTGGCAGTGGTCTGATGTGCCTTACAACATACTAATGCCTGAGGGAGACACTGGGCGCTGCTGGGTGGCACCGTGTGGCCCTGAGCTTGCTCACGGGGTCCGTGTAGTGGTTTCCTCTCGGACGCCGCGGGCCTGTCAGGACCCACTGGCCACTTTGTGCAGAGGCTGCTTCACAGCGCAGACGGCCGGGGCCGCTCGGCGGGGTGCCCTGTGACGGACTGTCCTCTCCCTCCTCAGTGCTTCGGGCTCCTGGGCGTGAACGGGGCCGGGAAGAGCACCACGTTCAAGATGCTGAGCGGGGACGAGGCCCCGAGCGCAGGGCACGCCGTGGTCAGGACGCCCGCGGGGTGAGAGCCCCGCCCCCCCTTCCTGGCGGGACCAACCCTGGAGCCCGGGCCCGACGCCGGGGGTCGGGGCACTCGGTCTGCTCCCCATGTGATGTCCTCACTCCCTCCTCGGGGTGGAGCCTCCCGGAGCCCGGGGTCCGACGCCGCGTCGGGGCACCAGGTCTGCTCCCCATGGGAGTCCTCACTCCCTCCTCGGGGCGGAGCCTGCGGGAGCCCCCGGAGCAGGATCCGCAGGCGCAGGCGGCAGTGGGGAGGGCAGGGGACCTCGCGGGCGCAGGTGGTGGGTGTGCTCGCTGCCCCGGCACTCAGCGGGGCAGGAAGTGGGGTGTGTGGGGGACTGGCCCTTCTGCCTTCGCCGGCCAGTTCAGCTTCAGATCCCCGGGACTGACGGGCTGCAGACCTGGATAAATCTGCCTCTAGAATGTCACCATCCCCATGTCCTACCCAGAGGGCCGTGCTTCTCCGTACGGAGGAGACCATTTTCTCTCTCTCTCGGCCTTCTCCCTATTGGCTCCCGGCTGTAACAGGGTTGCCCACTGGCTCCCGGCTGTAACGGTGTTGCCCATTGGCTCCCGGCTGTAACAGGGTTGCCCACTGGCTCCCGGCTGTAACGGTGTTGCCCATTGGCTCCCGGCTGTAACAGGGTTGCCCACTGGCTCCCGGCTGTAACGGTGTTGCCCATTGGCTCCCGGCTGTAACAGGGTTGCCCATTGGCTCCCGGCTGTAACAGGGTTGCCCATTGGCTCCTGGCTGTAACGGTGTTGCCCATTGGCTCCTGGCTGTAACGGTGTTGCCCATTGGCTCCTGGCTGTAACGGTGTTGCCCATTGGCTCCTGGCTGTAACAGGGTTGCCCATTGGCTCCTGGCTGTAATGGTGTTGCCCATTGGCTCCCGGCTGTAACAGAGTTGCCCATTGGCTCCCGGCTGTAACGGTGTTGCCCATTGGCTCCCGGCTGTAACGGTGTTGCCCATTGGCTCCCGGCTGTAACACTATTGCTGCTCGCAGGCAGGGCATACAGTTACACTTAGGTTAGTCCATATCAGTGGAAACAAGTCAATGTTTCAAACTAACGGTGTGCGAGACTGTAAACAGGGTTTGTTGAGGGAGCGTGTGGTGTGTGTGGATGAGCCCGGTGGCCGTGTGGAGGCGAAGCTGCCGGGGCACCGAAGCGCTCAGGCTGTGCCGTGGGTTTCCCTGCTGTCGTGGGAGTCGGACGGTGTTCTGGTGATTGGGTGGTGTTTTGTTTTTTGTTTTGTAACTTCTCTGTGTACAAGTACAAAAGGACAAAATAATCAGAATTCAAAAGGAAACAAGAATAGATGGTTTATTTTCTCATCCCTGGGAGGCTGTCTCCTTTGTAATCTCGATCCATCGTTTCTAAAATAATTGGGAAATGAAATTCAAATCGCTGCTCTCAGAAGCAGCCATGAATGCACAATCTATAATCCCCTACTCGCTGCATGTCTGTGCAACTATTTAATTGTAACAAAGATCCTTGCATTCATTATAGTCCAACCTTGATGATGTGTAATGCACATTGTACATTGTATTCAGGGAGTTAAACGGGTGATTAGGGCACAATGGAGGGTTAAGCACTCAGTGTGTGTGCCTTCCTCCGGACGAAGCATTGATCCCACACCGTGCTCTTGGCGCTCCTGCCTGTAAGGTTCCTGCAGGGAACAGGCTCTTCCTGGTTCAGTGGGTTAATGTAAAGCCGGACACCGCACGGTGTTCAGTCACCGATGAGCCAGGGTCCTGTGAACGGTCTGTGCGGACACACCGTGGCCAGGCTCAGCCTCACTCACGGTGCCCGTAGCACACGTAGCCGTGGCCGCTGTCTGACCGCAGCTGCTGTGAGTGCCCTCCCGGAGCCGAGGCAGCCTGGTCTGTCCCGGGGCTCGCTGACGCCTCTCCCTGCAGGGAGGCGGTGCCTCTGTTCGCGGCGGGAGCAGCCGGCGTGCGCGTGGGCTACTGTCCGCAGCAGGACGCGCTGGACGGGCCGCTGACGGGCTGGGAGCACCTGCGCTACTACTGCCGCCTGCGGGGGGTCCCAGGGCCCCGCGTCCCCCAGGTGAGGCCAGGACCCGGGAAAGGCAGTGACACCTCTGCTCCCTGAGACTCCCAGCCCCGCCCCTCATGTGGGCTGCTCCTGTCTGCCCTCAAGGCTGTCTGTCCGGTTCCACCGCACCGGCTCCCTGGGCTCCGGCCCAGCCCTCTGAGGGCGCACAGGCCCGGAGCCCGCCCCTGCACTGTCCCCTGAGCCCCCGTGATCCCGGTCTGTTCTTTCTCACCAGAGGGACGAGGTGGGCGGGACTGGGATGTGGTGGCTGTTCTCAGGCTCCCTCCTCCAGGTGGCCGGGGACCTGGTGAGGCGCTTACACCTGGAGGCCCACGTGGACCAGCCGGTGGCCACCTACAGTGGAGGCACCAGGCGGAAGCTGTCCGCAGCCCTGGCCCTGCTGGGCAAGCCCCACCTCCTCCTGCTGGTGAGTGGGGTCCGAGGCTCAGCCTCCGGGGCCCAGGGGCGCGTCCTCGCTGCCTGCCAGGCGGCTGAAGTAACTTCAGGGGCCAGGTCCCCCCAGCCGGACGGTCCCTGGGAGTTTACAGAAGTGACGTTTATTCCTCGATGGTCCCTTTCACTCAGCCAATGGGAGATCCAGTAGACTGTAGATGAAGACAGCGTTTAAACCCAAATTCACGGGGAGCTAAAACCCGCCTGTTGTCCTCTGCCCAGCGGCCGCCTTTCCCGTCCCGGCCACAGACCGAGGGGATCCTGGGGCCTGTGCCTGGCTGCGGTCTGACAGGAATCAGGTGTCACTGTCCCCGCACACGGCCCCTGCTGCCCAGTCTGGGGGAGGCCGGCGCTCTGACCACAGGGGGGCACTGTCGAACCCTCCCTGCCCGCCTGCCCGCCCGCCCGCCCGGGGAGGGCAGCCTGAGCTCTGGGGCTCCTGGGCGGGGCTCCTGGCCTCATGGCCAGAGATGCTCCCTCAGCACGTCAGCCAGGCGCCAGGAAGTGGCCGGACTGGACATTTTGAGCAAGTGGAGCCTCTTCCTGCCTGCAGACGGCCTCCTCAGTGTCTGCTCTGAGACCTTGTCGCAGCTGAGGGTGCTCACCCCTCTGTCCCACGCCGAGGAGCTGGCATGGGGTGCTGTGGGGAGCACGGGGAGGCGGCTCGGACAGCGGCCCTGGAGCCAGAGCCGGAGCCGGAGCGGGCTCCTCGTGGCCGGCCCCTGGCCCATCGCTGCTCCTTCCCTCAGGATGAGCCCAGCTCCGGGATGGACCCCCGCTCGAAGCGGTTCCTGTGGAAGGCGATCACCGAGGAGGTTCGGGAGGGCTGTGCCGTGGTGCTGACCTCGCACAGGTGAGCCGGGGCCCTCCGTGTCCGCAGCAGCCTGTGCCCTCCACTGACCCACGGCCAGCGCGCGGCACAGCTGGAACCCGCACCCAGGGCCTGCGTGGCCCAAGGTCACCGAGCTAGGCCCTCCGGGGCTTCTGTCTGCCTGGTCCAAGGTCACCCCATGCAGCCTGCTGTTTATTTGTTTGGTCATCCCTCACTAACCCCCTGCCGGCCTGGTCGAAGACAGCCATCTTGTGAGGGCATGAGAGTCAATTTGCACATTATCTCTTTATTATATAGGATATAGTAAACTTTTTAACACAGTTTATTTACTAATCACATTTAATGTTTATGCTTACCATATTTAACACTTAAAGTTACCAATAATATTTTGTATTACAATAGTTTTGTATGATTTCTCACTATAAACATATCTGTCCTTTTCCTTTTTTTAATGCCTCTCTCCATTGGTTGAAATCTTCATTTAAGTCCTTAGTAAACTTGTTTCTTTCCATAAATGTCTCTGCTGTGGAGGCTCCTCCCTGCGCTGCACTTTGTGCTGCTGCTGGAAGGCTCTCGCTGATCGCACCTCGCTTCCTGGGCTGGAAACGCTCAGGCGCTGGTTATTGTGGGGTCAGTGCCCACACTGAGAGGCGCTCCCTGTGATGCTGACTGGGTGCCGGCTGACCTATGACCTGTGGGTGCCGGCTGACCTGCGGGTGTGCGTGCCGGCTGACCTATGACTTTCAGGCTGGCTGACCTATGACCTGCAGGCTGGCTGACCTATGACCTGCAGGCCAGCATCTCGCGGCCTTGCTGACGTGCTCCCTCCTCCCTGCAGCATGGAGGAGTGCGAGGCCCTCTGCACGAGGCTCGCCATCATGGTGGACGGCAGCTTCCGGTGCCTAGGCACCCCCCAGCACATCAAGGACAGGTACGTCCGCTTCTCCCGCCAGCCCGGCCCGGGCCTCGCTGGAAGGAGGTGAAGGCCCGGGGCGGGGGGGGGGGGGGGGGGGAGGGGAGTGATGGCCTCAGCTCGGGGCCCGGCCCTTCCCTGCTGCCCCACTGTGGGCTCCAGGAGGGCTGGCATGCCATGGCAGAGCCGAGATGAAGATGGACAGGCTGTCCCGCAAGGCTGTGCCCGTGCCCCTGGCCTCGGAAGCCGCCCCTGGTGGGAGGGCAGGAGCTGGGCACCATGGGTGCTCCCGTTTGAAGGTGAAGCCGAGGGCTGCCCTCCCTGGGGCCACAGAGGCTCCTGGGGTTGGTGGTCTCACGGGGGGGGGGGATTGCTGGCTGATTGCTCTCCTTCCCTCACCCTCTGTCCTTCCCGGCCCCCCTCAGCCCCTGCGGCCCTGACAGCCCTGAAGCCGGGGGTGGAGTGGGAGGGGGAGGAGGACGGGGGCTCCTGTAGCTCAGCTCCCACCTCTCTGGGTGTTGCTTCCAGGGTTTGGTGGTTTTTAAGATTAACTTCGTTTCTGTGTCAATATAAGTTGAATTAAAGCAAACTACATAACTGGGCTATAATTAATTTCTGAATATATATATATGTGCTAGTGACCTAGTGACCCAGTGCATGGATCCGTGCATAGTGAAAGGAAATTAATTAGAAGAAAGATTCATGTGGTAATTACATTACTGCAATAAAATTACATGTCAAGATAGTATACATAACATAGCATTATAAAGTTAAAATGCAAAATTAAATTACTAGTGCATGTCATATGTACCAGCCAGCTGGTCGGTTAGATGAACATACGGTTTAGCGTTTTATATATATAGATATATTTTAAATATATTTTATTATTGCTTTCAGAGAGGAAGGGAGAGGCAGAGAGACACAGAAATATCAGTGATGAGCCAGCACCGGTTTGGCTCAGTGGATAGAGCATTGACCTGCGGACTGAAAGGTCCCGGGTTTGATTCTGGTCAAGGGCATGTACCTTGGTTGTGGGCACATCTCCAGTAGGGGGTGTGCAAGAGGCAGCTGGTCGATGATTCTCTCTCATCGACGTTTCTAACTCTCTATCCCTCTCTTCCTCTCTGTGAAAAATCAATAAAATAGATTAAAAAAAAAAGAAATATCAGTGATGAGACAAGCACTGATCGGCTGCCTCCTGCACACCCCACACTGGAGATTGATCCCACCCCGGGCATGTGCCCTGACAGGGAATCTAACTGTGACCTCCTGGTTCCTAGGTCAGTGCTCACCACTGAGCCACGCTGGCCGGGCCTGAATGTGTTTTTGAGCATCTTAGACCCCAGCATTTGCCTTGGTTACTTTTCTTCCTGCCTCCTGGGCGTGGGCTCAGAAGATGCCGTCTGGGTCCCGAGCATAACACGCTTTCCCTGTGCACCGCTCAGGTTCGGGGCCGGCCACACCGTTCGCGTGGGGCTCAGTGCGGGAGGAAGTCAGCGCGAGCTCTCGGAGCACCTGCAGCGCCGCTTCCCAGGAGCCCGGCTTAAGGTGGCGCCCAGACCCGCTGCTGTGCCTCCTTCTGCGGGAGGGCTCCTGGGGGGACGCTTACCCCGCCGGAGCTGGTGGCGCAGAAAAGGGGACGCCCTGTGGGTCCAGGGTGGGTGCCCCAGGAGACTGTAGTCACACCCTGTCCTGGGCTCAACTCGTAGCCTGGCTCCCTCCATCCAGGACAGATGGCGGCCCTCACTACCTCCTCCGTGCACTGAGGGCTCAGCCTGCTTCCCCGCTCCCACACCCACACCGGCAGCCTCTCCCGTGGGGACGCAGTGCGGTCACACCCACACCCACAGCCTCTCCCCGTGGGCACGCAGTGCGGTCACACCCACACCCACAGCCTCTCCCCGTGGGGACGCAGTGCGGTCACACCCGCAGCCTCTCCCGTGGGGACGCAGTGCGGTCACACCCGCAGCCTCTCCCGTGGGGACGCAGTGCGGTCACACCCACACCCACAGCCTCTCCCCGTGGGCACGCAGTGCGGTCACACCCACACCCACAGCCTCTCCCCGTGGGGACGCAGTGCGGTCACACCCGCAGCCTCTCCCGTGGGGACGCAGTGCGGTCACACCCGCAGCCTCTCCCGTGGGGACGCAGTGCGGTCACACCCACACCCACAGCCTCTCCCGTGGGACGCAGTGCGGTCACACCCGCAGCCTCTCCCCGAGGGGACGCAGTGCGGTCACACCCACACCCACAGCCTCTCCCGTGGGGACGCAGTGCGGTCACACCCGCAGCCTCTCCCCGAGGGGACGCAGTGCGGTCACACCCACACCCACAGCCTCTCCCGTGGGGACGCAGTGCGGTCACACCCACACCGGCAGCCTCTCCCGTGGGGATGCAGTGTGGTCACACCCACAGCCTCTCCCGTGGGGACGCAGTGCGGTCACACCCACAGCCTCTCCCGTGGGGACGCAGTGCGGACACACCCACAGCCTCTCCCATGGGGACGCAGTGCGGTCACACCGGCAGCCTCTCGGCTGGACTGGCGGGACCTGCGGCCTCTGAGTCCAGGTTGAGCTTTGCCTTCCTTGAGCAGTGGCAGCGCCGGGCCCATGGCTCCAGGGCTGGCACCCCCACTGCACTGCCTCCAGGAGGGGCCACCGGCCGCTGTGACCACGGATTCCTGTGGTGACGGAGGAGGCCTGCCAGGCAGAGCACGCGGTGCCACGGGACCTGTCCAGTGGCCGTCAGTCGCGCCCGGGGCTGCAGCCGCTGGGAGTCCGCGGAGCTAAGCGGGCTGCTGCGAGCCGTGCGCCTCCCGGGAAACGGTCCTTTCGCCCACGTGGGCGGCAGGACGGTGACCTCGCCTGGCGGCCGCTGTGGCAGCTACGAGGGGCTGTCTGCCGGGTGCCAGGTGAGCTGTTTGGTTGCAGGGGCGGCGCCCGAACGTGCTGGAGTACCAGGTGCCCGCGGACTGGGCCGGCCTGGCCGACCTGCTGCAGGAGCTGGAGGACAGCAAGGCCGCCGGACGCATCCGTCACTACGCCCTGGCCCCGGCCTCGCTGGAGCAGGTGGGCGGCGGAGGCTGCTGCTGTCAGCTCTGCACCGGGTCCGGCCTCGGCTGCCGTTGCTCATAGTTACCATCTGGGAAGGGGTGTGGGCCTCGGGGCCTCCCCCCACCCTGTAAAGAGAGGGCACCCGTTAGCCTTCCTGTCCCCCGACCCGCCTGCCAGTCACGGGACGCCCCTGCAATGAAGCAGGCGCTCGCTGTGGGTAGGAAGAGAGTTAGGGTGTCAGATAAACCACAGCTTCGTTCTCCAGGCTGGACGGCCCAGAATTCACAGCCATTCCTTCCTGCCCAGAGGGTGATCCTCCCTGGGGTTTGCTTTCAGTGGTTTTACCTGCTTAGGGGGACCTAGGAGGGGTGGGAGAGAGAGGATCTAGGAGGAGGGAGAGAGTGAGCGTCTAGGAGGGGGATGGAAGGGGAGGTTTAGGAAAAGCTGTGCGGAGCTGTGGGAGGGCTTCCTTGTTGGGACGTTCAGGAACCCGTGGCCAGTGCTGGGCAAACAGTGGCTGGTGAGCGCAGTTTGCTGCTCTGCTGACTAATGAGTCTGCCGACCACTGTTGCAGGTTAACAATCACGCTCACTCTTCCTTTCAGGTGTTTGTGGACTTTGCTGCTGAGCAGCAGCCGGCTCCTCCAGCCCCTCCGGAGCCTCCCGCCCGGGGCCACCAGCCACCGCCCCTGCCTGTCTGAGCCCAGGACGCTGCTTCAGAGGAAGGAGACTCCCAGGCCTCAGGCCTCAGGCCAGCGCAGGGAGCTGGGGACACCAGGCCTGGGGCGCCCCTGTCCCTGCATTTTCCACTCTAACCTCTGTCAGTAACAACCAAGGCTTGGGCGGCTCCTCCAACACAGCCATCCCTGTGTGAGCTGGGGGCAGGGGGAACCTCCTTGGTGAGGCAGGTGTGCGTGAGTTCTCAGATGGCTGGGCGCTGGAGAGGCCCAGGGAGGGCTCTCACACACTTCCCTTCCCAGCCCGAGGCCCGAGGCCACGCCCCTCCAGCCTGTGAGGCCGAGGCCACGCCCCTCCCAGCCATGAGGCCTTGAGGCCCCGCCCCCGCCCAGCCTATGAGGCTTTGAGGCCCCGCCCCCGCCCAGCCATGAGGCCTTGAGGCCCCGCCCTCGCCCAGCCTATGAGGCTTTGAGGCCCCGCCCCCGCCCAGCCATGAGGCCTTGAGGCCCCGCCCTCGCCCAGCCTATGAGGCTTTGAGGCCCCGCCCCCGCCCAGCCATGAGGCCTTGAGGCCCCGCCCTCGCCCAGCCTATGAGGCCTTGAGGCCCCGCCCCCGCCCAGCCTAGGTCCAGGAACCAGGCCCGGATTCTGTTTTAATTTGTCATCTTTTTTCCTGGGTAAGCTCTCGTGTCTAAGTGAGAATTCGGGGAGTTAAAGGACATTTCCCTTGTACTGGGTGATGGTATGTGGCATGACATGAAAAAATCGCCTTTCTTTTCATCTCAAAGATGCTGTAAAAAGGATTCATGCTTTCGCAAAATTAAGTGATTTGAACGTGGTGATCTGTATCGATTATAAAAGTTTTATCAGAATTTCACGGAGGATAACTTTAGGGTATACAGAGCGATGGGATGTAAATGCGTTTTCTTTTTCTTAGTTGGGTCAGTAGTCACCATTTTAAACCCTTTAACTCAGTAGTTATCAGCGGCATCAGCAGCTCCTGCGCTTGTCCAAAGGCAGGTGGCCCGGGCCAGCGGCCGTGGGTCTGAGACGTGGGGGGGCCCTGTGACCTGAATTCTAAGTAAGTCCCCCCAGTGACCGACCCGCCTGCCAGCGACACACACAGCCGCACGGCGCACAGCGCGGATATTCACGTGGCCTTTACAGCCTCAGGCCCGGAGCGCTGTCCCAGTCCGTCCTCGGGTGTGAGTGCTGATCGCTACACAGGGCCTCTGAGGCAGTCCCTGGGCCATGCGTCCCCCGCTGAGGCCACGGGTCCCCACTGAGGAGGCCACGCATCCCCTGCTGAGGCCACGTGTCCCCACTGAGGCCACGCATCCCCTCTGAGGAGGCCACATGCCCCCTGCTGAGGCCTGTGTCCCCGCTGAGGCCTGTGTCCCCGCTGAGGAGACCACGTGTCCCCGCTGAGGCCTGTGTCCCCGCTGAGGAGACCACGTGTCCCCTGCTGAGGCCTGTGTCCCCGCTGAGGCCTGTGTCCCCGCTGAGGCCTGTGTCCCCGCTGAGGAGACCACGTGTCCCCTGCTGAGGCCTGTGTCCCCGCTGAGGCCTGTGTCCCCGCTGAGGAGACCACGTGTCCCCGCTGAGGCCTGTGTCCCCGCTGAGGAGACCACGTGTCCCCGCTGAGGCCTGTGTCCCCGCTGAGGCCACGTGTCCCCGCTGAGGCCATGTCCGGGCGGGGGGGGGGGGGGACATGTCTGCGCTGACACCGCTCAGTCCGCTCTGAGTGACACTCAGGCCTCTGCCGCCTTCACTTCCGTGGAGCGGCCGCCAGTGGCCGGAGCGCTTTGGAGGCCTGTCTGCTGAGCACAGCTGGGGCCCGCCGCACGGGGCCTGACGGAGGACTCAGCGAGTGCGATCCTCCGCGCCCACCGGCTCCTCGTCCACGGGACATGTAATCCTGTTACTGCTGCTGTTGAATCAATAAAGGAAGTGGGAACGTGCCTGCTGAGAGCAAGCTGAGCCTGGACTCCCGGCCTCAGAAAGGCTGCACCCGGGGCGGGTCACCGGGAAGCCAATGCCTCCTGCCTGGGCTCACCGCCGAGAAGGCTCCGCTGATGGGGCTTCCCTCAGCTGTGTCTGCTCCGCTCCTCCGGGCCTGCCCGGGCCTGGGAGGAGGGAGTGGGTGTCAGTGCGGCCCTGACAGGGGCCTGCCTCCGGGGGGAGGAGGGAGTGGGTGTCGGTGTGGCCGTGACAGGGGCCTGCCTCCAGGGGGAGGAGGGAGTGGGTGTCAGTGCGGCCGTGACAGGGGCCTGCCTCCGGGGGGAGGAGGGAGTGGGTGTCAGTGCAGCCCTGACAGGGGCCTGCCTCCGGGGGGAGGAGGGAGTGGGTGTCAGTGCTGCCGTGACAGGGGCCTGCCTCCGGGGGGAGGAAGGCAGCAGGTGTGGCCGGCAGGAACAGAGCAGGGCTCGCAGCCACTGTGCTGGGAGCAGGACCACAGCAATCAGGCGTGTCCGTACACCGGTTTCCACTTGCTGGGGGGCAGCTGTATGCTCTGAGCTGCGGGGCGGGAGGCGGCAGGCAGCAGTAAGAGCTCCATAGTTCCCTGTGACTGACCTGCCTGCGGGGCTGGGAGCACCCGGGATGGCGTGCTAGGGACCGAGGTGGCTGCCGCCGCTGGGGGCTGAGGACTTGGAGGATTTTAGGGAAGTGACGGGTGAGTCCAGGCTGGCCCGTCATGTGGACTAGCCTGGGAAGGAGTCCGCAGAGCTTGTGAAGGACTGGGGCCGGGGTCTGAGAATCACCGGGTTGAGGGAGAGCCGTGTGAGCAGGTCAATGGAGACTCAGATCTGTCTGCCCCTGGGCCCGCAGGCTGTGTGTGTGCATGTGTGTACATGCGTGTGCATGTGGGGGGAGTGTGGGGGAGCACACAGCCAGGGACAGTGGCTTCTGCTGTCCCCAGAGAGCTGCCCGCCAGCCCTCCCTGAAGCCAGGCGTTCCGTTCCCCCCACGTTCCTCCTCCGGAGCCCACGGCCAGTGTGGTGAGTGAGTCTTGCTCAGGCCCTTGGAGAGGGCGCCGGGGTGCACAGAGCACGCGCAGACGGCCTGGCCCAGCCTGCATGGAATGGCCTCAGCGGGCCCCACCCCTCCGAGTGCGCCAGCTTCCCTCCGGGGAGCCTGCGCTCCGTAGCTCCTCCGGTTGGAAGGCCCCAGCCCTGGCCCTGCTGCTGGGGAAGTGGCTTGGGATCCGAAGGACCTGTTCCTAAGTTGTGCCTCTTTCACTGGAAATGGGGGCCACTGGCGTGACTGCCGCCTCTCGCCCTCCCCTCCACGTCTCTGAGCGGCATCGGGCGTCTCTAGCAGAGTGTCTCTCACCCAAGAACCATTGTTTCAGACGTGACTTCTCCTTTTTGTTTTATTAAAATACTAGAGGCCCGATGCATGAAATTCGTGCAAGAGCAGGCCTTCCTCCCCGGGCTGCCGGCACTGCTTCCCTCTGCACCTGGACCTGGGCTTCTCTCCAGCCTCAGCTTTGTCCGGAAGGACATCCGGGATGACATTGGGTCTAATTAGCATATTACCTTTTCTTATAGATTAGAGGCCCCGTGCACGGATTTGTGCACTGGGGATCCCTCAGCCTGACCCGCAATGGAGGCCTATTGGGGGGAGGGGGGCTGTCCAGCAGTGGGGAGGGGCCATGAGAGGTTGGCTGTGAAAGCACACTGACCACCAGGGGGCAGCTCCTGCATTGAGCATCTGCTCCCTGGTGATCAGTACGCATCATAGCCATTGGTCCAGTGGTCATTCCAGTCCTTCGAACGACTGGGGGCATGGTTTGGGGTAAAGGCGGCCTAGGCTTTTATATATAGAGATAAATCTTGTTGACTTCAGAGAGGAAGGGCGAGAGAGAAAAACAATGATAAAGGAGAACCATGGACCGGCTGCCTCCTGCACACCCCACACTGGAGATGGAGCCCATAACCCGGGCCTGTGCCCCGACCGGGAATCGAACTGTGACCTCCTCGTTCATAGGTTGACACTCAACCCCTGAGCATGCCGGCCAGGTGGGCATTTCTCATTCTTTTCAGTTGTTTAAGACTCGAAGGCAAATCTGGTTCCTGCTTCCTCCATCATATCAGAAACAAGCCTCCCTGTGAACACCATTTTCATCAAGTTCAGTGAAAACCAGACGGTAAGAACACTGGGCGTTCACGCTGTTAAGGAGTGATGGGTCTCACTTTGTAGTTGCAAGGGGCCTCTTTAGCAGGAGAATAAGCGAGAGCACTGGCAGAGAGTGCATGAGTATTTGAATTCCACCTCATTTAAGTAGCAAAGTTTACATCAAAATGTCTGGCACAGGGTTCGGCCAGATTGAAGACATACTGGGGAGGTGTTCATTTCCTCCCATGACATTCCTCTTGTTGTTCAGAGACAGGAATGATTCTGGAACCACTAGCCTCACAGTCACAGAGGTCTCCATGCGAGTTACTTGGAACACCAAGCTGTCTGTTTTTCTTTGTCTGTGGGAAACAAGCTTAAGATTGGAACTAGGTTATAATTTACAATGTGGATATACCTACTCTAATATAATTTTTCTTAATCTGAATCAATGTCAAAACATACATTATTGCAGAATCTGGGTATTTCCAAACTATATTTACGAGACCTAAGGAGCTAAGTGTATTTTCTGTGAATCTTCTCAGAGGAACGCTCCTCCTGCAGATCCCCAGCATATCCTCATCTTTATTTTGCTTTTAGATAATGAAGCAATGCAAATTGTTTTTCATGCATATGGATGAGAACATTCAATTAGTTTTCAATTATGTACCCAACTGCTTTTAAGAAACTCCCAATTTATACTGCGCTAACACCAGCTTCTTCTTCTTTTTTGGCTCCCACCTACACCCCCCCCCCCCCCCGGAACCTATTTTAAGACATTGGCTAGCAACCCTGCAGCAACTCATGGACTGAGGAAGAAAGAGAGAGTTCATGAGACTTCAAAATAAAGAGATGGCCTGTCAGAGAGGTAGGTGGAAATTGCTAGAAGAGCACAGAGGAAGGACATCCTAGCAAACTGGAGACCAGTATCTACTCATCCATCCATCCACCCACCTACCTATCTACTCATCCATCCATCCATCCACCCACCTACCTATCTACTCATCCATCCATCCACCCACCCACTCACTTACCTATTCATCCATCCACCCACCCACTTATCTACACATCCATCCATCCATCCACCCACCCACTCACTTACCTGCTCCTCCATCCATCCACTCATCCACTTACCTATCTACTCATCCATCCATCCACCCATCCACTTACCTACTCATCCATCCATCCACCCACCCACTTACCTACTCTCCATCCATTCACCCACCAATATACTCATCCACCCATCTATCCACCCACCAACCTATCTAATCACCCATCCAACTACCCACTTATCTACTTATCCATT